GAAACATACATTTAATGTAGAATAAGTTCTTTTTCTTTTCTCTTTTCTTCTTCGTCATTTGCTCTCTACCCAATGAGGATTTATTTGCTCGAATATTTTCTGCATGTGGGCTGCGCACCAATCAAATAACGAGTGGATGTATGACATTCTCTTTTTTCTTCTTTCCTTCGCTATTCATTATGAATAGATCAGAATAATGTTGTCCGATACAGCACCACCACTCTATCTTACTGTGTGCGTGCTGTTTGTTGTGAAGCAAACGACACACAAATATTTTGCGTTTTCTCTCTCGCTTTCTCCGTGAAGAGAGAGCGAGCGAGCGAAAAAGAAAAGAGAAAGAGAAAAAGAAATAGAGAGAGAGAAAGATGAATTAGTTAGGAGGGCGAAAAACGGAGCAAACCGGTTTTTTTGCAAACAGAGAGACCAATCATAGAACAACAAGTTGTTTGTGAGAAAACGAGCGGAACGACGGCGGCATACATACATATAAACAATTCCCCCGTGGTCATCAGTGCCATGCAAAAAGAGTCAGTAGTGAGTGCTGATATTTCACTTCCTCAACCATCACCATCACTAGTTCATCATCCAAATTACCCAATGTTACTTGCTGCTCAACAACAATTATATGATTACGCTGTCCGTCTTCGATTCGGAGGAGGGCCTCCTCCAACTCCACTACCACCCGGATCAGCAACATTAACTGTCGGACCTGGTTCACACCATCCATCTTTCAGCGATCCACATTCCCTCTATGCGTTTCATCAACGACATGATCCTCGACTACGTTGTCTTCTACGTGAAGAACCCAAGCCGTCCTATTCCTACATTGGATTGATTGCCATGGCCATTCTAAGTTCACCCGAACGAAAACTCGTTCTGTCGGATATTTATCAATGGATATTAGATCATTATGCTTATTTTCGTGCACGAGGTCCCGGATGGCGAAATTCGATTCGACACAATCTTTCTTTGAATGATTGTTTTATTAAAGCTGGTCGTTCAGCAAATGGCAAAGGCCACTATTGGAGTATCCATCCAGCTAATCTTGCTGATTTCAGTAGCGGAGATTTTCGACGACGACGAGCACAAAGACGTGTCCGGAAGAGTATGGGCTTATCCGTTCCTGATGACGAAGAAGACGACGACGAAACCTTACCAACGAACGGAGCTGACCATCATTTTGAACAGTAAGTAGATATAAATACGAGACATTTCCTTTTTTAATTATATCATTTTTTTGTTCTTCTAGTCCCCTAACGAAATATCCATCTGATGAATTACGTCCGAATGTAGCTGATCTCTCACTGTCTTCATCATCATCATCTTCAACAACAACGACAGCAAACAGTACAGGTGTAACACCGAACTTATTACAACGATATTTTGATGACATGCAACGTGTTGTTGCCTCTCGACTAGAACAACAACAACAACAGCAGTCCAATCAACAACATCACAATTCACAATTATTCTTTCCATCACCGCCACAATCATTAAACACAAGTCGAAATCCGAATATAACAACGACAAGTACATCAACACCACTTCGGCCACTGTCAACTACGCAAAATCAACGAAAACGTTGCTTCGACGTCGATAGTCTTTTAGCACCTGAACAACCATGTTTAATCAAACGACATAAATCGAGTTTCGATGGTAATGAAGATATTTGTAGTCCAGATTCCAAGTCAGACGGTTCAACCGATACAGACATATCAGCATGAATATGTGTATGTGTATATTTATATATATAACTAAATATGTGTGTATTGTGTTTCTTATGTCTTACTCAATAATAATTTCTTTCGTTTTCCTCTTTTACTCTGTCTCTCTCTCTCGTTCTCCTTTTCTCTGACGAGTGCAATCATAGACCGGCTGGTGCAATCTCTTTTTTTTTCATCATTCTCAGCAGGATTCATACACGCACACACCAATCAAGACGGTTGACGAAGAAAAAAAAAGTGACGATTGCTATCGCGTCTTCTGTTCTTTCTCTTCATCGTCTTCAATTGACCTATACACATATGCATACTAATCGTATGCATTAGATGTATGTTACCTATCTCATCTTTTCTCTCTCTCCCTTTTCCTATTGAATTTTACTTGTACATTAACACTCTATTATCAGTCTATAGAAATAATTCATTCAATGACTTCTGTTCTGCTTATTGAGAGATATAGGATGAAGAGAAACGAACAATATTGACACATTTTGTTTTTAACAATAATGACTGACAAGGTGTGAATATACACGAGCTCGGCATGGGTGAGAATTATTGGATCATCAATCAAAAGAGACGACAAAGATTTTTCTCGCTTTCAATTCTACAGATACACATGCGACATCGTCAATGACTAGAGGAAATATTTTTCAGTTTCTTTCTCATCTATTTGTATCAGAGATCTTTTCTACAATCCTTTCTTTTTTAATATTATTAATTCTCGATTAAAAATATATCTATTTCTGTCTTCATCAGTCCATTATTGAATCAAACAATATTTTTCTTTGTGCATCTATAATATAATAAGATATTTAGCATTATAGATCAGTAAAAATACATTTATAAATAAATAATCGAATTCATGGCACTTTGCATATATTAAATATTCAGCAATCTATATATACACACATCATCTTTTCCACATGATTCAATATCTGTTTGATAAAATAAGAATAGTACTTTTTTTTATCCAAAAGATCTGAGTCGAAAATCTTAGAGTAAATGCTCTTATGGAAATTGCCTTGCAACCGTGTTCTCCTCGCTTATAACGGATCTACGATGTACCGGAAGGAATCAACGGATCTATTTAAAATACGTTCGTGATATCTCTACTGTCATTGTGATCTTGTTTCGAATATGAAAATAACAATTCATCATATATCTGATAAAGCGTTTATTAAAATACAAGCAGTACAACGAAATAATGACTTGTATATTTTCCAAATATACAGATGAGCAAAAAACATTATGTATATATTTTGGTGTAGAATGTGAGATCACCGAAGAATTAGCGGATTTAAATGAAAATGTTATTCACATATATATATTGAGCATAAATAATATTGAAAAAAAAACCGAATGTGACTAGTAGCGAGAACAGGTAGGTTAATGATCACCGAGGTAAAGATAAAAACAAAAGTGTTTTATTGCACGAAGTTGAATTATATTTCCTTATTTATCTGCGGACGGGCCGTACCGACGGGTAAGTCGAGGTATTGGAGATTCATAAGGACTAAGGCGACGATTGAAATAATCATTATCATTCGTTTGACTTGGGTGTGTTTTGATACTTTGGAAAAGAGCGTTTTCATTTAATAATTGTTCTTGTCGTTTATTCCGTGTTGTATTCAATGGAACAGTTGATGGATCAGTATTCCGTGCGTAACGTCGCTCGACTTCGTCGGGATCGAGATTAGCAAATTGATTTTGATAACTATAATTCAATGGCGATGGTGAATGAAAATCATTTTGAGCATTACGATTACTGCCTGACACTGGTAGATTTGCTACTTGAGGAAATTGAACTTCTTCTCGAATGGGATCTGGAATATAGTAAACATTTCTTTCTTCGTCATAACGTGCTTTTTCAATGATCTTATCGAGATTGCTGTAATTACAATTACGTTCCATAACGCTACTCATCTTCTCAAGCATTGTACGAAAGAGAAGCAGTTGCTTTTCTTGAGCACGCATTATATTGAAGTAGTTCTGACGATCGCTTTCGAATTCGTGTAGTAAGTCCTCATTATCTTGTTTTAAACGTTTATTTTCCAAACGTAATTGTTCGAGTTGCTTAGATGTGAAGTGCAACTAAAACGAAAAGGGTGTATTTGTTCTTTGCGAAGGAGAACAAACCTCTTCTTGAGCATTGTCAAAAACGCGCATCATAACATCATCATCATTGCTTTCGATTGCTTTCGTTAATAACTGGCGTTGTTCTTGTTTTTCACGCATTTCATTCAATCTTTTTTTTCGCTTCTTTTTCTGTTCTTCATTATTAATTTCTTCTCCACCGATCAGCTTATGTTCTAATTCGTATAACCGGTTCAGTTTTTCTTCAGAATTCATCGCTCTTGGTGTACGGTCATTTTCATCATTGGATTGTTTACCAGATCTGTCTTTCTTTTTCCCTTTCCTCGGAGCAGTCTGTTTGTCCAAAGCGTTGATATCGCCATCATATTGCTCTTTCAAATCATTGTATCTGTGTTGCAGTTCTTGATTTGTTAAACGTTCTTCTTCGCATTGTCGACGCAATTCCGCTGCTTCACGTTCGAATTCCGTGCGTAATCTTTCCTTTTCTTTTTCAATTTCTTCATCGTATTTGATTTGCGAACCCTTATAATATGAAGCATATTTGCATAAAAATGATTCGACATTCCTTTTTACTCATTCTATCCTCTAACGAACACACATTTACTTTTTCACAGCTAGGATAAGATAAGAGTACGACAAATGGCTTCCAAAACGAAGAAAGTCTACGTTTCATACAATCAATTGCATGATATCATCCAACAAACGGTTCGACGAACGAAACTTTGTGAAAAATTTTCCCCGACGCTTCTCATTGCTATAAGTGCAGGTGGTTTTCTACCGGCAAGGATCCTACGAAATATTCTCAAAGGAGAGCTCGGTGGTAAATCATTACCTATTCAAACGATTGGCTTATGTTTGTATGAAAGCGAAAGAAATGAAATCTACAAAACTCAATGGATTGCAACTGATCTCGTCAATGACCCGTTAGCAGTATCTTTCAGTGGTCAACGAATTCTTATTATTGATGAAGTCGATGAAACGCGCACAACGTTAAGCTATGCTGTAAGTGAACTTGAAAAAGATATTGCTAAACAGCGAGCAGCATCAAGTCAAGAATGGGTTGAACCCAAATTAGGCGTTTTTGTTGTACATAACAAATCTGTTCCTAAACTTGGGAAACTACCTGACGGGATTATGGCGGACTCTTATTTTTGTGGTGAAAATGTCGGTGGAGAATGGATTGTTTATCCTTGGGATGCTTTAGATATCGATGAACATACACGATTGGCAGCGAGTGGGATGAAAGCACGCGAACTTACTCTTCCATCGGATGAAAACGATTGAATTTCACGATTCATATTTCCAGCATCGAGAAGTTCTTGTTTAAGACGATTGATTTCTTCTTGTAAGATTCTCATTTGTGCATCGCGTGGATCTTCATTTATATGCGGCTTATTCTTAATATTTTTCGCTCGATTTGCATCTAAACAGATATATTATACAATGATTCGTAGAATGTTTTTCGAATATAATCATACATCGTAATGTCGAAAGTGTTTCTTCATAATTATCATGTGCTGGACTTATAGCGGCAATCTTTCGAGAAGGAAAAAAGGATACGAGTGCGGACAATGAATAAACATAAGAATAGTGGTTTACCATCAATGTTTTAGTATTGCCGCCAAGTGAATCTTGTAACAGACGTGTTAATTTGGAATCTCGATAAGGTATGTGCTTCGAGCGACCGTCAACCAAGGCAGATATGACATTACCCAGGGCACTCAGTGATAAATTAATTCGAGTCGCTTCACGAAGACGATCACCTTCCGCATCTGTATGGGACATACGGAAGAATTTGATTGAAGTAAGAAATATTCGGTCTACATACGTGTTTTCGATTGCCGTTCACTGCCGGCTAGATCGACTAGATTCAATTTCCCTGCGCGAATATGTTCTTTTCCGTCCAATTCACTTTGCGTGCACATTTCCGTCATAATGGTAAAGATCGAATGGGATCGAGATGAATCCTTATTCATCAAGGTAGCACCAGTCGCGCGGTTCTTGTTACCTTTATCCATCAGACGCTCGCAATCCTTGACACTTATACATTGATGCCATGTTAAATTCGGAACAAAAACACCTTTATCAACATGTTCCTGCAAACATTAACAACAATCAAATTTCGATTGTCACCTCTCGTTTCAGGGCTTACTTTGAGTTCAAGTACCGCTTTCGCGTCTTTACCCAAAAGATCACGAATGCTCTCATTGTAGATTTCGAGATATGATGCGCGAATAAGATATTTGGTGCCAGCTGTTACCGATGACGCTTCGAATATATGCTAGAAATTACTCGCAGATAGAACATTGTTCGATTGAACTTGAAATATTCTCACTTCAAACGATCGAGGTATAACACCACGTTGTAAAGATCCGGTTGTATTAATTCCTTGCATAGTGAATGATTTCCCGCATCTAAATAGGAAAACTTGGGGTTAAAATACAATTCGAAAACGAAGTATATCAGTACCCTGTTTGACCATAAGCAAATACAGTTGCATTGTATCCTTCCAATACCTAATATAAATCATAGCCTTTTTGTCTTTAGGGTGTGATGGTTTTCATCTATCAACGTACACTTTCTACTAGTGGAAAGACGGAATCTGTGTATAAAGTTTCTGTATTTGAGTTCTCAGGATACACTGCATCAAATGTGAATTGCTTGGGTGGTTCATTTCGTTCGTCGATTGTTTCCAACAGAACTTGATTTAATTGCATATTCATAGTAATAACAGTCTAAGAAAGGCAGATAAATGACGATGAACTATCGACAGATTTGTCTTACTCGACATGCAAGATCTAGCTCACGTTGATTCATCGGTCGACAACGAACTATAACACGGACTGCTTCACCTGTATTTGATGTCGCCATAGATTACTATATCTTTATAACGAAGTGTTTATAAGCTAGAAACGAAGGCAACGACATACATATACACATTTATTGCAAAAAAAAACGAGCGAAAACTCCATAATTGAACACAACAGAATTACTTATGCTTCGAGCTCACTTGATTTCAAGTGTTTTTCTTTAATAAAAGAGACATAAAGATTACATGCGTAACGTGAAGCATCACCATGATGAGTTAGGTTGCTGCTCGAGATGATTTGATGTGCCTTCACGGATACGAAAGAGGCCGCTTTTACTCATATCGTACCGTATACGGTTATGACAGGAACATTTTCCAGCTGAGAAAATGAACATCATAGGTGTATCAGTAACCAGACCTCATACATGTATTCAAAAATTGTCTCCAAACAGTTGCTGTGACCTATTTAATTATATATATAACTCGAAATACTAATCAGTAGTAAAATTAGATTGGATTGCATGTATCACGTATTTTAACTATCGCAGAAGCGATCTTTGCAGCGTGTTGTTTACTGATTACCTCTATTTTCATCTTTATCATATATGCAGACGGTAATGTTTTCTGAATAATGAATTGCTTTTCGTGTTGAGCTTGTTACATGTAAGTGTAAAAATAGTTTTGTTAATATTAAGTTCTATTGAGAAATAGTTTAATGATTATTTATAGTTTTGTTTATCGGGAGGTGTTTCTTGAAATAAGTACTTATGAGAAAAGATCAAGAAAGCGTCTCTCTCTCTCTGTTTATTTCATCCATAGTCAATGACTGTAAACACGTTTCGGCAATACGTAGATAAATAGACTTTAGGTCGTGAAAAGTTTCCGTCTGATTTTATCAGAGGTCGAGAAGTATGTAAAGAAACTGCGGTTCAAATCAATGTCATATACAAAAATTCGGCGAAGTTGGCTACGATCAATGTGTGCATTGACATATATATTCAACGAGATGACAGTATGGCCGATCTCTGTTAACCCCATGGCGAGCGCACGTCGCACCAGATGCTTTTACATAACCATTTTTATCATATTGCCAGTCACAACAACGCTTGCACTTTTCACAGGAACGACCATTACAAAAATCGTTGTACTGTGCTTGATAATGTGAGGCGATATGTCCTATCCATCATGTAGAAAAAAATATTTAGAAAAAAAAACTATATTTCAGTCAGCTTACTTTGCATTGGACTACAGCTTTGGGCAAAAGAATTTTTCATACGATTTAATTGGATAGACATTGAAGTTGAAGTACGGCTATTCTCGATGAAAGGTCTCGCAAATTGCGTATTCCGATCACCAATCCTTCCTGCATATGATGAGTGTGGTTTCAAAGTAGTTCTCATCTCCTTATGCATCGGCCTGGTGTAACGAATAGGTTGCCTTTCAGAATCATCTCTACCATTAGTAAAACTTCTCTGTGTTGCTATTTCAGGTTGATCGAGGGTTAGGGAATTTGTCTCTTCAAGTGCCGTCTCATCGAAGCTATCATTGTCGCTGAGGAGTCCATAAGTGCGTATATAGTTATTCATTGACTCGTCAGCAGATTCTGCTATGCGGGAATTAACTAGCTGTCGGAAACACTGGTCTATCCCATTGACTGCTGTTTGAACTTCTTCCAAATGCTTTTCTACGAAATTTTTTGTCTGTAATAGTGTATGAATTTTGCTTGTCATTTTCTTAACTCGATCGTTTTGGACTTCCATTTCACGTTTTCTTTTGTTTTCAGTCATGCGACGGTATTTTTCAAACGTTTCCCTCACTTTGATGACCACCCTCTCTTCCAATTCATTGATCTTCGTGAAATCCATGTTGCTGTCCAAACTATTAAGCTTTGCTTGCAGAGTGTTACAGGCATCTCCTACTTCTTCCATTTGATCACTTAACTGTCTTCGATGCATATCCGAATGCATTTGGCAGAAATGGCTGTCACATCCAACACAGACGAAAACAGCTTCGTCTTTTTCACATCTTGAACATTTGATTGATTGACTCATAGGTTGCAGCTAAATTGCACTGACTAAGTACTGAAATATGTTCATAAAAAAATATTAAATAGCAATGACATGACAAATTTAGTTCTATGAAGATAAGATACTGTAATGACAACGAATGAAGAAGACGAGATATGCCTTTTTGTGGTTTTAATCATCAAATCTCGAAAAACTCAAAACCTCTTAGACTGTAAGTTTGTACTTTCACTACAAAAGCTACGATAATTCCGAAGCCTACCGTCACATTATGCAACTGTACTGTATGTTTTCTCTAACAACAAATGTGACCCAAACATATGCAAGGAAGTAGAGAACTAAAACTTTTTTCTTTACACGTGCAACAAAAAAGACTTGTATTTATTATTCCTTTTTCTTTATGCAGTGAAACAGACTTGGTTTCTTTTTCGCATATCGTCTAATAATTGTCTGTGTTCTACCATGACTAAGCAGAACCTGAAAATTGAAACTTACTCATATCTTCCATTCATACCCGCATTAACAATGTCCACAAAGGAAAAATACCTACGATCATATCGTATTTTTTCTTTACGCACACCTTGCACATCCAGTGTTCTCAATGAATTTAATTTTCATACAAGTTTATTCTATTCATGCATCTGACATAAGATATACAAGATATTAAAGCAAATTGAAAAATTCACAAAAAACACACATATACAGAAGTTTATCTGAATAAAAACGATATCAACAGAGAACTCTTATTTGATTTTGCTGAAAACATTCTTATTTTTCTTGCTACTCTTTCGCAAGATCTCATTTGTGTCTTGTTCATCGAAATTGAGATAATAATTTTGATGAATTTCTTTGTAAACATCACTTTTCAAAAAGCTCGCTAATCGCGTCAAATTGCCCATTTGTAAAGCAAGTTCAGGAATAAATGGATTCGATTCAAAACGATAAATATGTTTAGTATTACCCAAATCCAGTTGCCCTATTCAAAAGAAACATACTTCACGTGCACATATGCGAGGAAATGTTCCCCTACCGAACGCCGGTGGCAAAACATTGATTTGATTTTGTTGGATATGAAGCTCCTGTAGCTGTGACAAATGAGTCAGTTCTTTCGGTATGTGACGTAGACGGTTGTGACGGAGCACAAGCTGAAACGAAAAAAAGCGATGTTATGTCACACATGAATAAACCGACGTTACAATCATATGCACATAGCATCAAAGTTAAAATAAAATATATAGGAATCCGCTGAAATGCCGCCGTCGACATCATCGAACATCGTATGTACTCAATTGTCTTCTCGCGAAGTTATTGATCCTATCTGAACATGTTGTTTAGACTTCAGCGCGACGTAAACGTCGTTCGAATAAACAATATCGTCATCGTCATGAATTACTATATGTAATTAATCATCCGACTATGGCTAATGTTATGTACTACACGAAACATTTCTTTCTCAAATCTGCATTTGGTCGACTTTTTTTGTTGTTCATGTTCATTGCGACGTTCAACATCTTTATATTCTCCCAGTTTTACTGGCCGAAAATTTTGAAATGGTTACAGAATTCTACCATAACAACACCGATGGAAACACCTGAAGAATATCAATCGGCAAGCGAATTTTAGTTCCGACTTACAATCTGCAAGTTTCCTAGTTTATCAATATGATCACTTGGAAATGTTTCGAATAAATTATCACCAAGATAAAGTGCACGTAAATTACCTTGAAAGAGAAAACTGATTGTAAGAAGAACATTGGACAAGAAAACTATTTACCAAGTTGAAAAAAGTCCTTGGTTAAACTATTTTCAGTCAAATCATTACCAGTCAAATCGAGTATTTCAAGAGATGTGAGTGAGCTGAACGAACGAGGTAATGACGAAAGTTGGTTATGGCCAAGCTTGAGAATTCGTAAATTCGAAAGTAGAACAATCGATGAAGGCAATTCCTGTAGACAGACACATCGAACATATGTTTACAAATTATCTTTTCCTACTTGAAGATGATTGTTTGTTAAATTCAATGTCTGTAGATATACTAAATTGGAAATATGAGACGATAGAGCTATAACGAGAAGAAGTTATTCTTGTTGAGGAGTGATGCTTCGCATACTTTTCAGTTTGTTATGTGCTAAATTCATGTGCAAAACTTGTTTCAGATGACAAACAACTGAAAACAAATAGGTTTTGTTTTCGTAGTCTTGAAACAATTTACGATTTTCTCGGAGTGTACTTACTCAGATCCCAACAATAGTCATCAATGAATTCAATGTTTGTATCATTCAATACAAATTTATGTTCATTTAGATGTTCAAGACTTGTTTCGATAGCACGTTTGATTTTGGTCGGTATTCGATCCCAATTAAGGTTACTAGTAAACATCTAAATAAATAAAAAAATGTTTGTGTCTTCTGTTGCATGTGTGTGTTTCTATTAACAATTAGCATCTTTCTGTGTGTGCAGAATTCAACAATCCGATATATAGAACATGGTTTCGTTTGTTTGTTTTCGACAAGAATTGAAAGAAAGGAATGCTCGTTATCACAAAAAAGGAAAGAGACAAATGTCAAAAACCAACAAATCGTACAGAAGACTGGGTGTGGTTTGTTCTGAAGAAAGAAAAAACGCTGGGTGGTTTATGTATGTATGTATGTATATAAAAAGAAAAGAAAATAGTGTATACCGATGTGATTGTGTATGGCAACGAATCGATATGATGCACTGGTTTCTTTTAGAGAAGCAAGAGAGAACAAGAAAAAAAGAAGTAAAAGTAAAAAAAAAGAAAAGAAATAATCAACGACAACAGTTGTGATGATTGTAATTCAATACTACTGTTGCAAATGCCCAATGGAATTGTTGTGATGTACACGCTGTTGTTGTTGTTGTTGTTGTTGTTGTTGTCCGTAGTAGTGATAGTTATTTCGGTTGGTCGTAGGACCATATGTAGCACCGTTACGATTATCCTGGACAAACGAAAGTAATTAGTCCTGGTAAGATGAGTTTCTTGAATGTGCATTACTTACACGAGTATCTGCAGATGAATGAGATTGGGGTCGATCTTGAAATGTCATGTCACCCACATAATTCGGTATTGGAAAAGCCATCGGATTCAAATAGACAGTTGTTGTTGAAGGGGAAGCTGTTAATGGTGCTCCCTGAGAAAATACTGCTGCTGTCGGTGATAATTTGCTTGATGTAGGAACATCTTTCATTGACTGTGCATTTGTTGATGATTGTTGTTGATGTTGCTGTTGAAGAGTATCATTACTTAGTGAACGTGTTTGTCCATAACTAGCAAAGAAGTCTTTATCATAAGGCGATGAATCTGAAAATGATCAAATTTTAAAGATGAAATAAAACAAATTCTATTTACTAAGTTACATACCATATCTATTTAATTGTGGACGATATGGCTGTTGTTGATTAGAGTAAGTTGGCGAGTAATCTACAAGAATATTGTTTAGGTGAGACAAAATAAACAGGAATTGATTATTTCTTACTGGTCTGTGAATATGAGTATGTATCAAGTGGTGCAGAGTAATTCGTTGCTGACCAAGAGTCAAGAGGTGTGTATAGCCGAACTAACTAAGATCAGTAAATAAGATATTTCTATGTTAGATATAGGCAATTGCCGTTTGAATTAACTTACTGATGGTGAAAGCGCATGATATGGAACTTGTCTGAAATAAATTTGTTGTTGTTGAGGCGGTAATTGATACGATGATTGTTGTGGGTAAGTTCCTGTTGGATACATGGATGCTTTTGGATTTTGCTTATAACTCGAAGATTGAGGATTCCATTGATTCGCTTGAGGATAATCTCGCGAAACGGATCTATTTTGGTAATGGATAGCAAGACTTTCAAGCTACGCGTGTAGACGCAAAAGAAACATACGGATGGTTGCTCAAATTATTGAATGGTGCGAATGCTGACGATGTAACATCTGCAGGGTTTTGTTGAAGATTATTTGATAGAGTGAGAGGCGTGGGTGTTGATGTTGGTGGTAAACGTGTTATGGGAATTTGTACTGGTACTTGTGGTTGAGATGACATTTGAGATGGAATAGCAGATGAGACATCAGTCAGATGATCAGATAAATGTGATGTACCATCGTTAGAAGCAAGTGACAAATTATGTCCCTAAAGAAGATGCCCGATGAGCATTAGAAAATTTCCTTAGTTTACTTACTAATGTGTTATCGTTAATTGATAATGATGATGAAAACTGATTAGTAGTTTCAAGAAATTGAATGTCATGTTCATTCGCTGTTAATACATGGTCTTGAATTCTAGAAATATTCACAAAAGATTTCGTACATTTGATTTTTATATGTCTAGAGTTTTACTCTTGTTTAATGTATTCATGATCTCCTGTATTTTGGTGATAGGTAGGCAGCGCAGCTGAGATCGGTGTGTCATCATCAGTTGGGGTAACTGTTATGGGCAAGGAATCCTTCCATTGGATATCTCCAAATTGAATATCGATTGGCTCAGTAGAACAATGGATTGTTCGATGCATTGCAACGGGTTTCTGACGCATCGATGATGAGGATATGTGCTGTGTGGATGATTTCTTTTCCGAGTGATCCAAATTTGACACTTGCGAGATATTGTCAGTCGAGTCATATTTTTCTACGTTCGATGTTGGTAAGATTGCCTCAGTTGGCGGGTTTGTTTCACCCGGTTTTGGTTCGCGTGCAATGTTCGTTTTCGCGCCTGGATTAGTTCTATTGGCTCCGTGTTGCCGAGGTGGATAACGTGAATTAGACGAATTGTAATGATGACGATTGAAATCATTTCCTAAGAAAACAACGCGATAGTTTCGTGCCGAACAAATATCGTTCTTTGTTGTGAAGAAAAACGAGACTTACCACGTCGTCCGGTGTTGGGACGTCCTGATGATGAATACTGATAACGATCATTACGACGATGAGCATCGCGAAGTGACGAAGTTGGAGATGTTCGTTGAGATAGAGATCGCTCATTATCATCTAAAGAATTCCCATTTATTATCTGATCATTGGGGTGGTACTGAGCAGTGGCTTGATTTTTCTTTTTATTATTTGGTTTAGCCTTTTGCCAACCACCATCCTAGAAATACAAGAGTAACCTTTAAACCTGAAAAACAAACGATAGTCTTTCGTTTATACTTCATAATCTCGTGCTTGTAAGCGGGCGATCGTTTGTTGCATATTGTGATTGCATTCATGAAAGACAATTGATATAATCTCTGGATCAACGTCATCACATGTTTGTTGTATCTATAAAAATCAAGAGAAAACAACGTTTTTCTCTCGCGAAAAATAAATCACAATGATTTTACCAATAAGATTTGTTCATTAATAGCTGCCTCATCGAATTTCTCGGGGCGTAATCGAGCAAGATGTGCACGATCTATGGTATTCATTCTTGAAAGCTGAAATGAGAAAAAAGACTTTTGTCATACACTATCTATGATCCAAGAAGAATCATTATTGACTCATAATTCTTAAAAGAAACATTCGAGGATATTTTGTTGAAGAAATTACAGAAGTATATATGCGAATGAATCATCATTCTACAGAACAAAAATGTCATTTTCATGTGTAGAGAAGATGAAGGATTGTTGTATATGTTGATAAACATGAAAGACAACAACAACAAGCGTGTATAAACATATGTTTATCAGTAGGTGGATCACAAAAGTTTTCCTACGAAATAAAAATGACTCACATGCAGTCGAATATTATTCTTGTTATCGTTTTAATACCGGTGACGAACTGCTCGTAATCAACGGAGTAAATTTTTATATAGTTCTCTTCTATCGGAAAATTCCTTCGAGTAATTTCATCAGTTTATATCAACGAACAGTTTCGCAGGAGATTTATTTATTTATATTGAAATTTCGAGTTCAGAGACAATTAGGAAGTCGAACAAGAAGTGAATTGAGGAGAAGAAGAAATTTCACAAAACAGATCAACGAACGAAAAATATCCTATAAACCATCATGGTTAATCTATGGATAACCAATCAGATTGTTTCAAAACACCAATGCATTAAATCGGTCGAAAATCGTCTGATTGAATGAAAATTTTAGTAAGCTTTGACCAAACATCGTTTGTTTGAGATTCAAGACGGACGAAACGAAAAGTGAAGAAGAAGAAGAAGAACAAGAAGCAGAGATAATCCATTTTACATTCAATCTACTTTAACATTCGAACTCTTCGCATTCTACTGTCTTTCTTCTTCTCCTTGCTGTTGTTGTTGTGTCAAATGGAAATCAATCAATCGACCGGCACTAAAATGCCGAGTCAAGAACATTTAAACATCATCAATAAATTGAATGATGCAAAAATTCCACGACAAAATCAATTGATTGCTAACCGTTTATTTATGAAGAATTTTCCTCGCGAAGTAAAACAAAGGAAAAGGAGAAGAATCTTTCGATCTTTGTACTTCTGTATTTTAGACCACTAGCGCTGAAATTGAAACTCGTTTTCAATCATTTGGTGCTGTTCACGATGTGAAAATCATTGCCAAAGAAAATACGTAAGTACCCACCTGAAATTATCTTCACTCAATCTTACCAAAGCAAACACTTCTTTTAGACATTTTGCGTTTATCTCATTTGTTAATGAAAATAGTGCTCTTGATGTTCTACGCCAACATGCTATGATGCCATTGACATTCCAAAACCAACCGATTATCTTAGCGCCTGCTTTTAAAAAGACCAACATGCCATCGGCAACAAGTATGTGTCTTGTACTGAGAAGTTTCTCATTAGTTCAATTATTTCTGCTCTCTAGGCCCAACATCCTACTGTCCAACAAGTGGTTCAACAATGACACCACCACCAACGCCGTCACGGACAGGAGTAAATGGAATATCTCAACAACCATCAACGCCATACCATCAACAGCAGCAGCAGCAGCAACAACAACAACAACAACAAGTATCGGCTCCCCATCATGTTTATCCACCCATATTTTTTCCTGTACAAGCAAATGTACGTACCTGAAAGACTTACAAGTCTGTATCTATGTCATCATCTTTAGATGCCGTTTATGCCAATGGCTGGTACCTATATCATACCACAAGGACCAACATCACCTCATCATTCGGTAGGACTATTTCGAATGAACATCCCATGCTCATCATGGGCTACTTATTTTAGCAATTACCGCCATCTTTCTACCCAACATTCTATACACAAAATGGTAATCATCAAGCAGGTGGCCAATTAATCAATGGCGTACGTCTCAAATAACGCTTACGAAAAGAAAAATTTCAACATGCTTTGTTTTTTAGCATGCATATCTTCCAACTTCGTACATGTATTCCATGGGACCACCAGCCACTATTCCAGCTCAATATCAAACAGCAGTCAATGATGCGCCTATGACAAGCGAATACTGATCTATATATATACATATAGTTTCTTTTGCGAATCTCGATTCATCGAACATAACTCATCGTATTCAATTCTTTTTCTTCTAGTATATTTTTTGCTCAGATTACTTCTAATCTCGAATGTATCTTCCAGGAAAACAAACCTCTAGAACTCTCAGTCGATCTTGCGCTCTTTCAGTAATATATACGTTGCTTAGATTTCTTTTTCTTTCAGCTTGTGATGATAGTATATTTCTCACCGGTGTATAAACATCAACGATTTATTTTATTATTTTTCCCTTTCTTTTGTCTTGCTCTTTCTGTGTACAATAGCGTGATATTTCTCTTTGCAGTTTGTCCTTCTATGTCAGATGATCTTCTCTCAGAAAAATCTAGTTAAGCTGCTGTCAGATATGAACATATATACACGCACGGTGCCATGATTTCTCTTTTATTTTTCTTTCACCTTTTTTCCTATACCGTCGTCTGTAATAAACATCAGAAAAACAAAAGCGACCACTATCGCGATGTACATCTACTAGTTGCTCTATACTGTGTCTTTGATAAAACTTCTGCGATTTTCAAGAAGTTAGCGGGCGAATAATCCAATAGCGATTGAGAAATGTACCATTTCGGCGAAAAGTAACAAGCAAAAGGCCATCTTCATTAAGAGCGAAATCGTGTATTATGACTGACTTATCAGAAGAACTGAGTAACAAGCGTAGGTTATATTCGGCTATTTGATTTCCATCTTCATCAACAACGTAAAGAAATGTACCACAGGTTATAAAATATTTCCCGCGAAACCAAACAACTTCCGATGGTGAGTTATAAACGCAGCATGTTAGTTTTCGTATCACTGCACCAGTTAACGTGTACATATGAATGGTGGCTGGATATTCAAGCGAGTAGGTAAATAATCTATTATTACTTATGAATAATTTCAATGGTAAATAATCCAAACGCATTGTCTTATGAGGGACACCCATTCGTGAATAAATTCTCACTAGTCGGTATGCATCATCACATACATAAACTAAACCGGTATGGGTTATTGCTACACAATCACTCCGTATGATCGGCACACCTAATATCTGTGGTGTCAGACAACGTACGAGTCGATTTTCGTGCGAGAACACATAGATATAGTAGGCAAGTGTTGGCACTAAATAGACGTAACTATCTTGGTCAATATGAACATGTGCTATTGAGTAAGCGTTGTGAACTGATGGGCTCGAATCAACAGCTTGGTTTAGATGTTCAATTTGGTGGAAAAATATCGGAGTTAAATCGATTCGATAAGAACCATTGACATTAAGCAAGAGGATTTGTTGATTACCATTATCAACAACTAGAAAGCGTCCATCTGGATAAGCTTCGACTGCTGATAGCCAACGTGTTTCGGTGAACATTGCTGCATGTTCATAGATATTGATATAATCGAATCTAGGTAAATCCAGTGCTCCATCATTGATCGATGCATTTGCTGTTAGTGGAGTTGTTGTCGTCGTTAAGCTAATAGGTAGCGTGGCTAGTGTAGCGTATGGATACACTGCCCATACCGGAAGAGCGTAGGATTCATATGCACGAAAATAAGAATAGAAATCAAGAAGATCGGTGTAAGAATTGATTGTATATCGTTCTAAATCGTAGACAAATGAATTTATGTGACTTGGAAAAAAATCTAAAGTATAAAAATACCTTTTGTGAACTGCTCAAAACATTTCTCGTGTAATTCCGTTGCAAGCAATACATTCGATAAAGTTTGGTGCGGAATCCTATAACCGTAATACAAAGCTGGTATTTGCGACCAATGAAAACGTTGTGTACCATAATTTGCATAGCAAAATAATTCCTCGGGTACATCACGTCGTAGTCCATATAAATCTCTGAGAAACAGCAAATCGTAATGGTATAATCTACAATCACCTAATTCAATATGAAGACCTAGAAAAGGAAAAGGATTGTTTCCCTTATTCTGTTTGTATCAATGCTTGTTTTTTCTCAGTCGGTAAGAACATGTTTTTTGCATCATTAACAAAACTATGTTTAGATTGCACTCATGATTATTATTTTCGTTTAGGATATTATCAGAGTGTTATTCACCTATGCGCAATCTTTTGATTTGTTATCATTACGAAGCAAAAACAGACATAACAGCGAGAATAAATTCAATGAAAAACAACGTCTTTTCGCTCTATTTACAAACTGAAGGTTGTGTCTAGGTAAATATTTACCGTATATGTCTTTGTTCTCAAGTACAAAAAAAAACAAGTTTTGAACGCAAAAACACTATTTTTAGAATTTCTTATTTTCTTCAACCGACAAGTGAAAAGTAAACGAAGTTCGAGATTTACATACACGGAATTTGCAACAACCATTGTCGAATCGCTAGTTGCTGATCTTCTCGCATGTATACAATCGGATACCAGTCCACAACATTGATCCACAGTTGTTTAAATCGAACTGATCGGTATTGAAAGAAAATCGAATACAGATCCATACCTGACCATCTGGGCAGAACGTTTTCAATGTAAATACTTGTCCGATTAGAAAATTGAAATAAGTGTAGCAATTCTGTCACACTACCGTGCGTATTGACGATTTTTACATAGTCTACTGGTAGTAGTTTCCTTGAGTCATAGAGTCGAACGATGAAACTTAGATTTTCGATAGTTATTTTTCGTAATAATTCGAAACAATGCGACCACGTGGAATCGAATTCAAAATAACAGTGTTCGTGATGATCGAGACAATTATAGTCATGAAAGATCTTGAGTTCATCGATTTTCTGATTAACTAACAATCGATAATCATTTCCGCAGAGAGAATAAGAAGTCAAATAGAAATTGAATAGGTTTCGACATTCCAATCGACGTTCACTTGTTAAATAACAACCTAAGGACAAATAGAAAAGTTCCAAATTCTGAGTAAGAAAACTCCATTTACTCCATGGTGATGTCTGATTTGTAGATGAATAATCTTCGGACGCATGAGTTAATAGCTGCAAAGGAACTATCCAAAGTAAATGTAGAATACGCATAGGGTTGATGCCATATGAAAAATGTGGTTTTGGGTTTAGAATTCTTAATTCCTCGCTCACATCGATCCCTCGATAGTTGCGGTATCAAGTCATTTTTCTCTCTCATTTTCTCATACTTTTGCTCAAACTCTTTTTTCCTTATTACGTTCAACCTGTACGACTCAAGGTTAATGATGAAAATATTTATTTATTTCACAAGAGTATTGAATAAATGAGAAATATTGATTAGCTGGATCGCTTATGTCTCATAAAAGTACACACTATTGTCCAAGGTCATAAAATATTATTTGAAAATAAAAGAACGTAATTGTGTACATTTGATCATGATTATTTATTGTGTATTCAAACATGAGAGAATAGATCAATTGGGAAATCTTTCCCATGATTAGAAAGTATATTTGTAAGTTATTTTACCCTTACGAATATAGTTAACATCATAGTACCTCGGTAAAAACGAAGCGTTCGATTCAGACGATAGACTGTTTTTTATTGCATATATTTTGCATATGCGATGAAAGAAACAAAGGAATCCAAAAACCCTGCCATCCTTTAACAAAAATAGAACGTTTTATAATGCAGAATCATTTCGAGTAATGTCAATAAAATCAAAATCACTTTACGCATAGTTATACAATCTAAGCTTCAACTACCTGGCTGGTTCTTTTCTTTCGAACGTCATCCAATTGTCATACGAGCTACGTTGACAAGTTAAATAGATGTTCTTCGATAGACTTTTCCTCGTCTATATTTCAATCAGCAGTAAAAAAAAGAAGACACACGTGCTCGAGTATTAACTGTTTTACTTCTTCGTGCTTCTTTTTTTTCTTCTTTCCCTATATCCACTCAATGTATTACGTCATAGTCTAGACGACGTCGATGGCGGCGCGGCGTCGCTGTCGACAGAAACATCTATATAGTAGTTACATGTTTGTATTTAGTCTGTCTGACTAGATAGATGTATACATATAGTGAATGAATTGAATGATGACGAAAGAAACAAATATCAACGTGTATGTGTATATCAAATGCAATTCCACAATTCGTCTCTGTTTTTCTTTCGTGTACATCGTACGCTGATTAGAATTTGCGTGCTAGTCTGTCTGCCTTTATTTTTTTATATGCATGTGGCAGACGAGAACGAGAGAGAAAGAGCGAGGAAAGAATTCAAGTGTCATGTAAATAAGGAAGAAGTATATGCAGTTGGCGGAGAATAGAGACGATTGCCGTTAGCATAAGTGTCTGCGAAAATGACAGAAAAAAATGTTTTGACTTAATGTTGTTCTGGTTTTACATAGTTGGAAAACGTTTCTGTCTCCCGACTGCATCGAATTGAATTACTTGCTACCAGAAACGTCTATTCAAAACAAATATCCATTACTTGTTGCTGTCGCTGCGTTTATGTCATATAACTCATAACTTTAAGGACATATTTTTGTGAATAGCACGGAAAACAAGAAATTAATTGAAATTTCTATCGTGAAAGCCGAGTCATTTCGAAGTGTGTACTCGAGAGCGAATCAATAACATGATTTATTGATAGGAATCTTTGTTTAGACAGTATAGACGAGATAAATTGTATTTTCGATCTTTTCTTATCTGATGGTACGAACGAAAGGGTGGAAAAATCAAGAGAATAGTACGTTTCGTTCGAATTTATGTTTTTTAAAATACAAAGCCGTGCTGGCATTGTTGTTGTCGTTGCTATTGTTTTTCTTTTTTTATCAAAAATACTTAAGAAAATAGAAATTGATGGTAAAAAAAAGAGAATTCTTTTTCAATAGAATAAATAACAAGTGCTTAGACGTTCCGTTTCTTTTCTATTTGACTATCAGCAGTGAAATCTCTCACGTCATTACTAGTGCATTTTTTCTCGATGTTTTGTTTTTCCTCTTCTTTCGTCGTTCTGTTAGACTTTTACATGTGTCTACGGATCAACATGACCTATCATATTCTTTCATTATTCATCTGTAAATGTGAAAAAGCAAAGTTCGCTGTCCCTGTCTATTGACTACTTTGCACAAACTGCAATTTGAAAATCGAAATAGAATAATAAATCAATTCATATTTCGGCATTTCGTTGGAGTTCGGCTTTACTTGACGAAAAGGCCGCTCCATTTGCTAGACGAGCAGCGTTCGGTTTCTTTTTCTTCTGTTTGCTTTTATGTTGCTTATCATTTTATTTTATCGGTATTACCCACTGCTGTTATATTTATATTGTCGAGATCAGACAAGTTACCTCATTCTCTCCTCTTTCATTTTCAAATTGCTGTAATCACAAACATTTAACAACAACAACTGGAGTCGATTGTAATGGCTTCTGTCTCGTGTATTTTGGCGATAACGGAAATAGACATGACGAGACATACTCAGCAGTGCATCGAATGAGAAAGATGATGATGATGATTACACATTATATCATCACAAGACACACACACGCACCAAGCAGACAGACACGAAACAAGAGAAACGGAGAGAAAAAAAATCAAGAGAATCAGACACACGCAGTACATGAAATAAAACCGGCGGCGACGGCTAGACAGAGAGAAAGAGAGCGAACAACATCGGGTAAAGAAGAGAAAGAAGAAAATAAAATGCACGTCTGACTGTCTGTCTAGTTTATGTGCTTGCATCTCCCATTTTGTCACTCGTCTCGTCGTGTTCGCTGTTGCCCATAGTCACTTACCTCGTCTAGTGTTATAGTAACTAAACTGCTATCGCTAAAAAACATAATGTAAGTTAGATTAAAAATACACGTGAGTAGAATAAATACGAATTCCGTTCTCAGACGAACTCGTCTATATTATCTGACGAGAAAAATTCTGATGACTAAGAAGCCTTGCTCATTTCTTTTTCAAACAAAACCAATGGAAAATAGACAGTACGTTCGAATTGAGAGCATTTATTTTCGTCTCTGTTCGACATTTCAATTGCCGAATCTCAGAGAAGAGGACGATATAAATAAACTGCGTACGTCTGCAAAACCGAGGTTGGCAAGTAGAAAATGGTAATAGATTTGTTGATATACCGATAAATATGATTTGGTAGTGTGAAATAAGAAGAAAAACACTTGTCAGGAGGGTTTTTCTATTGTGAATCGAATTTTCTTCTGTGATGTTCGAAGCATTAAACAAGATTTCTATTAGACTGTTTACAAGACAAGGAAATACTAGAATCTAATTAACCGTTATCGTCTAGACGCTAGTGTTATAAAAGGAAACTTTTCAGCCTGGAAGAGTGGGTGCAAGTATTCTTTTTTTTGTTTCTCTATAACATGTTATTTCTTGTTTCTTTTTCAGATCATCGATATGCAAGTCGATGTTTGTTTTTGAGCATGTAAAACTCGTTTTTCATTATCTTCTCTAACAATTGCTTTTATTTTCAAACCCACAAACTTCTCTTTCATTATCAATTCAAAAAGCCACATTCATTTGCAAACTAGTCGATGTTTAACCGTTTTTCGAAAAGTATTTTCTGTTTATCGTCGACGTTGCCGTTCATTCTGTCATGGTTATGACTGTATCTGGAACATTGCTTACCAAACCTCGATTATCACCATACAACAAAATCAAATCTAAATCATATCATTTGCTAAAACGTCATTATCGTCAAACCAATTTTGTAGCACGTATGTACACGACTTCTATCGTGATTTTGCAGTGAAACATACAACGGTCTAGTGATAAAGAGAAATAGTACACTGAATGTACTTTGCCGAGTCATGTTTTTTTGGCCACTTTCAGGAAATTAATATATTTCTTCAGAATTTAAATACAGAAAAGCTATTTTCCATACGCATGTTCGCCAAGTCATGCGTGAAAGCGACGGAAGGAACATTCTTTTCTGTCGTTTGTGTGCTGAGAAGCGATGTATCAGTCGAAGTAGACTTCCGAAGTGTGAAAATATATAAGAGATAATTTAGAATGAAAAAAAAAAACTATATTAGTTCATCAAATATTGTGTAATGATCGTTTGGGTTTTTTTTTGTATGAAGTCGAAGCACTAAAAGCAAAGATGATGCTTAAATATAATCAAAATGATTTCGTAAGAGACTTGTGTACAGAATATGTTGTTGCATATGCGACAGATGTGAAGACATATTTGACATGAGTAATATTTGTTTTCGAACGATTCGGATGATATTGAATATAATGTCACAGAACTGATGAAACAAATTTTGTTTTCTCCGAATGATAATGAGAAATTATTTTAGAAAAAAAAGAGCGTTAAGTTTCTCAAAATAATAGTCAACTAAGCAAATAAATCTGTCTGCAATCCATTTCAAATCAGTTCTTTCTAATAGAGTCAATATGATTAGAGAACTTGGTTGTCAATATTATGTTTTCTCATACGTGATCAGAGTTTAAAATCTCGGCAAAATTTACTGCACGACATTCTACCGGAGAGAGTTTGCTGTGTCTTTTTGAGCCTTCGTTATATAAAATCAAGTAATCAAACCCTATTTTCCTTTATTTCTTTCTAGCCCGTCGTTGTACACCGTCTGCTCATTTTGATAATATCATCATGTCCAAAGCATTAATACGCGAACTTGACCTAAAAATGCAACAAGTGAAAGAATATGGTCTCATTACTCATGGATATCATAATGAAAATATTCAATATCCAGTTCATGTCCGTCGTAGTCATGATGGTGAACGAATACCACGTGCTTATCCCAGATTCGATAAATATCCGAAAACGGATCGCTTAACTAATTCGACTATTTTAACGTCTTCGTCACATGAAAATCAAACTTCACTTGCGAAAAAACGCAACTCAACGAAGAGACAACCTGTACCTACTGATCAACAACAAAGAACATTTCTCGTTCCACCAAACAAGACTGTTAATGACATTGATCCATCGTTAGATCGAGATCATACATATACGACCAGTACATCATTAACCAGATATTACTATCATAGAAAATCCTCCACATCATCTACAAACTCGTCTCCTATTCTTTGTTCTCTACGGCCACATTCGATTGCTTGCCTGTCAACAACCGAAACGATTACAACAGATTCATGTGAAAGTACGAAAACAGATGAACAAGCAAGTCATCTTTTGTCGAATTCATCTCAATCGTTAATCAATCAATCCACATCTCGGACGCCTATAAGATCAATAACACAAAAGTTCTTTTCCAAACTCTTCCATAATCCATCAAAATCCTGATATAGAGAAATTCTTGTTTTTGTTTTTGTTTTCTTTTCTTCTTTCGTTTCATCAATCTTGCTTTTTTTGTACACGATAACAGTGCTTTTCTTTTCTTTTTCTTTCTTTCTTCTTGTGCTTTTAGAGTAATTGAGCGAGCGATGATCTCAAAAATTATCTCACTCATTTTCTCTATAACGTCTTTATATATGTAATTACTGTTGTTTCGTGTGTCGAGTTTGTTAAGGAAAAAAAAAAAGAAGAAACTACGGCGTGAAACAGTATCGATTTCATCTTGTTGTTTATTGTTATTAATCCCATGTGGGATGCCTTACTGTTTAGCTTCGTTTGCTTCTTTTTCCTTTTCTTCGTCCTCTTTTTCTTCTTCTTTGTTCTATCTGTCTTGCGTATTATCGAATTAATATTTTTCGTGTTCGTTCCTCACGATTTCCAAAAGAAAAACTCAACTAAACCAAATCCCATGCTAGTCGGATGAAGATATGTTAACTATAGTCATTAATTCTATAGATTTTGTTGTCATATAATCTACGTAATCTTCAAAAAGAAGTTTTACGATGTGGATGACGCATGTTTAGGAGAAACATTCTTATTAAAAGATGACGTACGTTGTTGGTTGTAAAGATTTATTTTAAACTTGATATACTGTTAGCTGTTGCTCGTTGATACATACTGAGTGAGTGATGCAAGTGTACTCAATTATGGACGAATACCGATCGGGAGTTGTATATTAAGGTGAAATCGGATACGATTAGTTAGCTAGTCTTGAAAACAAGCATCGAACGGTTCATGTCAAAGATTTATTTGAAAAGTTCGTTTTCTATCCTAAGTGAACACAATGAAATCAAAGTTTACACTAATGTTGAAAGTTCATCCGCTTTGGTTAGATCAATATCATCTTCATTTAAATGATTTGAAGTAGTCGTTTGATGTAGAGATGAACTCATCGTGTCGAATTTCCCATTTACTATCGAGTGATTATTTGTTTTAATTGTTAAGAAATATGCTAGTAGAGTGAAAAGAATAAAAATAAGACCAAAGCCAAGAATAATCAATGAAACGATGGCAGGTATCAGGGACATGTTTAATAAAATAAAGAAAGACATTACTAGAAAGATAAGAATTTACGAATTAAAAAAAGTACAATTGTCAATATTTATTACCGAGAATGAGTGCAGGAATTGACGCATAAAAGCCACAGATGGCCAGAAATCGTGACGATGACGAGCTGAAAATTGAGTTGTTGTTTCTAAAATGGACATTCATATCTTTTATGTTTGTACGTTAGAATCAAATTTTATACCGATGAGAGCGATGTTTGCTTATCACAATATTACATCCGAGGTAAATTTCAATACTGAAAACTAATAAACTAAAACAGTTCAATACGATGATAAACATGCATATGGTCGTTGCCAGATCTCGTATTGTATGATCGTACAATGGAACAACAAGCTGTGGAATTTTCTCCGTAGGTGGATTCGGTGGTGTAAACATGTACAAGAAACCTGGGGTAACATTTACTGATTGAAGAAGAAAAGGCATCATATTGTCTGGATTAGGAGGATTGGTTTTGAATAGAAGTTGCATGGCAGATAGAGAAATAAGAATGAGAGATGCCGAAACGAAACACATGAAGCATAGACTGAGTATGTTCGCACCTTTTGCTGCGGTTAGGAAGCGCCGGCGATCATTGGAGGGTACTGTAATAATTTGATCAGAAGAGAAGTCATGTGGACGAGCAAGTTCGGTAATATTGACAGTTTCATGACCAATGGAAACTTTATAGGATGCCGAATGTGGACCACATAGAGCGGGTGGTGGAGGCGGCGGTACTACCAGTACTGGTCGATTTGGACGTTGTTGAATGCTTGAATCCGATTGACTTAATGTTGCATGCCAATTCATATTAGAATCAGCTGGTGGCGATCGAATTGAAGAGGACGACGATATACAATTAAACAGGTGCCTAATAAAAATTAAGGATCACAATTAAAAGTGCCTTTATATAATGAAATATCGAGAAATTTTCTCAAGTATACCTGTCATCATAGTTCGGCTTCCCCATCATACGCAGGAGAAAATCTTTCTGAACTGGTATTGACTCAATATGGCATCTTACTATTACTCTGACACTTTTTCCCCATTGATTGTACGAAAAAAGAGAGAAGGAAGAAGAAGAAAAAGAAGTTTGTATGCAACAACTGTCTCGAGGTATGAATATTGATGATGATTATGAACAACTTTCAATGTATAACCGTCAATTAGATGACGAATGAGAAGCCGCAAGGGAATACATACACACACATATATATGAAAGTGTTTGAAGGTATCGTCTCATTCTGCCTTTTTCTCGGCATATAGTAAATATTCTTGTAGTTACATCCAATTAAATGTATGATGCCATCACCGTCTGTGTGAATGTTTGACATCCACTCTACATGACTATCATCTATACAGCTTCTATTTGTTTGCAAATTGACCTATATGACAGAAGAAAAAAAGAGATAGAAACTATAGTACAGACGAGAAGTGTTCAATCATTTGCACAATACGTTGATTAGGTAATCAGATTGAAAGATTTTGATGTATCTGTCTAATCATTGAATACTTTTTCGCATATAAATTAGATTTATCCGATTACCACACATCACTTTTGTACTTTCATGTCTGCGCACTACATTACTCCATCTGACAAAAGTTCTCGTCATTGAAAATCATTTAAAGCGATTCACATACTTTCTTGTCGAATACTTCACTACAAATCAGCAGATCAGATAAAACTACGAGCCAAATTTCATCCACCATCGTCTGATATATTCTCTATATTGACTTAATTAAAGTTTCGTTGCGTACTTCACTTGCAACCATATGTTGAATAGCGACCGATCGTATTGGTATAAGTGGATATTGACGGTGGCAATAACAAGACGTGTTTGCATAGTATATGTATATATATATATTTCGTCTCTTTCATTCAACTTGTCATTTTGGTTTATGAAAAGAAAAAGGTATGAATAAATGACAATAAAGAATGATGGCGACGAAGACGATTGATTTGATTCGTATAATAAATAAATTCGAACAAATGCTATACTTTTTGACTAAAATAGGCAAATAAAAGAATATTAATATACGAATTTGTTCTCCTTTTTTTGCATTCAACACAACAGAAACTACTCTTCGACAAGGTTTCTCTCTGAAATAGTATTGATCTGAATTTTCATTCGAAGAGTTAACGTGAGTATCTTGACTACAAATGACCCCATGTCATTTCGTTGTTAATTATTATCATGCAAGAAAGTCTCATCTCGAGAGATTTGATTATATGCATGTTAAACACTTTACTGTAAAGTTCATCAATGTGCACAATTGATTGAGAAATCAATCGCCACTTATTTAATAAAATATCACGCACAAAAGCAATCTCATCACATCCTTCCAATGACTAACGACGATTTGCAGAAGGATTTACACGAGAGAACTTCTCGACCAGCAAATAGCAATAGGAATTGTAAATATTAATGTATTAAAACTTGTGTGTTCCTTCGACTAAATGGAATCTTTGCTTGTGCCTTGAAATTCGAACATGTTGACTTATTCTTGATTGACAACAACGAGCCAGGGATGTAAATTTGATATTACATTCGTTTGTGATTCACTTCCTCTTGTTACAGATATGCTAATCAGCAGACAAAATCCATCGTTGTATATCTCTTCATTTACACTCTTATATATGACTTATCGACTGGTAGTCAATTATAAACTACGAGTCAATTTTTAATTTTATCTTTTTAAAAAAGGTCCGTGTGATAATGACTTCAGAAACGATCAGTCTTCGCCTAGTCGACTGTGAAATACTTCGAAAAACTGTATTCCCTGAAGTCGTTGCACTTCCTTCGCGCATGGTAATTGTTCGAAAAAGAAAGTAAGGAAAAGAGAAAAGAGAAAAGAACGGATGATATTAAATGGTTAATATATATATATATATATATATGAAAAAGTCATTGTTATTTTTCGTCCTGCGTGATCTTTCTGGAAAAATCAATCGAATTATTTTCTTTAATACACAAGATAGATTAGTGATCATTGTTCATGTTCCTTTTTTATCGCGTGCTCCAACGTTAATTGTACACTGACAAGTATGTGTCATTAACTTCATTGATTCCTCACTATTTGACTTTCTGATGGAATATTTCTCGATGCTCATCATTGATATTCGATATGTTGTTTTTCATGTGTAAATTCTTCCAAGCAACATCATGTCTTCTTCTTTCTTTTTGCTCAATGAAACATGTATGAAGATCGAGTCGATGCTGTGAGTAAGTATGGACTACAATTCGATCGTTTTTCGTGAATTTACACATGAATCGATACAACGAATTGAACGATATCGTCAAGAAGAAGCCGAACGTATCGCTTCCGAACGATTACAGCGACAAACCATCCATGAAGAGGAAAGTGAGCAACACAATCCTAAACGAAAGTCATCAAAGTTAGAACCTATCGACTCGAAACGAAAAGCAAACAAAGAATTAGCAGTTGGACAAATTCTACCCAGAACTCTACAAGCGAAGTTTCCAGCGGAACTAATCGGCAAACCAATCGAAGAAATCGATTGGTATTATCGAACAGAATATGTACGTAAAACCTTCAATTCTGTTTTCAAACTATTTTAATCTTGATTGCTACAGGTCTTTGTGGTTATCAATCAAAATAAAACTATATTTCGGTTTAGTTCAACATCTGCATGTTTTATTTTTTCTCCATTCAATCCCGTTCGACGTTTTGCCATACGAATATTAACACATTCATTGTTTAGTACATTTGTTATGCTGACTATATTGACAAATTGTATATTTATGACATTGAAAAATGTTCCTGATACGAATGAGTATGATGACTGGAGGTCTTCTCTCTCTCTTTCGAATTAAAATTTTGTTTTAGATACGTTTTCACGTTTATTTATACAACAGAAGCATTGATTAAATGCATCGCACGAGGATTTATTTTGAAGAAATTCACATTTTTACGTGATGCATGGAATTGGCTAGATTTTACTGTTATTACATTAGCGTATGACGATTTGTCCTACAATAATCTGCGTATTATCGCTGTGTTCTTTAGGTATATTACGTTCTTTGTCAACTTGGGCAATGTTTCTGTACTTCGAACATTTCGAGTGTTGAGAGCGTTGAAAACAGTTGCGGTTGTTCCTGGTATGTGCTACTGAATTGACGGTGAATTGATTAATCAAGCTCTTTGTTTAGGTTTAAAGACGATTGTTGATGCTTTAATACAATCGTTGATTTGTTTACGTGATGTCACGGTTTTATCAAGTTTTATACTTTCAATATTTGCATTGGTTTGATCTTCAGTACACGCTGATTTATGAAAATATTAAAGTTTTAGGTTGGTTTACAACTCTATATGGGTGTTCTTCGACAAAAGTGTGTAGTTTCTTACGAATCGTTTATTAATATCACGCATGCGATACCGAATGAATTCAATACGTCATATGAATATTATCGGCACGAGATTAACAACAGTAGTACGTTTTGTCTTTGCAATGTTCGGCAAGCTTCATTTGCATTTCTAGCTTATTGGTATCAAGAGGACGAAGCTTTTGTTCTTTGTGGTAATGCAAGTGGTAGTCGAAAATGTCCCGACGGTTACGTCTGCTTGAAAAATCTAGGCATCAAGTAACACTTCTTCTGTTCGTTTTTCGCTTCACGCATTCTCTCTTTTTAGTCCTGACTATGGATATACCAGGTACAGAGATAGTACTTATTTTGCATGCATTCGCTTCCTTCTCTATAGCTTTGACAGTTACGGCCGAGCTATGCTTTCATGTTTCCGCTTGATGACACAAGATTATTGGGAAAATCTCTATCAATTGGTATGTGGACAGTTCACAGTGTCTTCTTGCTTAAAAGCCTCGTTTATGTAGGTGCTTACAGCCGCCGGTCGTTACCATTTTTTGTACTTTGTTGCTGTTATATTTTTTGGCTCGTTCTATTTGGTAAACTTGATCTTAGCCATTGTTTCAATGTCATATCAAGAACAACAGAAGAAAGTTCGCGCTGAAAACGAAGAACGTGAACGACGCAAAGTCGAAGATGAACTCGAACAACAAAATGAACAAGCAAAAATTGCTTCTCTCTCTGAAAGATCCTCGGCCGTCGACCAAGGACAATATTTTCATAATGTCTTACTTTTTGAAAATGCAGATCGAAAGATTTCCACATCAGGCCTCTCGATTGAATATGAAGATAATCATCGAGTAAGATATTTGAGAAAACTGCATGTTCTTCCACGAATACTCTCTCGATTTTCTAGAGAAATGAATCGAAAGATATGCAATCACTTCGCCCATCACCGTTAATGTTCGAATTTGATGATATTGATGTCGTTTATTCCAATCCAATCACCATTGATGATACAACTATACCGTTTTTCGATGAATCTCAAAGAAATTCGATTCGAGAAGATAAAAAAAGTCAACGAACAAGAAACATTTCGTTCGAATCAGAGCAAGCCAAACGCGACAACGATTCCACTATCACAGTAAGTCAATGCAGATGTTCATCTCGTCTGATTCGATTTATTTTTCAGCTTTGTCAACCCAAACCTCATGTGAGATATCCTCCGATTTTGGAAATTTCCGCACCTTCTAACGGCGAAATTGCAAGTGTTCATTCGCAAAGTAAGCACTTCTTGAATATGTATTCACATCGATGTTTCTCAGTTTCAGAAAAAATCGATCTATGCGACCGCCCTATGATGAAGCTGCTGCGAATCTACTGCTTCGAATGGGACTGTCAAGTACCAATTTTCAAAAAATTTCAAGTAAAAAAACCAAAAGTCAAATGTATCTCTAATTACTTATAAATAACTAATTCTGTTCGTAGGAAACGGTTGCCTATTTTATGTTAGATGCATTCGTTGATCTGTTTATAACGATATGCATTGTTTTAAATACACTGTTCATGGCACTTGATCAGCATGGACAAAGCGAAAGAATGACGCGGATACTGACGACGGGCAATTATGTTTTTACCGGTATATTTACCACTGAAGCAATATTGAAGATCATTGCAATGGCACCAGTCAAATATCTCAAAGACGGATGGAATGTCTTTGATCTGTTTATCGTTACACTAAGTCTAGTCGAATTAGGACTTGCTAATATAAAAGGTCTTAGTGTTTTACGCTCATTTCGCTTGGTAAGCTTTCGTCATTCTTGACACAGTACTTTTTCTGATGAAGTTTCTTTAGTTACGTGTATTCAAGCTCGCGAAATCATGGCCAACATTGAATCGACTGATGTCGATCATCGGCAAAACGATTGGTGCGCTAGGAAATTTAACATTTGTTGTTGTCATTATTATATTTATATTTGCTGTCATGGGCATGCAGGTAAATGGAAGAAAAATAATTGTAATAAGTACGAAAGAATCTCTACATCTTTCATTCTAGTTATTCGGTCAAAAATACACAGATGAGTTTGGTAAAGATATGCCGAGATGGAACTTTTGTGATTTTTTTCATGCATTTATGTAAGTTGTGTGGAATCAGTGAACGGAAAAAAGATCATTGAACTCTTATTGAATCAATAGGATTGTCTTCCGTGTTTTGTGTGGAGAATGGATCGAATCAATGTGGGTGTGTTTGAAATGTGCCGGCTGGCCATGCTATCCATTTTTCTTATTTACTTTTGTCATTGGCAATCTTGTGGTACGTACATGAGCCCATTCTATCTGGAAACCATTAAATCGCCTGTTTTTTTGTAAAGGTATTAAATTTATTTTTGGCTCTCCTACTTGCATCATTTGGTTCGAATGTTCTGGCTGAACGTGAGAAAGAGGATGATGACAACAAGATTGGTGAAGCAATCGAACGTCTTCAACGATGTTTTCGCTTTCTAATCCATTCTATTTTTCGTCTATTTTCACGTGTAAAACAAGCGCAAGATACAGCTGTTACCGATAATCATCTAGATAGAACTTTATTTCACGATCGAGTTTGTTTTCACATTCCTTTCTATTGTTCATACAAGTTCCAAATTCTATTTTTAGTCTACACGTGCATCACTCTCACTGTCAATAACGTTTGATCAAGAGAAAATCAATGATTCGGTGAAAATGAATGAAGACATCGAAATGAAACTAATGAGTAGTCATTCGAATACTCCTCCAACATCTCCCATCGATCTGTATCATCACATGCCACCACCTGATTGTTGCCCCAAACTAATTACGAAACATTTATCATGTTGTGCAAAATGTATACCAAAACCTATCCGACAGAAGTGGACCTTTTTCCGTAGCAGAGCTCTGCAACTGGTTGAACATCGCTTTTTCGAACGATTAATCATCGCTAGCATCTTAGCAAGTAGCACAACTTTGGTAAGTGGTCGAAAAGAGTTGAACCATGATCACTAGGATCGTGTATATTCCAGGCTTTAGAAGATATTAACACTCGTCAACAACCAATCTTTTACAAGATACTAGTTGTATTGGACAAACTTTTTACGGTGATTTTTACTATTGAACTAATTCTGAAATGGTTTGCGTACGGAATCAAAAACTATTTTACGAATGGCTGGAATTGGCTAGATTTTGTCATCGTGCTAGTCAGCGTTCTTGGAAGTCTTCTCGATTGGCTTGGTGTAGCAGATATCCCTGCATTTAAATCTATGAGAACACTACGAGCTCTACGTCCATTGAAGGCACTTTCAAGATTCGAAGGGATGAGAGTAGGCAGATTAAATGTGAATTTGACTTGACTATTTTTGACCAAACTAGGTTGTTGTCAATGCGTTGGTTGGTGCTATACCATCAATTTTCAATGTGCTGTTAGTTTGTCTCGTGTTCTGGCTGATTTTTTCAATCATGGGTGTTCAGTTATTCGGTGGCAAATTCTATAAATGCGTTTATGTTAATACACACGATCGAGTCAGTATATCAGAAGGTGTCACAAATAAAGAGGATTGCCTAAGAAAGAATTTCACATGGGAAAATTCTCGAGTCAATTTTGATAATGTTTTCAATGGCTATTTAGCTTTATTTCAAGTAGTAAGTGTTTAAAATAGAGCATACTGATGACCTGATTGGGTTTCGTTTTCGTAGGCGACTTTCAAAGGGTGGATTGAAATAATGGCCGATGCATCCGATGCTAAAGAAGTACGCTTGGATATGTATCACTTTCTCGATTATTTTAGTTGGATTTTTCAGGTCGATGTCCAACCGGAATATGAAAATAATGTTTATATTTTGGTTTATTTTGTTTTCTTTATCATTTTCGGCTCATTTTTCACTCTGAACCTATTCATTGGTGTTGTTATTGATAACTTCAATCAACAAAAACGAATTGTAAGCGATTTTCATCAGACTCAACCGTTAAAAGTCTTTCGTGGATTTCAGTTAGGAGGTGGTGGCTCGATAGAAATGTTTATGACCGATGATCAAAAGAAATATTATAATGCGATGAAGAAAATGGGTACCAAAAAGCCAACGAAAGCTTTACCAAGACCCCGAGTAAATGTTCTAAGTTCAATATCTTCATATATTCTTATCGTTCAATATTGTTTTAGTTTGCTCTAGCAAGATTCTTCTTTGATGTGACCACCAATCAAAAATTTGACATTTTCATCATGATATGCATTTTACTTAATATGCTCTGTATGTGTCTGGAACATGATGGGCAAAGCAAAACGTTCGAACGAGTCTTGGGCTACATCAATAACTTTTTTATCGCTTTGTAAGATGAGAGTTGAAGTGTGTGATCAATCGGTTCTAGCATTCTTGATGGTTTAGATTTACCATTGAATGTGTTATGAAATTGATCGCATTAAATTTCAAGTATTTTACTATTCCATGGAATGTCTTTGATTTTATTATTGTGATTTTATCCATTCTTGGTATGTCGATTGATTTGATTGAGTTTTCGAATAACATCGTTTTTTGTAGGTCATGTTTTAGGAGAAATTATAGCGAAATTATTTCTTAATCCGACTATATTACGCGTTGTTCGCGTTGCTCGTGTTGGAAGAGTTCTACGTTTAGTTAAAGGTCCGTACTAACACATGTCACTTTCTCGAGTAACTACGTCATATTTTTAGGTGCAAAAGGTATTCGAACCTTACTTTTTGCATTAGCTGTCTCCATGCCAGCTTTGTTTAATATCGGTCTTCTTCTTTTTCTTGTCATGTTTATCTATGCAATATTTGGAATGTCGTTTTTTGCGTATGTCAGAAAATCAGCTGGTGTCACTGATCTATTCAACTTTGAAACATTTCCCAATTCGATGATTGTACTCTTTCAAATGTGTACAACTGCCGGATGGTCAGGCGTTTTTCAAGCACTAACCAATGATAAGCCACCGGACTGTGATCCGACGATAAAATCACCTTCCAATCGAGGGGATTGTGGAATAACAGCGATCGCTATACCATTCTTGGTTAGCTATCTGATCATCAGTTCTCTAGTTGTGGTAAGAAGTTTTCCATGATTTTGTTCTCGTTAGTCTACTTTATTCATGTAGGTTAATATGTATATCGCAGTTATACTTGAGAACTTCTCTCAAGCTCAAGAAGATGTACAACAAGTAAATACGAAAGGTCGTTTGAACTAAGCTAACATTTCTGCTGTCCTTTTCAGGGATTGACTGATGATGATTATGATATGTATTACGAAAAATGGCAATATTTAGATCCATCCGGTTCGCAATTTATACGTTACGATCAATTATCTGACTTCGTCGATGGTCTTGAACCGCCGTTACGTATACCAAAACCGAATCAACTGCTATTAGTCGCTATGAATATTCCAATTTGTGAAAATGATCGCATTCATTGCGTTGATATACTCGACGGCCTGACAAAACATTTTCTTGGTACATTAGATGCATTACCAGCAAATAACGAAGCAGAAACTCCAATCGACATCAGAAAAGATCGCCCGAAGGACTACTATCCAATCACAACGACTATTCAACGCCAGCGTGAAAACTACTTGAGTCGAATTGGTCTTAGAGGTTTTCGATATAACGTTAGTCGATGTCGAACTATACGACAACATCAAGAACCGAAGCTGACAAGAGCTCAAATCGATGAATTGATCGAATTTGATGCATTAGGTACACCTGCTCTACTACCATCTCATCAATCGAATTTCACGACAAGAAAATTAGTCCGACAACAACGGCTCACTGATTCCGATATCATATCCAATTGCTCATTTGGAATGTGATGAACGACATTCAAATCGTTAAGACTAGACGTTGTTTGTGATAATCGAACTTTTCTCGCAGTGAAATTTCATAATTAAACCATGCAATAGATGTGTCTGTAACGTCGATTCTTTTCTTTATTTAAATCCGATTTGAGGTAATCAACAATACAAAAAAAAAGCGAGAGACGATTGATTACGCTCTCACTGTATCAGACATATTTAAGCTTCAAGGCTAAAATTACCGATCGAATAATGCGGGTACCTATCTCCGACAAGTCTAAATGAACTCTTTCTGCAATCGATATTTCGTGTCTACTCGAAATGATATGACCATGATTGAATACTAACATTAAACAAAATGATATTAGTCCTTCGATTGTTCTAAACATATTTCAATATGAATTTTTATCTATTCAATTAACTTGCTTGATAGACGATATTAAATACATGATACATTGACTCCCAAGATGCATGTTTCGAAAAAATGAATGATATATTCATTCAGTAAATCGCTTTGACTTCTAACGCATTGAATACATGCAAACTCTTCATCAAACTTGTCACATACAATCATGCTGACTTTCTCTTTTAACTGTACAATCGCGTGTATCACGTCCACACCGACTGTCTCCTAGTTTTAAACATTGAAACGAGAAAGAAGGAAAAATAAAAAGAAACGTCGAACATTCGTGTGATATCTTTTCTAATGGTCTTCGTGTGATAAATGATCTCACTCTCTCTCTTGCTTCTCTATTTAACTTGATAACATCTGTTAGAATCTCTTCTTTTTCATTTTAAATAAGATCCGCCCTTAATCTAATGAGAGTTCATTCATCGTAGAAATGTCAAAATGACAAACAAAGAGAAATACCGATGATATTTACTTTTTAATTGAACAGTTCAAGATTGAATAACGTGCAATAATTCATTTTTCAATTGAGTGTGAAAAAGGGCTTCTTTTCCAACGCTTTATCGAAGTGACAGCCGACACATTGACGTATATGCATACACACAAACACACTTCAATTGAGAAGTTAAACAATCACAATTCAAAGAGATGAAAAGAATCTATCCGGACACAATTTCTCAGGTGTGTAATCCTCGTTATCATTGGTGATGATGATGATGATGATGCGTGCACATTTCTTTTCCCTTTTTTTTCAGCTATAATTTGAAACGCACTCATAATTGATTTTTTCAATGCCGATAGAAAAAGATAAGCATCATCACCATCCGTGCCCTTTTTTCTTCAGCAGTAACAACTGCAGCGTTCATTCGATTACCAATTATCATCATTGTATGCAGCAAGCTAGTTAAAGTCACGCCTTTGATCTGCAGAAGAACAGCCTTTCATCATTAGTTCTGTTGTACGATATCGAAAACTCACTAGGGGGTACGATCTCGCCGTACACGCATCGTCTTTTTCTAAATGAGCAGTTTCGAACATCGATATTTGGCCTGTATTCAAATTCAACAGTCATTGCGTGAAATGAGCTTTTTATTGTGCAATGAACAATAACGAAACGCGAACGGGAGACGCCTTAGTTTTTTTTTCTCATAAAAAATTAGTCTCGTCGTTAAATATACATTGTCTCAAGGTTTGGGTGTCAATCGTGATGATTTTAGTTTTTGAACGACACTGTGGACATAGTCATACAATCGAGAGAAAAAAAACGAACGCTAACGTTCGGAACGGGTGAATGAGAATTCGAAATGAACCGAAGCTCATTTACATGAGAACGTATGTGTGACCAACATTTTTTTCGAGCACTAGTCTCATGATAACATCCTGTGTGTCTGTGTATTGATGTAAATCGATCTATATACGTTTGTAAACATTTATTCATTCAAAGTCGATAGATGTATAGACACACACACAAGGTTGGATTAAAAAAGCTCACTGCTGTGATTGAGAGTAATTCGAAGCATATTCAAAGTAAGCTCGTTTGTCTCTCCCGGTCACCGACGAATTACTCAAGTGTCTGTATACATAGGTATGGTATTAGTGCAGGTAAATTGAACCACAAGCGCGTCGATTGATCGCATCCGTCTTAGCCTTTCTGTCTCATCTTAGATGTCATATATGTAAATTCTCTTTTTCGTTTTCGGATCTAATCTTAGATCGAATGTTGACACGTAGTAGTTTCTTCGTCTCATTCTTCTTCTTTATCCAATCTATTGATCAGATAACCATCGATCGATAACCGTTGTTTATTCGATAGCGAAAAGAAAATATAGTTAGACAAATGAGTACGCAAGTCCATATTTTCTTCTTAATTGTTATTCTTCAATAATTTCAATTCGTGATCTCATTAGATAAAAAGATTGTATCAGTTGCTTGTAAAAACAAATTTTTTTTCTCAATTTCTCATCTCAATGTGTATATATGAACATGTATATTTATACACATCGATGTATATGAAATCCAGATGGATAGCACACACGCGTTTATTCATTGAGAATGATAAACAAGGATAAATGTTATGTGATAGAAAGAAAAACGGTTGGACAGCTCGATCACCTTCAGAGAATATTCACTCGGATGACGCAATCGGACATGAAAACGCGCTTGTCTCGATCGATTTGTAATTGATTTGACACGCTGCTCTTTGGCGGCCTGCTGTCAAATACAGAAACATAGTACTGATGACATCTCCATTAGCTATACACCCTCGAAGTTACTCTAAGCACCACACTGAGCACATGTATATATATATAGCATGTATTCGTTGACCAACGATATTGATATGTATATGCATAAGATTTGTTGTAGACAGACAGGAACTGAATCCTATATCATAGATAAGATTCTCACGGGGAGAAAAGTGTGCTTATCTGATAAAAGTCTCTATTTATTTGTTTGTTTGTTTGTTTGTTTGTTTGCATATTATTTCAGCAAATAGCGAATAATTGCCGGTAAGCCGCTTGCTCTTTTATTTCCGTACATAGTTTGCTTCTTATTCTATTTAGCGCTTGAACCTACTTCACACTCTGTTAAGAAAAGATAGTCACTATGTCGTGATTCGATATCTATTTCTCTGAAGTAGAGAAGAAGAAAGAAGAATTAGACATAGTCTTCACCACACCCACAGGATAATGATGACACTAATGTTACAATGATGATTATCATTGCCGGTAAAAGAGAAAAGGAAAAGGAGAAAGACAGGTAGGGTATTATAGCGAAGAGGAGGAGTTTCCCTTGATATGTACTATTATACAGCTAATGGAATGTGATTAACTGAAGAAAGACGACGAACAATGATCATTGTCTAATTACTAGACCAAAGTATATCTGTCATTCATTCTTCAGACTACTTTACTTGACGGATACCTCATTCATTAATCAGATAGATTCCCATGCGAAAATTTCTTCGCCGTTCGCACTATCGAATGTGTGAAATTTGAAATGAACGGCAGAGACTGATTTAATTGTTCGTCGATGAACATTAGCAATGGAAGCAATAGAATGAATGAAAGAAAATTCGAACTTCGACTTGTATAACACTGATTTTTGTCAAGTAAGGCATCCAACTGTGTTCAGATAATTACTTCTTCTGTCTTGTTCAATTGAACAAGTTGACTAAAAGTGTTCGAAGAAAGAAGGTAATTTATCACCTTCTTCTTGCAGCTCTTGCTTTCGACCATTGGACGTTGACAAAAGGAAGAAAAATAGAAAGAGAGAAAGAGAGAAAGAGAAAGCGGGAAAAATGTTCTTCCTTTTCTATGTCTCTTCTTCTTCTCCTCTTCGTTCCCTCGATTTCATTCAACATCATTTCTAGATGATCATGCTACTCTTCTACATCTTTCTTCTTATTGGACTTAGTCAATGTCGTGAACATGAAATCTCAATCAATGAAGAAACCCCAATCGATACAATTATATTTGATTTAAATAGTTTATCAACAACAGTCATTACTTATCAATTATTAGAAAGTTCTTCTCTATTGCATTTTAATTCAACAACGAATTTAATCTCGATCTCGAAACGGATTGATCGAGACACCTTGTGTCCGAATGATGATCAATGCTCAAAATGTTACTTAACAATTAAACTCTACGATATGTATTACTATGATATCTTATTATTAAAATTTAAAATCAATGATATCAATGACAATCAGCCGATCTTCAGTTCCAATACTTATTCAATATCATTAACAGAAAATAACATGCCAGAGATGAAAATACGTTTGTCCAAAGCCGAAGATATCGATTGTTTTATCAACGGTGTTCAGTTATATGAACTAACATATGTCTATCGTAATCGCGTAATCGTCTCTTCAGTAAATGTTTTCCAACCGCAACCGCAGAATCAAACCAATCAACCGTTCTATTTATTGTACGATTCCAATGCAGAATTATATCTTGTGATTAACATATCACTCGATCGTGAACTACAAGATGAGTATATTTTCACCATTACTGCGAATGATCAAAAGTACGCGACATCAACGAAATTGACATTGACTGTTCTCGATGTCAACGATCACAATCCGAAGTTTTCTCAATCGATTTATACAGTTAATATTTCTCAATCGACTCCAATGGGAACAATTTTAATCAAATTAACTGCTTACGATGCTGACTCCGATGATAACGCACGCATTTATTACTCATTATTAAGTATCGACGGTTATAAAATCGAATCCAATGATAGAAATGAGTTATTTCAATTGAATTCCTACACAGGTGAACTGACTCTTCTATCGAAACTGGATCACTTGGATACGAAGAATATTTTTAAACTAGTTGTCGGAGCGTCCGATGGAACGCACAATGCAATTCCAGCGCTAACTACTGTCTATATCAATGTCCAAACGGACCTTTTCAACAGTGATCAGTCATTAATTCAAATCACTTTTGGTTCAAATCGCGTTTCGAAGAATTTCACGGAAGTTTACATCTCCGAGAATCTTCCGAATGCAACATTCATTGCTTATATCAAATCGAATCCTAATCTTCAGTTACTAACCCACGAAGGTTTTTTCCTTCAGAAATTAACCGAAAACTCATTTACTTTATTAACTGATCGTAGTTATGACCGAGAAACACGTTCGTCGTACAACGTTCAATTACGTAATGGAAATATTCAACGAAATTTTCAAATTCTCGTCACGGATGTAAATGACTGTAAACCACAATGGAATTCTTCGATATTAAACATTGATTTTGATCAATTTATACACCTGAACGAAGCGATTGTTTTAACTTTGAATGCAACAGATGAGGATGAAAACTCTCGTGTTGGGTATCGAAAGAAGAGTACGTCATGGCCACAATCGATTTCATTAATATCAAATCAATTAATACTTAATTGTACAGTCGAAGGAAATGAAACAAATAATGATTGTTGGTTTTATTTAGCAAATGGCGAAATTTGGTTAGATATCGAAGCCTACGATCTCGATAATGAGAATTTCTCATCAGTAATTAAAATCCGTCTTTATCGCAGTTCAATCGCCGGTACGGATCGATCCTACGTGCAGATTAAACGTTTATATCAGTATGATATCCTTCAATGGCTGAAACATGAATATATCATAATGAGCATCGCTTGTTTAATGGGACTATTATTTGTCGTTGCCACCATACTCAGTTGTGTTTACTGTCGACGAGAGTCGCGACGAAAAACACCGTCGATATTAACCACAGTCACAGATGATAATAGTACGAAACAGAAGATTATTCAAACATCATCATCGGAACAGAGCTCATCCGCTGGATCATTGTATGGCTCAGAGAAATCGGATAATATTACGGTTGAAACATCGGTAAGCTCGATTCGAAAGCATTCTGATGAATACTTATCTTTTCTTTATCTTTTATCAAGGATATGTATTTGTTTTCTCCGAAACGAACAACACTTATGCCGCATCCAACCGACAATTTAACGAACAAACTTTTTCATTCAATTCAAACTGATCTATCACTACTAACAGAAGCAAATCAACAAATCGTCGCTACGCGAGGAACTTATGTTTAAAACTCAAATCTTTTCATTGTCCTCTTGTTCTCCCCCTCTCTTTCTTATTTTATGTTGTATGATCTGTAGAATTGATTTATAATGATATAAATATTTATAATAAAAAAAAGGCACAACAAAGAATTACGTCAAAAACATCTGGTCGACATTTAATCCGTTTACATTGTATTTAGTTCATTTCAAATCTCATTTTCGTTTTGCTCGATTTCAAGAAATTTGAGACATTAGAGAGAGAGATGAGACTGTCTGATCAGCACTTCAATTGACGGATGGGCATTCAACGACAGATGCTGTCAGAAAGACATCAATTCCGCTCTATCGATTATCTTGACATAGTCTGCCTAACAATAACATATATACATTGAGACGCGCACGAGAAAGAGAGAAGGGAAAGTGTTATTGCGTAAATTATAGAGATGTTCTTTTCGACAAATCGATTAGCTAAGATAAATATGTATAGATATACCAGATCTCCTCTTGCCAGTTTTTTTTTGTCTAGTTGAAATGAAGCAATTGACTAAATATTAGTTATGTTCAATGATTTATGAGAATTTTCTTTCTATGATAAATCTCATGAGTTCAAACTATTCATTTTCCACATCATTAAACGTCTTGTCATGGTTCAATGCAAGGCAAGAAAGAAAATACTATTTTCTCTTACTCTTCTATGTTCATGTCATGGGAAGATGTGCCTCATGCTGTCATTAATTGTACAGTTTCAAACTCGTCTCCTTTCCGTAGCGGCAAATCGGCACGCATTATTATCTCATCAGACTAACTATTCATTCATTCATTCACTTGTTTCGATTAGGTTCATTCACGCTTTTCATACTTAGTCGACTTCCTTCGAGAGGAATCAAGTATGAAAGATAAGCTCATGTCCATCTGCATTCACGTTGCTTTTCTTTTTTTTTTTGCCTTGATATTATTTCGAGAAACCTCCAACTGAGTACATACGAACTGATCGGATTAAATGTGGATACTGACAGCTGCACAATCAAATAATGAAAGATGCCTTGCTAGTCATATACAATTTGATTATGTCTGACTGTCTTCCGCTTAACATACACTTGAGGGGAAGAAAAGGAGGCCATAGAAAAGTTTTTTTTTTTACTTCAATGTTTGATGTGATAAGTAATTAGATAGGAAACAAGGGAAAAGAATGTTCTCCTTCTGGGTTCCCACTTGATCGACTCGTTGCTTGTCATCATCAGCAGCATCATAATCATCATCAACCACCGCCACAAGAGTATTGTATAGTTCGAGGGCAACAAACGTCGTCAGGAGAGTTGATCACTGCAGAAAGTGTGAGCGAGATTAAGTTGTCGTCATTCAAAACTTTGATGATAGCCGTAGGGTTGGTTAAGCTTAACCACAACTATAATCTTCTTCTTTTTCGTCCCTGTCGTCTTCTTTACTCTTTCACTCTCAAGCCGACCCCCGACACGATATGCCCGTTGGCTGATCATACCAAATCGAGAAGACTAGCGCAGAAAAGTACCCGATGAATGATTGAGAAAGAAAGAATTAGTTCTAATTAGCAAAAGAAGAAAGCTGATGGAAAAGGTCGTGTATTTTATCTCTTGTTTACTTGACCCATTGTCGACTGGACGTGCATCTGTTCCCTACTAGAATATCATTGAAGGTCACAGTATCTCCGTGTAATAATCTTCGGTTTTGATTCCATTCGATTGAACACATGAATATAGATGGAAACTTATTCGGACAAATTAACATTAGAACGAGGAAATGAAAGATGAGAAGATGAATGTAACGTTCACCTGCATTTCTCCGTTTGTCTTACTCGTTTTACTAAACATTAAATCAATTTGATTGTTATTTCCGTTTAACCTTCGTATATCATCGTCGAATGAGCACTTATACACATATATGCATATTGCTTCTTCCAGTCTGTCAAAGTTGAATGAAAACTATCATCGAATGACGAACAGATGAGAACGAACTAATGAATTATATTTCTGTCATTTTCTAAAGCAATCAACATGACAGTTAGCAAACATGTTCAGTTCTCATCGATGGATGTTTCTAGGCGTGTCATGAACAAACATTACTCGTCATAGAACAACGGAAATCAGTTCAAAGTCATGATTATATAACAAAATCTATATGTATAGGAATTGAATTACTCACACACTTCACACTATTGATATTCGGACAGAGAGCGGACAACTGATTTGAATAGTCAACAATCTAATGTATGTATCGATTGATGATTAGAAAGCTGACGACTACTTCATAGTATAATCCATTGGCGATAAAAGGCGACACAAAGACAACAAAATCAAAGTTTCATCAAACAATTCCGTGCAAGAAAGAGAAGATGGTTCATTTGATGTTTAAATATGATTATTGTTTGACATCCTGCTGTGCTGAAAAATGATGGATGTGTTTCTTTTCTGCTAGAATTTCAAGCTGTTGATTGCTTATCAAAAAAAGAAGAATAAGAATATGATCAGAAGCTTTTGCATTGATCTATTTCCGACTATCATTGAACCATATCTTGATTTCGTGTATAGAAGAAAAAGAAAGCAAAAGAAGTTGATTTAATTTACAAGTAGCAAATGAAGAAAAAGAAAAAGTAATTAAGAAGTCTCAATGTGTCTTATTTAGTTAGAATGAACTTGACAGAAATTGCTCATATTCATGAGAAAGTATCTGAATAGAAGGATGATGTAAGGTCAATGGAAACATGTGTCAATCTTAGAAAATGCATCTGATAAACTATCCTATTCATTCTTACGAAGTAAATCTGAATAGGCAACATGACATGGACAGATACTCTTTGATCTTTAGAAAGAAACCATTGTTGTTAATTGGATTGTATCATCGGATGAGATTTACGTCGAAAGAGATATTAATTATTCAGTGCGACTTGTGATTTACATAAGAAGAGTTTTCCTTTTTTTGTTTTCTGCGAGAGTGACAATAGATTTAAACGATGTCTAGACGGTATAGAACATGGCAATTGATGCATAGAAGATTTTGAAACAAGTGATAGACTATTGAATTTCTTTGAATGTTACCATAAGTCTGAATTACGTTGGTTCAACTATAGTCTGCAACGTTTAGTCTGAGCAACACTATCTCATTTGTCCAATTACCGATAATAATCTGAGAAAAGTCAAATGACTAGATCAGACCCAAGAATTCAATAGCACGAATGTGTGAGAATTGTATGTCTTATTAAACCTGATCTAAGAAGATTGAACGAAAAAGTGTAGGCTGAGATCTTTTATAATCAGTTGTACTGGAAAACTTCATTGGTCTGAGTAAAAATTTGTTATCATTCATAGTGAAATGAAATTTTTATTGCTGACGTGTTGAGAATCAACTTCCTGGTGTATTTTGTTAATATCAGTATGCTCTACAATGTTGCATATTTAGAATTAATAATTTAAAAAAGAAATTAATTTAAGAATTGGCGTGGAATGATTTTCATGAGGATAATATTGACTATTGATATTATCGATCAATTTTGACTACTATGATGTACTGATAAAGATCTTTCATCGAGATTCATAGATGTCTCTGACTAGTGAAGTTTGTTATTGGTTGATGTAGTAACTAATTGCTTCCATTGGATTCGCAACAACGTCAACAATGGACTGAAAGCTGAACAGAAACGTGGCATTAATCGAACAATCATCATTTTAGATCTGAATTCGTCGATATATCTCTTCGATGACAACAACGCGACCTTCAAACGGTTCCTCATTTCCCGACAAAATGAGCAGCCCAGTATGTGACGTGTTTCCTTCAAAGTACAAATATATTTCTCCTGACATTTTTCAGATTTTTCCTCCAATGTCTCATGTCACTGCGAATGGTATTAGACCTCCATCGTTTCCACCTAATTCTGCTCCAATCTTTCCACCCAATATTCAATCTTCAGCAAATGTGCACAGTGCAAAAATAAATACAACATCCTCACCGGCCAGCAACTCTACTACGAACTCAAACCCAACTCCTCCTATTCCAAATGCACACAATACAAATGTTAACCCAACTTCATCGCCTCAATCACTCAATAATTTCAATACAAATTCGAATCCAACATCACCCTTACCAAGTGTGTCGAATATCAATGGAAATTTAACACCATCACTGACTAGCGCGTTCAGTGCAAATCATACAGCAACTCCACCACCTCTGCAACCACAACCAACATCGCCACCATTCGGTTCGCAAGCAAATCCAACACCGCCTTTACCTAATGTGAATTCTACGAATACAAGTGCAACGTTGCCGGTATCAAATACAAACAATACTTACGTCAATTCACCTTTACCACAATCAAACATGGTCAATACGAATTTCAATCCAATAGGCTCAGGCACTAGTGCTTTCACTCCAAATGTGAACTCAAGTGCACCATTACCAGCAGTGTTTAATACATTTAATACGCACACAAACACTGCTCCACAACTGCCGAATCTTTATAACATTAATTCACATTCAACTGCGCCAATTCCCAGTGCCCATCAACATCCTGCCAATCCAACTCCTCTAGCACCTCATCCATACAATAACACTACAAATCCAACTCCCCTAGCACCTCATCCATACAATAGCACTACAAATCCGACTCCTCCACAATTCTATGGTCATAACACATATATGAATACCGCTTCATCGGTTCAGCCATCGTTTCATACCAATCAAAATCCCACTCCGCCACCACCACCACCTTCAGTGTCATCTTCAAATACCTATAATCCTGTTCCCGTGAGTAAAATATCATTGATTATATGCATTATACGGCCAGTTGTTTTTTTTCGTAGACATATCTAGCAGCAGTTCATCCGCCGCCTGTTCGTCCAATGTATCCTACGTCCTCAACTGCTAATCGTCCGCCTATTTCACAGCAACCAGCTCAACTCATTCCACAGCCGTTCAATCAAAATGCTCATCCATCATCTCTACCTCCTCCTCCTCCTCCTCCTTCTACTTCGAATATGTCCTCTCCCTATCCATACCCTCAATATAATCAGAACCTTAATTCAGCAGCTTCGGGACATTTCGGACAGCAACCGCCAATGCCTCACTCAACAAGTGGAAGTACAATTAATCCTATGAGTCAAATGAATAATCTTAATACTGTTCAATCTGTAAGTATCAACACACAGTCTATCAGTTCGATGTTTGTCCACGATATTATTTCATGACTTTTATTTTTATAGACTGGTGATGTACTCGATCTTCTAAAAGAAACAGACGTGATCAGTCCATACGCAGAAGAACCACCTATCTCACCAGTACTTAGCGAAGAAAATCAACAAATGAATTGTAATCCTGAGTAAGCTAACATGAGGATGTGAATATCTGATATAACTGAATCTTCATGTGTTGTAGAGTCATGCGGTGTAGTTTGAATGTCATACCGCAAACAAAAGAATTATTGAATAAAAGTCGTCTTCCGCTAGGCATTCTCATCCATCCGTTTAAAGATCTCGAAGTGAGTAAATATTAAGTTCACAAATACTTATTCATCGCTTTATTCTTCCCTAGAGTTTAAGTGTTATCCAAGGTTCTAAAATTGTTCGTTGTGATTCGTGTAAAAGTTACATCAATCCATTCATTACATTTCTTGATAACACCCGATGGCGTTGCAGTATCTGTTTTCGCGTCAATGATTGTACGTGAATTATCTTTTTGTTATCAAGTCCCATCTTTGCTGTTTCTAGTACCACAAGAATTTCTCTTTGATCCCGTCACCAAAACCTATGGTGATCCAAGCCGACGGCCAGAAGTTCGATTCGGTACTGTTGAATATACTGCCACAGCTGATTACATGGCACGTCCGCCACAGCCCGCAATGTATTTGTTCTTGCTCGATGTATCACACAATGCCATTCAAACAGGTACCGAAAATGTCTGAAATTTGCTCATTCGCATCAATATTTTCTAGGTTATCTTCAATCCTTCTGTGATATACTATTAGAAAGTTTGAATACCTTGCCCGGCGATGCTCGCACGCAAGTCGGATTCCTAACTTATGATAGTCGTCTTCATTATTATGACTTATCTGATCGACAAAACGGAACATTTCGTGTCATGATCATGCCCGATCTTGATAGTAAACCGGAAGATTTTCTTCCGATGCCGGATGGTCTGCTAGTAACACTATGTGAATGTCGAGCAACTGTTGAATCGTTTCTCAATGAATTACCGAAAATCTACCAAGATAATCATGAAACAGATTCAGCTCTAGGCTCAGCATTGCAAATTGCAAGCAAATTACTCGGACAAACAGGTGGTCGTGTAACAGTTATACAAACGAGAATACCGAATTTGAATCCGGGCGCTTTGAGCGAATCTGTTGGTAGTGGAAGTCACGCTGTTAAAGAGCCAACGACGATTGCGCCAACATCTGATTATTATAAGAAACTTTCACTTGAATATGCATCACTACAAATCGCGTGTGATCTGTTTCTTCTCAATAGTCATCACATCGATCTAGCAACGTTGAGTACGTCGAACTATCGGTTGAGAAAGAAAGTGTTCTAGTATGATTGTTTAGGCTGTATTGCGAAATATTCAGGTGGTGAAGTCAAATACTATCCAGGTTTTCATTCGGTACAAAAACCACATGAAGTCGAGCGATTTGAAAACGATCTAAGACGATATCTACAAAGAAAAATTGGCTTCGAAGCTGTCATGCGTTTACGATCACCGCCAGGTAAAGTTACAAATCATTTGCATGCGTCTTCTAATGACTTTCTTTTTAGCGTTGTCAATTAATACGTTTTATGGAAGTGGTTTTGTTCGTTCCGTTGATTTACTTGTTTTGCCTAACATCAATCCAGATGCAGCGTTTGGCATTCAAGTCGCAATTGAAGACAAACTAGCAAATTACACATCGGTCACATTTCAAGCTGCGCTACTTTACACATCGAGCAAAAGTAAAAATGAAACTGAAAAACTCATCGAGATATCATTCTCTGATCTTAGGTGAACGACGTATTCGAGTGCATACACTGTCGTTACCTGTCAGTTCGGATCTAAGAGAGATCTGTGTCAATGCTGATCAAGAGGCGATTACATCGTTAGTTGCTAAAATGGGTAAGAGAATTTTCACTTTCATCAAGTTAAGAATTGTACATACTAATCTTATTTTCTATTAGCTGCTGACCGCTCAACCACCTCATCAATACAGGAAGCACGTGAAGCAATGTCCAATGTGGCTTGTGATATTCTAAAATCTTGTCTAGCAACTAATTCGTCAAATCGAGCGTTTTCACTCATGGTTCCGTATTCTTTACGACTTATACCATTATACATGTTGAGTATGATCAAATCGGTGAGTACAACAAGTAGTCAAACGTAACAATAGTTTGTTCTTGATATATTCTAGACGGCATTTCGAGCGGCTAGTGCATCAAGAATTGATGATCGAGCATATTACTTAGACTTATGCAAAACACTACCTATACAGTATTTAATGCAAATCTTCTATCCAGATCTGTATCCGATACATACAATTGAAGATAAGGTACGAAACAACACATTCTACTTCCCTTTCATATCGTGTAAATTTCTCCGTGTCTGTTTTCAGAGTCAAATTGTTCAAGATGGCGAAGATGAATTGCATATTCCTCAACGTGTTCATTTGTCGTTTCGACACATTGATTCACATGGTGCTTATATACTAGATACAAGTGAATACATTTATATTTATATCGGTAAAGCTATAAGTGACCATTTTGTTCAAAATGTTTTCAATGTTCCAACATTTTCTGCATTACCTTTCGATTCGGTAAGATTCCATTTCGTCTTTTTCAAACATTCAACCGCAAAAAAACTTCTCCCTTTAGTATTCATTACCTGAATTAGAAAATCCTCTATCAATGAAAATACACAATTTCCTGTCTTATCTTATACAAAGTCGGCCACATGGTGTCGCAATACATATTATGAGGTAAGTGCTTTCGTTCTCACTGATGCTGATTAAGTTTTGTTTTTCTAGAGAGGACTCATCGAACCGACATTTATTTACGCGTTATCTTGTCGATGATAAATCGGAATCCACCATGTCTTATATCGAATTTCTACGTTATATTCGCGAACAGATTGTTAAATGAATAATGCTGAGTGTGTGCACGCGTGTTGTTATTTATAAAATTCTTCTTATTCTTCTTTCATCGTTTATGTTTAGTCGGTTATTTTTTATTTCACTACTTTGCGCAATTTTTTTCTTTTTCTTCGTCTTTTGAGGTGTCTGTCAATGATGAAAAATTACAAGAGAGTGACAGATCAGAAAAGTGATACTCTCTTGTGTTTCCTTCTCTCTGCATGTATTTGGGAATTTTGAACAAAAAGAAAATAACACTAAACCACTGAGTACATTTAATTTTCAAAAGACCCTTGCTCCTAATGCTTTACTTGTTTGAATTATACTTGAATATGTAGGTTTTTTAACGAATGTTGTGATATAAACGAATTCAAATTGATTTTTAGTTGTTATTTACAATAGAAGTAAAGATTTCAGTGAGTAGAATACACAAGCGGGCTATCGATCGGTAAATAAGATCAAGTTGGAATCTGAGAATGTGAACACATGTTATCGCACGGACTATAAATATCAGCTTGTTCTATCATCTATTTTCACATAAACGATGATATTAAATCTAATATCGATCACTGTCTACCTTCTAATTAAGTTCTACTCTTTCGGAGTTACAGCAGATACATGTGATACTTACCGACATCCACGCTATGGTTTCGGCCAGTGTATCGATCGAAATCAATGTCCATATTCGTTGTATGAATCCGGTCTGTGTGAATCTTATTCTTCCAATATGCAATGCTGCTTTTCATTACGTAACACGACGAATGAAGAGTTCCGTGCTGTTTGGATTGCTACCGTAGATAACATTGATTGGCCATCGTCGAAAACAGCTCCACCCGATCAACAACGAGCAGAATTGATCAATATTCTGAATACTGTTCAACTTCTCAATATGAATGTTGTCATTTTCCATGTAAATCTTCCTAAAATGTACCCTCCAGTAATGCGATATAACTGACAGTTCTATTTGCATTATAGGTTCGTCCTGCCGGCGATGCTCTCTATGCATCTACACTTGAACCGTGGAGTTTCTACTTGACCGGTGCTCAAGGTGTTCCACCTTCACCGTTCTGGGATCCATTAGCATTCATCATTACCGAAGCACACAAACGAAACATCGAAGTTCATGCTTGGCTCAATCCATATCGGGCACGTATGACCGGTGCTACCTATGAATTGGCACCAACTAATATGGCGAAACGTTTTCCACAATACGCTTATCCTTATGCGACAAATATCTGGATGGACCCTGGAGCAACAGAAGTTCAACAGTTTATTGTTAACGTAACGGAAGACATAGTTCGACGATATGCTGTCGATGGCATTCACATCGATGATTACTTTTATCCATACAGCGATGGCACTGAGTTTCCAGATAATGTCACATATGCTGCTTATCAAGCACAAGGTGGTACTCTGGACAAAGCTGACTGGCGTCGTTCAAATGTGAATACACTCATACAAACGATGTATACGAGAATGCATGTCGCCCGACCAAAGATAAAATTCGGTATTTCACCGTTCGGAATCTGGAAGAGTGGTGTACCGGCTGGTATAAGTGGTCTTTCATCATATGATAGTTTATATTGTGATAGTCGAATGTGGTTAGAGCAAGGACTAGTTGATTATATGACACCACAACTATACTGGCAGATCGATCCCCCAGCTCAATCGTATCCAGTCTTACTTAATTGGTGGGTCGAACAATCAGCGAAAGGTCGTCACGTCTATCCTGGCAACGCACTTTATCGAACAGTTCCAAATGTTTCCAATTGGCCAATCAATGAAATCATTCGACAAATAGATATAACTCGTTCCATGCGTGATCAACTCGCACTTGGCAATGTGTTCTTTTCGTTAAGTCAAATTATGCAAAATCTGAAAGGCATTCAAAATGTACTTGCCGTATTGTATGAACAAAAAGCAAATGTTCCTAAAATGCCTTGGTTATAAAAAATATAGAGCAACTTTTTCCATTAAGTGTATTACATCTCTTTTGTCTTTATAATCACGTTCAGCATTATATAACGCGTACTCGTATTTCACCGCATCATCGATGAGGGACAAGCACAGGAAAATTTTCAAGCGATTTAAATCCATTTACAAAAGTGGGCCCATTGAAAGTTATTAGGTTTTCGACGGTATCGATTACAGAGTTTTTTTCTATGCATTAATGATAAATCACCATATGTCGCTGTTGAATGTATAGGATACAGATTAAAGAAGGACTAATCCTTGACAGAAGAAATAACATTTTCGGTTTTTCTCTATGCTGATTGAAGAAAAAATGCGTAATACCCGTATTAGATAAAAAGAAACAGCAACGACTATAGCGAGTATCATATTGAAATTACTTTACTTTCGATTTTTCATTTCTTTTAATAATGAGTGCAACTTGGGTAACACTTACTTTGTACTTTATGATCACTTATCTAGCATGTGAAGTACGAGGGGACACGTGCGACACATACAATCATCCACAATATGGTATCGGCCAATGTACTGAGCAAAGTCAATGTCCGAATGAACTGTATTTAACTGGTTTATGTGAATCACAACCGACTAATATTCAATGCTGTTTTTCATCAGAAACACGTCATGAAGAATTTCGAGCTATTTGGATAGCAACTGTGAATAATATCGACTGGCCATCGTCGAAAACAGCTACACCAGCTGCACAACAGGCCGAATTGATCAATATTCTGAATACAGTACAACGACTAAATATGAATGCTGTCATCTTCCAAGTAATATTATAATGATTTCTCATAGAGTGTATTTACTTTTCTTCTTAATTTCGATCATCATAGGTTCGTCCGGCTGGAGATGCTCTCTATGCATCTACACTTGAACCGTGGAGTTTCTACTTGACCGGTACACATGGCGCTGCACCTACGCCGTTCTGGGATCCACTAGCATTCATCACTACCGAAGCACACAAACGAAACATTGAAGTTCATGCTTGGCTTAACCCATATCGGGCACGTATGACCGGTGCTACCTATGAATTAGCTTCGAACCATATGGGCAAAATTTTTTCAAAATATGCGTATCCATATGCAAATCACATATGGATGGATCCAGGTTCAGTCGAAGTTCAACAATTTACAGTAAACGTTACCGAAGATATAGTTCGACGATATGCTGTCGATGGCATTCACATCGATGATTACTTTTATCCATACAGTGATGGCACTGAGTTTCCAGATGATGCCACATATGCTGCTTATCAAGCACAAGGTGGTACTCTGGACAAAGCTGACTGGCGTCGTTCAAACGTGAATACACTCATACAAACAATGTACACGAGAATGCATGTCGTCCGACCAAAGATAAAATTCGGTATTTCACCGTTCGGAATCTGGAAGAGTGGTGTACCAGCTGGTATAAGTGGTCTTTCATCATATGATAGTTTATATTGTGATAGTCGAATGTGGTTAGAACAAGGACTAGTTGATTATATGGCGCCCCAGTTATACTGGCAGATCGATCCCCCAGCTCAATCGTATCCAGTTTTGCTCGATTGGTGGATAAAACAATCGGCGAAAGGTCGTCATGTCTACGCCGGAAACGCTGCCTATAAGATGGCTCAAGGTTCTAATCAATGGCAAGTGAGTGAAATCGCCCGTCAAATCAATGTGACTCGTTCCATGCGTGACCGATTCGCCCTGGGTAATATTTATTTTTCTACTAAAGAAATCATGAACAACGTCAAAGGTATTCAAACAGTACTTGCTGACTATTACAAACAAAAAGCTACTATCCCGAAAATGCCCTGGCTTTAGTGTAATCGAAGCATATAATTTTTTTTAGAAAGACTTATGAATCAATAAAAGCGTAAGATCTCATATTACATTCCTACAATTATTAGTTCGAGATTAATTTTTAACTCACATAGAACGAAGGTGTGAATGAGGGTCAATGAAATCAATTAAAAATCCTATTTACAGCTGTTGCATCTATGCACTTTTAATAGAATCTTTGTCGAAGCATTGATGGAGCTACAAAGAAATGGATACTGTTCATCAAACACCCATTTGTCCGCTGTATAGTTTTCTTAAACTGTGTATGAAATCATCTTTTATTCTCTTGTTGACGAGCGCCACCTTCTCATTCATCCTCTATGCAGAGAAAAGGGCATTTTACAATAATGGCGAACCACAGAACGCGACGTCAGATGAATGTATCTTATCTAAATTCTCTCACTCGATCATATAAATAAAAAAAACAATAGTCCAATTATCTAAGTTTTGCTGTTCGAAGACTACAAAAATAATCTAAGCATTTATTTCATTAGTTTATCCGGTAGAAGATTTGGATGAAATAACAATATAGTCAGAATAATATTCAATGAAGACATTTATATTCTTTTCTCTCTGATTATTCGTGTCTATAAACAACGCTCTTTGTTTTTCATTTTTATAATGGACTCAATAAGGTTTTTTTTTCTCCATTTACTTCATTGTTTTCCTAGCTTAAAATATACAAAAATGGTCTGTGCGATAAGTTTCTCTTCGACACAACGTAAGTACATGCACATAACCAAAGCATCTTCTTGTTCTTCTATGAACTTCGATGAAAACAAAAGCTTGAAAATGACGTTGAAATTTCCCTTAGGTCACTTGAATATTGCATGTCGACTGCGAATGAAATATTATTCTTTTATCGACATCTTTTCGAGAAAAAAAACGACAACATAACTATCAATAACATGTCAATATTTAACGACCATTCTATCCTGAGCGAGAAGGTGACGCATATAATTCTTTTTCCTTTCCTTCTTCCCTATCCGATATCAGCTTAAATCATGACTACTTCTTCTTGGACTTGTAAAACAGCGATTCTTTACTACTACACTTGCGATTACTTTTGTATGTCGACAGATGGTAAATAATAATTATGTTCTCTCTTTCAGATTCTTTACCGTGCTATGTAGCACATATGAGATGGACCCAGCGATACGGTGTTGTGGCAGTGGCCATTGTTGTTGTGATCGCATTAATCGTAGTTCTCCAACAAAAACGTAAGTACATCACTATCATCTTCCTTTATATCTCTGTCGATATTTCCATCTAGAACATTATGAAGAACACACGCGTCAAACAATTGAATCATTACAGAATCGTATTGATTATGTCTCACGTTTAAATGATGAACATCTACTAGAATTGTCTTCGATCAAACAACAAAACATTCGTCTAATTCGTTCTTTGAATACGATCAAATCCTGTCATCGTCGGGCAAACAGTTCATCTCTAAACTTGAATTCTAACAGTACAATCACAGATGACACACTCAATGATAACAATGTCGATTCGTTAAAGAATGGTTTTCATTTGCCACCAAGTTTTAGTTATTTATCGCATCTTCAAGGCAAGTATGATATGTTGTCACCAGCATTTCGTCGTCAGACAGCGAGTCGAAAGTATTTACGAGCTAATGTGTCGTTCATCATCGGTATCCCAACTGTGAAACGAGATAAACAGTCATATTTAATCGAAACAATCAAGTCTTTGCTCGATAATTTGAACAATGATGATATGGAACGTTTATTAATTGTTATCTTCATTGCCGAACCGTTCGATATCGGATATGTTCGAACAACAGCACAACAAATCGAAAAACTTTACAATAAATATATTGAAAATGGTTTAATTGAAATTATCAGTCCTCCTATCGAGTTCTATCCTGATTTCGAAACATTGAAATTGAGTTTAAATGATGATAAACAACGCGTGAAATGGCGCACGAAACAAAATTATGATTTCACCTATTTAATGATGTATTCCGCAGTTCGAGGCAAATATTACATACAATTAGAAGACGATGTCGTCACTAAACCGGGATACATTCAAATCATTGAAGGCTTTATCAATAAACAAAAAAGTCAAGATTGGTTTATGTTAGAATTTTCAAGTTTAGGTAATTATGTGTTTCACCGTGCTTGTTTTTTGACTAAGAAAGGTCGATATAATATGAAAGGTGACTCTCACAGGAATTCGAGTGATATTAAATTAGAAGATCAATGATAATTAGTCACGAAAGAAATAGTACAATTAGGAGGAAAACTGTGCGTCTAATACAATTCAGAATGTTTGCTTTTTACAAAGATATTTTTCTCGAACAAGTGCCGTTATGACTTGAGTGTGATTAACAATTTAATATCTGACGTTCACTAGACTATAAATCATTTTTATTACTGCTTTCTATGTGATTAGCGAACTATTTACACCCTTAACATAACACGTTCATATAACATTGGTTTGCTTTCTTGTTACAAGATTATACTCTATTTGAATAGGAGACATTCTAATGTGTAATTTGATGGTTTTGAGATTAGCGATAGGCTTGAGTTCGATTTAAATGGTTTGCAGATGTTTGACAATGTGGATGATTTATTTTTCAAGGTTTTATCGGCAAAATGTTTCACGCTGCTGAGCTTAATGCACTCGTCAATTTCTTCCTGATGTTTTCCGCTGATAAACCAATTGATTGGTTGCTTGAATAGTAAGTAATTACAGTTGTACTTCCGCCTCTTATCGTTGTTCTTCTTTAGTTATCAAGACACGAAATACTGTTCGTTTGGTGTAGATGTTCAATCGTGCACCCGAACGAAAGGTTTACATCGCTTCCGTTTTCGCCCGTCTCTTTTTCAACATATTGGAATATACTCCTCGTTAAAAGGCAAAATACAGAAGCTCAAAGACAAAGATTTCGGTAAAAATGTCAAGTTATTCAAGTCACATCAGAATCCACCAGTCTCATCGATTGCATCATCATTAAAAAACTACGAAAAACATACATTAGCTAGTTGCTACGCAGGACAGAACTTCTTTTGGGCCTTACAACCGAAAAAAGATGATACAATCGTGTTTAAATACGATCCTCCCATCGCCCTCTCACGGTAATAGAGAAAACTTCATATGCGAACAAGATTAGAACATTGTTTTTCTTGTAGAGTTTATTTCAAGTCGGGTAATCCTGAACATCCAGGAGATAAATTTTTCAATACTACTGTCGATATACAACCTTACGTGCAACCGAAAGAGACACTACCGTATACGAAAGATAACGATGGATTTCATACGGTAGCTAATTTCGCGCACGACACTGGAATTGCTGAAGCATCAGTTGATAAAGCATTCGGACCAATCTCTACTATTCGTTTGAAAATTCACTCGAAATCGGATGCGTGGGTGATTTTGAATGAGGTATGATATATACATATTGTTCTTTTCGCAGAAATTTTACATAATCGGTGTGAAGGTCGAGTATGACAACGTCTGAGCTCATAAAACAATAAAAGATTTGAAAGTACATTGAGAAGAGAAAGATAATGAAGTCGTATAATGAAAAATGAATCATCACGAAAAATGTATAGTTGGCAATCCGTTGACTATGTTTTTATTTTAGATTCTTATTGAACCATTGAAATAAAGAAAAGCCAAAGTGTCTTCATGTCATGTCCGATTTACCCGATTAATGCTTTCGACCAGTGATGCCCTTACAATACTCAATCCAATAATACGTACAATGAGAATTTTAGTCATTCTCTATATTTTCTTGAGGAAAATAATATGTGCTGCATGTCTCTAGTCATATATATTTGCGTAACCATTGAGTACAATCGATGAAGTTTGTTTTTGTTGTTGTTTTTTGCTCTCTTCCTCACAACCACTCTCTTAGTCCGTCATATTTATAAGCAAACATTGATTTATAACTTTTTTTTCTATCGTCTGTTATCATATTTCCCCTCCTTGTACCCGTATACATCTATATACCCAATGAATGATACTCCAAACGAATATTAAGTTATATATATATATATATATATATACTCGATGAATGTTTTGTTTATTTGTTCGTTGATTTGTTTTTTGTCATTGATTTTTTGTTACACTTTTTTCTTGTGTTTATTAAATTACTGAAATAACAAGGGGAAATATATGGTTCATGATTTTTCTACTCATGTGTCGTTTATTGAAATAGATTGATATACATATCTCTCACAATGGATGTACTGTTGAATAATCAAACAACTAGTTATAGTGATGATCCGAATCGGTTATGGGTTGATATTGATCGAGGTTTGTTTGTTTGTTTGTTTGAGTTTCTGTCTGTACGTGTATCTGACTTGTTGTCTATCTATTCTTGTCCAGGTATTCGTTCCAAAGAGCCTCAACGACAATTTGAAGCTATCTTAAAGATACCTAGTCTGTTTAATAAACAATCAACATCAACGACACTATATTCGGCAGCATTGATCCAGTTAGCGACGTTGTTTCAAGAAGGGTACATTCGATTCCTGAACAATCCATCATATTAAAACGAAAAGTCTCTTCTCGTTTTAGGAGTAATGAAATGCGCTTAAATGTAACCAAAGTTCTCGATCGAGTGGCAAATCGATTTCATAAATCTGCGATGTTAGACGATCCTATCAAGTTAATCTATTCGGTGATGCACAGTAATGATTGCATTGCTCGTGCATTAACATTAAGGTAGATCGGCAGTTGTCAATATTGTAACTATTGTATGTTTATCTCGTACATAGAGCACTGGGGAAAATGGCTCATGTTTTAGCAGATGATGTCGAGGCTCATCTTCATATTGGCCATGCGCTCGATTCTAACGATGAAATGGAAATATTAGCTGCAGTGAGAGCAGCAAAAAAGTTTATTCCGTGCTCAAAGTATGTCCGTATGAATGAGGATATGTAAATATCGATTGATTTTAGAACATTTGCTATGTCTATCAGTACAAAACTTGTCTCATTGATCGAAGACGTAACAACACCGTTAACGATGAAATCTTGGCTGGTTCCCTTGTTTGAACAGATGACTCATGATGTTACTGTCTCAATGAAAGTGAGTTTTGTGCTGAAAACCAAATCATCGGTGCTCAGTATTGATTTCGACAGGGTCGTCAACTGTTAATATCACTGATATCCAATGATGCAACAGAAGAATTTCTTCAAATAGCTGTTCCAACATTAGCACACTTAGCTGTTAAAAGTCATATTGAAATTGGTGAAACAGTGCGTTGTCCTCAACTGATTTTTTTCTCGAACAACTAGCTTTGACATTTTTGTATAGGTAACCTTTTTTCTTCAGTTTCTCAAACTAGAACCACGTCAAAGTTGCCGAAAATTAATCCTCTCTCATCTTGTTCCTATTGCTCGATGTGGATCTATTGTCTGGCTAGATTCTACAACTGAAGTATGAATCATCAATCTTCTTCTCTTCTAAGATTCAATTCACTTTCTAGGATCTCATTCAATATGCTAATAATAGTGATAACGATTACGTTCGCTTACAAGTTCTAAAAATCATCGAAGCATTGATCAACGGTGGTGGTTATATCTCTCCAAAATGTGCGCCGGGTAGGATAAAATCCGAACTATTCTTAATAGAATGCAATTACCAATTAGATTTGAAAAAACTTCTTCAAATGTTTACCATACATAATAATATTGAACTTGCTTATCAATGCTGTTCGACAACACTTCGAATAGTTTTGAAATATCGAAATACCTCACATATATCATCCACTCGTTTGTTAACTTCAGATTCGTTTCTATATATATATGACTATTTATTCTTTAGCGTCTCAAAATAACGAATTATTTTCTTCGCAAGCTGTTCTTGACGATCTGACTGATTATCTCAATACGACGTTAGCTGTTCTTCTAACTGAAGAAATACAATGCAATCATATCAAAGAACTACAAGTCTGCGATAAACTTTTCTCAATTGATCGAAAATATCTTCTCTGTCTCTCTAGGACACTCTCAATTTAATTGAACAGTTATCACGAGCCTACACCGATAGTGCACAAAATTTCATTCATCTGCTTTTCACCACACGTGGCAATGTTGAAAGTAGAAGAACATATACAGAGAGAGAAACATCTTCAACGCGAGGGTTTTTTGGTATATAATTTTAGATCCTGAAATCTTAACGTACTTGACCAAATCCCTTGTTCGTTTATCTATCAATCATACAGAAATTATTACTAATCAAATTGTCGAATTACGTCGTTTGTTAGCACATACATCATTAAATGATGATGTTCGAGTAAGACTTTCCCTTTCAGTTCATGCATAGAAACATTTTGTTCGTCGATAAATAGTACAATCTACTTGCTTTATTTGTTCTTTCCAATCCCAGTGATATGAACGAAATTCAAGAGCATATCAATCAGCTTTCGTTATGGAAATGCTTTCTACTTGCTCGTTGGTGTATTCGACATTGTTTATACAAACTAGCTATTGAACTTTTACAACGATTGCTTACTCATGTTCATGTCTCAGCACATGTGATGTGGCTGGAAGCACTAATCGATATGTGTCGAGGAGAAGAACGATTACAAATATTGATGAACTCGTCAAAAAACGACTTACAGATACTTTGTGATAGTCTAGCTGAAGCTGGTGCGTTCTATGAATCTAGTTTAATACAAATGCCTGTACGTAGAATCTTGTCAGATGATCGCCCATGACTCATAATGAGAATCGTGTTTTTTCTTAGAGAAAATTGTCGTATGATGACGATGAACGTTCGAATGACACACAATTTACATTTGAACGAGCCTATTGCAGTATTCGTTCATCGATTCTTCAGCATTTCTATGAACTTATCCATACTATCTATCAGTATGATCTAGGGATGGTTAGTTTTGAGTTGCTTGGCAAACGAATGGTTAGTTTCAAGCTTTTCACATTGAAAACCCATTCAACTTTCACATTTAGTTGACTATAATGGCCAAACGCTTTTCTACGATAAGTTCAAAGATCAACAACATTCAGCAACAGTTTTGTTCAGATAAAGACACGCAAACCATATGGTGTTTAACATTTAGTCGTTATCTCTGCGATATTATCTATGCTGTGATCGAGCGGATTATTCGACGCGTTCCGTATGATGAATTGCTCAAAGACAATCCTATGAAACCGATTAGTATTATTCTTTAGACTTGATAAAACTATTTGGTTCAACCGACTCAATGAAATGTCATGGCGAGATGGATTCACTGAACAAATGTTTATTCGCTTACAGCATGTTATCGAGTTTGTATGTACTCGACTACATGGGAAAAAGACAGCAAAGAAGAATGCAAATATCGACGAAGTAAATACACATAGATCTCATAGATCTGATCTATAGTTGGTCTTCTTTAGGAATTAGCTATTCTTCAGTATCTGGCAACTTCGTTGATATCCATCTCTCCAGCAATTCCACGAATGTTCTTCCAGAAACTACAGAAAAGCAATACTAAAGTACGAAAATAATGACTTAGAAGGATTTTACTCTTTAAATTTTAAAAAAATAGTTGACAGCGGGTTCATCAAGTGAAAATCAAGATCGTTCAGCGCTTGAATCAAGTAACGCAATGTCGGATTGAAGCATCTATTACCAATCTATTGATTTTTTATTAATCTAGGTTAATTTTTTGTAAATATACTAAGAAACTAGAATAAAATCAAAACCAGACGTGGAATAAGCACGTACATTAAAGAAAAAAAGAAATGCTGATAAAATAAACATGAGTGTTAAATCAGTATTTTCAATCCAAAGTAAACCGATCGGGCCGTTGTGTAGATGTCGCTAGTTATCAAGTGTGTTATTTCTTAGAGGCATATGAACGAATGAGATTGTTGAATGTAGTGAATCAATGAACAAAAAGGTCTATGACTCTACGACGTGTCTCATTTGGGAAGCAGTGAGTAATCAACGGACTGTGTATACGGTTTTCGGATGATGATAGATAGAGGAGAAGAACAAGAAAGAAGAAGAGAAATCGAACGAAGTAAAAGAATAAATCAATAGAAATAAGTATAACGGAGAAAAAAAAGAGAATAATAAATAGATCTATTATGCTTTATTAGAGTAGTGGCCTCTTTATCAATCTTGTTCCCTCTCTTAGGACGATGCAAATACGCGTCTAGTTTATATTTATTTATTTACTTATTGCCTTTGTATTTTAGATTTTGCGATGAGCAACGAAATCAAAGATAATGAGGAGATTCATTCCGATAAGGAGAATAGCCATGAAGTTTCGCAAGAGAACGAGCAATCAGTGTCAATCGAAAATGGTCAAATAGAAGAGACAACTACTGCACAACCAACAGATGAGCGCGATCATCAAACAGAAATTGAATCTGAAAATCCTGAACTTGCAAAAGAAGCAACGTTTACCGATGTCGATATCGACAAAACAGAGGAGGAAAACAAAGAAGATAACATAGAAGAACATGATCAATCAACATCGCAACCCCCAGCTCCTTCCGAAGAACACTCATCAATCGAAGAGAATACATCAGAAGCAGTGCCGCTCCCTGAAGAAAATCAACCAGCAGAACCAGTGCAATCAGAGAACTCATCAGCTCTACTTACAGCGGAAGAAGATTCATCTACAGTAACCGCAACTGAAAAGAATGAAACACCTGTCGTTCGTATACAATCTCAACAATCAAATGGATCCGATGATGCCAATCATCTTCTACAAACGATAGCAGACAAATCGAATAAGGAAGCAAGTTCTGCTATCTTAAACACAGTAAGTGCCTACTTTCCTCAAGTACAATTATTTCATCGAATGACGTCTGCTTTCTTCTAGCTTGTCGAAGGTGATTTCGATTTGGATAAAAATTATATTATACAAAAGCCGAGGAATTTAACTGAATTATTCGCTGTTTTCAATAAAATGTCTTCATCGCTACAAGCTGAACTGCTCAGTGTGCTAATTGGTATAATGCGCAAGAGTGAACGAAATCTTCTAGCATCCGTTGATGCTCAAATCTATGGGAAAGTCTTAGAAGTGTTGAATGAAACAGATGACGACGTAGTTGCTGATCTCTTAGTAGATATTCTTACAGTTTTAACGTCATTAACCATCAATGTTCACGAATTGAAACTTCTTCTACGCTATTTGAAAACTGAAAATCGTGTTTGGGTATATGAAACTCTCTCTCTCTCGCTTTTCTTTTTTACTAAACCAATTCTGATATATTTAGAAAAAGCATGCAGTTAAATTGTTGAATATCTTCAAAAATCTCCCACATCGACATGGACCTGATGAATTTTTTAATTTTCCTGGTCGAAATGGTTCCGGTATTGTTCTACCACCCATCAAAACATGGCCATATCAGAATGGCTTCACCATTACAACATGGTTTCGTATTGATCCCGTGGCAAATAGTGTCATCGAAAAGGAAAAACCTTATCTCTACTGGTTTTGTACATCGAAAGGTCATGGTTACACCGCACATTTCGTCGGCAATTGTCTCGTCATTTCATATTCGAAATTAAAAGAAAAAGCGTTTCAACATTGCATCCAATATGAATTCAAACCTCGAGAAGTATGTTGAAAGAAGTTTTCGTTCGAGTCATATGCTGTTTTTCTTTAGTGGTACATGATTTCCTTCGCACATCAATATCAACGTTGGGGCAAAAGTAGTATTCATTGTTACATCAATGGCCAACTCGTGTCGAATGCCTATTTTCCTTGGAGTATCGAAAGCGGTGATCTGTTTGATAAGTGTTACATCGGTTGTACACCTGATCGCAATGATTTAACAAGTTTCTCTGGTCAATTATCTACGTTTTATCTGTTTAGCATCTATTTGGACGCAATGATTATTCAAGGTTTATATAAACTAGGACCGGCATATAAAAATCAACTTAAATTCGAAAATGAAAGTGCACATGTTTTATCTGAAGCACAACGTAAAGCGATGTACGATGGCAAGTTGATGAATTCAATCGTCTTTAATTACAATCCCATAGCGTGCGAAGAACAACTCGTTCTCCAGGCAGGACCGAAAATGAATGTTTCACATTTTGTTCACACGGCTCATGCGCAAATGTTAAGCAATGTTCGATCGGTCATCACACATTCGATCTATTCGACATTGCACTCCGTTGGCGGTATACAAGTCTTCTTTCCACTGTTTGGTCAGATTGACCATCAGCAGACCGATGGATCGACCAATTACAATGTGTGTGGTATTCTTCTGACAACTTTGTGTGAATTAATTGAACGATCATACACGATTCAACATCAAATGTTGAATTCGAAAGGTTTTCTTGCAATTGGATATCATCTTGAAAAGGTATTCGTAGAAAAAAGATTCATCCTTCGTTGTAAATATTGATTCTATGACAGGAGAAAAGGGTAAATAGTTGTGAATGAAAGGAAAAGTACTTAAGGGTAAAGTTCAAGGCGAATGAAAATGATGAGTAACAAGAATCAATAGAATCGAAAAGAAATTTCGTTGTTCGATTCAAAATGTAAACAATTTTAGGCATCAAAACAACATATTAATATGGATGTTCTCAATTCTCTCATCTCTTTAACAACGTTCTTTGTCAAAATTCAAAGCAAAAATAGTCCCTTGCTGCTCAAACAATTATTTGTTCATATATTTTTCAATCCAGGCATCTGGATCTACTGTTCAGTCGACGTAAGAGTGTCACTGCTTCTCAATCTCGCATCTATCAACATTAATTTCAGGTTCAAATGCGTTTATATACATATTTAGCAACAGAATTCGTTAGTTATTCAGAAATTTACAATTTGATTCAACCGATCAGTGGAATAATTCAAACATTACATACGATCAAATTTTTCTATTGGATTGTTGATCCCAGTCAACGAAGTGGTTATCAACCAAAAGGATGTGGTAAGTAGATGTTCTTTTACAACACACGGATTTGAAATAATGAATTCCAGATGGAAATCGACCAACGCGGGAGCAAATTATTGAAATGCGACGTTACATGTTGTTGTACTTAAAACAATTAGTTATAAGTAGTGCAGGAACACAGGAAGAAGAACTTCAAGCGATTATCAATTATCTACATACAGTTCACGAGGTACGAAAGTCAATTCGCTTGATTTTTCGATGGAAAACTTCTTGATTAGGACGAGAATCTCATTGATGTTTTGAACATGGCAGTCAATCTCATGTCTGAACATCCAAAAACAATGGTACCTGCATTCGACCGTCGAAATGGAATTAGGTTTGTTTAAAAATGGCTTTCTATGGCAAAAGAAAAACCATTCTCTTTTCTAGAACGGTTTTCAAATTATTAGCAAGTAGCAGCGAATCAATCCGGCTACAAGCTTTAAAATTATTAGGATTTTTTCTTCAACGAAGCACATTAAAGTATGTGGGAAAGTAGTTCTTTGTTGAAATGTGTTCAAATTCTGACTAATTTCAGGCGAAAAAGTGATTCAATGCAGCCGTATAATCTTTTTTCTTTATTGGCTGATCGACTCTTACTTCATCCCAATAGTTTTACCATGGCCTCATATAATGTTCTCTTTGAAGTACAATCACACGTTTAATTCTCGGCATCAGGATCGACTTGTTCTCTTTTTCGAATAGATACTTGTGGAAAGAATCAGTGGGTTAATGGTAGAAAAACGAAGTTCGGAAATTACAGCCGATTGGAGAATTGAAAATTCATGTGAGTTCTAATTGATTCGAAACTCGAGTTGTGATGTCAAATTTTTAGCGATGATCAAAGTCATTGCAACATTACTCCGAGATATACCAGACTCAATTCATCTATATGATATCAAAATACGGTTTCTTGACGATTTACTTCTCCTTTCATCGACAAGCCGAGAAAATCGAAGGTATTTTGAAGACAATGGAAAAGACTTTTGTTCCTTTCATAAAGTTACTTTTAAGAATTATTCTTCAAATGTCCGTTTGGCAAGATTATTTACTTGCTCTTGCGTATGTTTATCCAACTAGTGACATACAAACTGAAATAACCGATCGAGTTTTTCAATTGTTAAAATTATTATTATATCATGCTATTAAATTTGAATACGGAGGATGGCGAGTGTGGATTGATACGCTATCAATTTTGCATGGACGGGTAACTATTCAATTAATGAAATTTGATCGATTTCTCGTTCGCTTCCTAGGTGACAAGAGAAGACTATTATAAGAAAATCAATAAAATGGTCGAAAATGCGAAAGAGAACGATGAGAATGAAGTAAGATCAGACACATCTTTATTGCTCTATTAATGCTAGCCATGATTGAACTACGTAGCCAAAACAATCACCGTCAACACCAACAGCAAGTGGCTCGGAAACTCCAGTTGACGGGCAATCAGCAGCTACGCCAACAAGTAATTCATTCTTGCCTTTTCTCTAATGTGACTGTAAATTTCTGTTCTCGTTTAGAATCAACATCTAATCGTCAGGTCTTTAAAAGCAGTCGATTGTTACCATTTACAATCTCGGAATTCAAATATTCTCCACTGCATCTTCGTCTGTTAAATAGTGTGTTCGATTCGATCGAAAGCGATGTTCGTTTATGGCGATCGTTCGTATTCTCTCGCTTGAAATTGTTTCGCATGTCAATCTCTTTGTTCGATTTTATTTTAGTGATACAACAAGACCAATCACTGATGCTATCAATCATACCGATAACCAGATATTTTGCGTGAATGTTGTACATATTATCTCTCAAATGGCCGATGTTCTATGCAATGCGTGTGGAGGTCTCTTACCTTTACTTGCTAGTGCAACTTCAGCAACTGTAAATGAGAATCGAATCGTTTAGGAGATATGTCATGTTGATCTTTTCTTTTATTGTTTAGCATGAAATTGAAATCTTAGAAAACACCGAAGGTTTATCATCAACTGAAGCCTTGAGAATTCTCAAACGTGTCATGGGCTTGTCCGATTTGTTCATTCTTGCTAATTCGGGAAGCTTCTCCGAACTGGAACAAGAAAAGAGTATGCCTAGTGGTGGTATATTAAGGCAATGTTTACGTTTAAGTACGTACCTCTCTGTTGAAAAATGAGTGCTATTTCCCTGTTTTTCTTCCTTAGCAATGACCAATGCTGTTCGTCACTGTATGGAATGTCGTTTTCAAAAATATGATGCATCCAAAACCAATTTGACACTATTAACACCAAAGGGAACGATTCGAGACCCACTTGAAATAATTCTCGAACTAACTTATTTGATGCAAACAAGTGAAAATGACAGTAATGATGATGATATTTCTCAATTGATTGCCTCGTTTATCAAAAATCCGGAATCAGTTCTCCAAGAACTGGACATTCAACGTTTACGTGCGATTATTTATCGTGATGTGGTAAGACAAGATCGAAGTAAAACGGGCAAAAATGTTGTCGTTGTTGTGGTAAATCAAAGCATCTTTTTCTTTCTTATTTTTTGCTTTATTTGTTTGCTGTTGCATTTATTGTTTCTTAATTTCGATATACACTTGACAGTACGACTGACTAATTCGTCTTTATCTGAATAGGATGACACTAAACAATCACAATATTTAGCACTGGCAATCGTGTACTTTGCATCGGTTCTGATGGTGTCGAGATATCGAGATATCATTGAATCGAATCAAACAAGTTTATCAAGACAAACATCGGTTGCTAGCACACCAGCTGCTATTCGAAATGGTATTCTGAGAAGTTGATTCAGCACACTTTGAATATATTGTTCGATAGGTTCAACAAGTGAATCAAACGTTGATACTGCCAGTGTGAATGGTGTGACACCCCTGGCAACAAATCATAAGAATAATATTGAGGTAAAATACTTTATTGAGCAAGTAATCAGAAATTTTCCTTTTCTTTTCTAAGAAATCGCATGAATCAACTGCAGCTGATGATACAAAGAATGGCATTGACACTGAAGATTCACAATCGACAGATCAAACATCAATCGATACGAACAATGCTACCACACAATATGGTGTGTATAACGAGCAGTAGTCTATGACCTCATCATCAATACTTTCTCCTTTTCGTTTCAGCGAGCATTGCAAGTATTCCTACCGATGCTTCGGCACCCATCGATCAAAGTCAATTACCTGAAACTAAACTTCCCGATTATCCGAAAGCAAATTTCAATACAACCGAACGATCAGTTGTGAATATAAGTGAAAAATTAGAACGAACATTATCGAATATTGCTCCGTTCCTTCGTGATATTTTTATTGAATTCTCACATATTCTCACAAAAACTCTAGTTGGCTCCCATGGACAAGAGCTTTTGCCTAGCGGTTTACATGCCCTCAAACAAACGGCATCAGTTATCGAACTTGTCATGCTTCTATGTTCACAAGAATGGCAAAATTCATTACAAGCAAGTCGTTTCCCAGTACTTCTTGACTTCGATTTCGTTAGTTTCATTTGTCTAGAAACATGCAGGTCTAGCTTTTATTGAATTGGTCAACGAAGGACGTTTACTTGCGCACGCTAGTAAAGACCATGTTGTCAAAGTTGCAAACGAAGCGGATTTTATTTTGAATCGAATGCGTGCTGAAGATATACGTAAAGCAAGTGACTTCGAGCAACTCTCTGCTCAGACGACGGTTGAACGCAAGGAAGAAGAACAACTTTGTGATCATTTTATCACTGCTGCACGTCAACGACATCAAGTCATCGCATCGCGTTTGAAAGAAAAATTTCTCGCAATGATGATCAATGACAAAACTGCCTATTTGAATAGCGCACGTCCATTCTGGAAATTAGATTCATGGGAAGACGACTTAAGACGTCGTCGACGTTTAGTACGTAATCCAAATGGAACAACACACAGTGAAGCAGCACAGAAATCGACCTCGAACGAACACAATGATGATCTAATCACGACAGTTATCAAAGAGGAAAGTTTATTAAAACAATTAAAGCAACAGAAAGCACAAAACTATAATCAGACATTACCCGAGGAAGATGAAATGTTACAAGTCGATGAAAAAGATCTCGATCAAGACTTCTCGGGTCCAATACGGTTCTCAACCGAATGTTCGTTGATCTGTGGTACAGTTGTAGTACGTGGCACATTGGCTATTACACATAATGCCATGTTATTTGATTCTGATGAATACGATGACAGCTATACGAAACTCGATACAAAAGTAAGTTCTATCGATGATGGGAGCAGAATTTCATTGGCTTATTTAGATGTTTCCTTATGTGGAAAATCTACATGGAAAATGGCATTTCAATGAAATACGAGCTGTCTTTGCTAGACGACACCTTTTACAAGATAAAGCATTGGAAATCTTTGTTTCAAATCGAAGTAGAGTTTTAATAAAGTTTTATTTATTGCTAAGTAATCATATTTCTCTTCTAAATATTTTCAGCCAGTACAATGTTTGCGTTTACGGATCGTACAGTGGTAAAAAAAGTAGTGAACTTCTTACCACGAGTTGGTGTTGGTGGTCGCTACGGACTACCACAGCAACGGTAGGTTGATTGATTACAAAATAGCTCAGTTATCTATATTCGGATATTCATCTGCTTAGGAGAACATCACTAGCGTCACCAAAACAATTATTTCGTTCTGCAAATATGACTCAACGGTGGCAACGACGAGAAATAACTAATTTTGAATACCTTATGTATCTTAATACAATCTCAGGTATTTCTATAACGAATTGCACTGCTAGTTACACATCGAGATAACTTCTCCTCTATTTAGGTCGAACATATCAGGATTTGAATCAATATCCGATATTCCCATGGGTTATCGCGGACTACGAGAGTGAAAAACTGGATTTGAATTCACCATCCACATATCGAGATCTTTCTAAAGTAAATCTTGCTTACTGGTGCATTATCATACAGTATCTTTCTTTCATTTTTTAGCCGGTTGGAGCTCTCAATCCTACACGAAAAGCGTTTTTCATGGAACGTTATAACAACTGGGAATCGGACACCGTTCCGCCTTTCCATTACGGTACACATTATTCAACAGCTGCATTTACACTCAGTTGGCTGATTCGATTGGTATGTCGAAGCTGATTTGACAATGAATAGAAATTTCCTTTTCTTCTCTTTCAGGAACCTTTTACCACATTTTATTTAAATCTACAAGAAGGAAAATTTGATCATGCGAATCGTACATTCCATTCGATACCTGTTTCATGGCAAAATTGCCAACGCGATTCATCTGATGTCAAAGAGTTGATCCCTGAATTCTTCTCATTACCAGAAATGTTCACCAATTGTAATCACTACAAACTTGGTCGTACTGAAGATGGTCTCAAAGTCGATAATGTCATTCTTCCTAAATGGGCGCAAACACCCGAAGACTTCATCCGTATTAACCGAGCAGTAAGACTATAGATAGTTATTTTAGACGAAGACTTTGACATTTTCGTAGGCATTGGAATCGGAATTTGTTTCTTGTCATTTGCATCATTGGATTGATTTAATCTTTGGTTATAAACAACGAGGTAAGTAATAACAGATACTTTGTCTCGTCCAGGCCATTTACGAATTCAATATTTTCAGGTCCTGAAGCTATTCGTGCAGTGAATGTTTTCTATTACTTGACGTATGAAGGTGCAGTTAATCTTGATACGATTACGAATCCAACAGATCGTGCTGCAATTGAAACGCAAATTAGAAACTTCGGTCAGGCACCTTCACAACTCTTAACAGAACCACATCCACCCAGAAATTCTGCAATGACCTTAGTAAGAATATTACAAAACTCATTTTCTCCTAATCATGTTCTTCTTTCTTCTAGACTCCAATGATGTACAATGTGTAAGTATTTCTGTCTATAGAATCAAAAAGATTTACAATTATCCCATGTCGTTGTAGTACACCGGAAGATGTGTCAATGATAATGAAATTTTCTTCGAATGCGCCCATCATTCATGTTTCCGCTAATACAAATCCATCGCTTTCATCTCAGATTGTTGTCACCATTAGTAATAAACATGATTTTTCAATGAATAAATACAATCCCAATGTTGGGTTAACTACGCAAATATATCCCGATTCATCACAAGCAGCGGCCAGTCAACAGGCACAATTACCATTGAGCATGGATCCAGTTTTAGGTATGCATATTGCAAAAAATTTCGAATAACTATTCTCGTTTAACTCTAGTCTCAAATTTAAATTTGAATCGCCGCCATTTGGGCGATAATTTCGACGAACGTATTCAACAACGGCATCAAAGTTTTGTTGTCACGGCCGATAATCGTTTTATTATATCGACTGGCTACTGGGATAAGAGCTTCAGAGTACAAAACACTGATATGGCCAAAATTACACAAGTACTCTATGGCCACTTTGATATTGTGACATGTATTTGTCGTTCGGAAACGACTATGGCTGGCAATTGCTTTCTTGCAACGGGTTCACGTGATTGTGCAGTTTGTATTTGGATATGGAATGGAACTAAAGGTGCAATCGTCGATCGTGAATATCCAAATCAAGGTGAGCATCGCACTTTTTCTCCGAGAAAACCTCTCTGATATCGGATAATTTTCGTGTAGAAATCAATCCATCACCAGCAGCCATTCTTACAGGCCACGATACTGAAATCACATGTCTATGGATCTCGGCTGAGCTCGGAATCGTTTTAAGTGGTAGCAAACAGAGTCTTGTGCTTCAACACACTCTCAATGGCGATATACTACGATCATTTGAGAACCCATCTGCCACAGCAACATCACGTTTATTAGCGTTATCAAATGATGGCGATATCATAGTCTGTTATGATCGATCGAAATTATGTTTGTATACACTGAATGGTAAACTAATGAGACAAGCGATCTTCGAAGATGAAACCATTCAAGTAAAATCATTCGTCTACATCTTACAAATGATGTATGTTGCGCTTTTGTAGAGTATGGTATTAAGCGCTGATGGTCAGTATACAGTCATTGGTGGTGATCGAGGTTATGTCCAAATCATCCGAACACATGATTTACAACCGGTCTATGCTTATCCGCAATGCGATGCTAGTATTCGTTCGTTGGCTGTTACACACGATCAAAAGTAGAATCGAAAATAACGAATCGATAGAAAACGAATGAATATTTTTCATTTAGATACATCATGGCTGGCCTATCAACAGGATGTTTGATTGTATTCAATGTGAATTTTAATGTTCTTGGTCAACCTCGCCGTGAACCAAGTACACCGACGGGAAATGTTCAATGAAATGTATTTCTTATTCGTAGTGTAATTATTTCTTTTTTTTTTCTTTTGTCTTTGACGATCAATATTTAAACTTTCGTGCTCTCTCTCTTCTTTCTCTTCGCTCGTTCATATGTGGGTTTTTTGAATATCTTTCTTATTAACATTCCAAATAATCTGCATATGTCTAACATTTCCTTTCTTTTGAAAACAAAGATCTACGGTTTTTTCTTTGATATTGGTGAGAACGGTTGCTACGTATTGTTTTTTTCTTTTCGTTTGTTGAATGGGAGAAAAAGAAGAAAACCCCAGTGATATTCATTCATTCGTTCATTGTTGTTGTTATTGTTTCTCATATTTATCTAGGTTAATTTGTCATGTGCATGTCAAACGATGCAAATCTATACCAAATTCATTATCTTTAATATTCCGTTTCTTTTCGTCTGTGCATTTTTTCTTTTTATTTATGCTTTTCAACACAGTTCACTGCATTCCTCTCAATTTTTTTGTTTGTAACTCTCGAAACTCTTTAACAACCAATTCAATAAACTCTCACATATCTTTACATTTTAAAAGAAAAATTCTTTGAAAAACGTCTCTTACAATGCTCAATCCGCCATGTTTATCGTTGATTTTTAGATCAACTGCAAAGATCGGTAGCAAATTAACTATGGTCGCATCTGGTAAAAAATCTTTTAAGTCGCAGATCATGAGATAGGATCACACATATGAATTCATGTTCTTGTGGATTTCAATTTCATACAATGATCCGCAAAACTGCTGAATTGACTTCGGTTGTTTTTTTTTTAAGAAAATCCAACTAAACGTCAAGTTCTCGTACCAGGTGGAGCAGGTTATATTGGTAGTCACTGTGTTGTTGAACTTGTAAAAGATGGTTACCAACCGATTGTACTAGACAATGGTTCGAATTCATCACTAGGTTTGATTGAAAAACAGATTTTCATCGAATTTTCTATCAATTAAAGTTTTGTTCTATTTTAGAATGTGTTAAACGGCTTGAGAAACTCACAGGATCTAATATAATTAGTTACAAAGTAGATTGTCTCGATCTCGAAAGTCTACGAGATGTATTTCGTAAACAATCCATCTACGCTGTTATTAATTGTGCAGCATTGAAATCTGTTGGCGAATCGGTTCAAAAGCCAATCTTATACTATAGAAACAACGTTGGTGCTCTAATGAATTTACTCACTGTAAGCTATTTAGTATTTATCGATTTGTGTCAATTGTTTCTTTCTTTTTCTTCAAGTGTATGGAAGAGTTCAATGTGAAAAATTTTGTCTTCTCGTCTTCCGCGACTGTTTATGGTACACCTAAGTATCTACCACTGGATGAAAAACATCCTTGCATTGGTGATGCAATCGTTAATCCCTATGGAAAAAGCAAATATATGTGTGAACATATCCTGAAAGACACGGCCAGTGCACGTCCAGTTCGTATTTTGATTATTTCAAAGTGAAATTGTTAGGAAAAAACGATTGTTCATTTCAGGATTGGAATATTATTATTTTACGTTATTTCAATCCCGTTGGCGCTCATGAATCAGGTTTAATAGGCGAAGATCCGATTGGCAAACCAAACAATCTGATGCCATACATTGCACAAGTAGCCATTGGTCGACTACCATGTCTCAATGTCTATGGCACAGATTACAATACGCCTGATGGAACAGGTTAGGATAATTTGCTTGAGCAATAGGACGTATCTGATTTCTGTGCAGGTGTTCGAGACTATTTGCATGTAGTTGATGTTGCTACCGGTCATACAGCTGCTATGAAGAAATTAGAAGAGAGTTGTGGGTTAAAGGTAACATGTCGCATTCGATCGAAGTTATATTATTACCACTAGTATCAATCTAGATATATAATTTGGGCACTGGTAGAGGTTATTCCGTCTTCGAAATGATCAAAGCATTCGAAAAGGTATCAAACAAATCGATTCCTACGAAACTATGTCCACGACGTCCTGGTGATCTTGAATCTATATATGCTGATGCAATGTTAGCAACGAATGAACTTGGATGGAGAGCAAAACGAAGTCTAGACGAAATGTGTAAGTCAAATCTTCATGTTTTAATCTTCTTGAACGCTTTTGTATATATTATAGGTCAAGACTTATGGCGATGGCAGTCAGATAATCCAAATGGATACAACTAAATCGTCCGGCGAAAACAGAATAGATTTTTGAGACAACCAGTGTGACTTTTATTCGTTTCTCTCTCTCTTGATATTTTCTCATAACACTCCGAGTCTGACAAGATTTTTATGATTTCAGATGAGTAATATCTATATACAAGAACCAGCGACTCGTGGGAAGGTTGTTCTCGATACAACTGTTGGTGACATTGAAATTGTATGTTCCATCTAAGTTTCCTTAACAAGAAAAAGTTTTTATCGTTTGAACTGTCTAGGAACTCTTCTCGAAAGAATGTCCCTTAGCATGTCGAAATTTTGTACAATTATGTATGGATGGCTATTATGATAATACCATTTTTCATCGCGTTGTGCCAAACTTTATTGCTCAAGGCGGTGACCCAACCGGCACAGGTGAAGTACACGAACCGGCATCCGGTGAATTCTTTGCTGTAAGTATGCGCGTGGATAGATGAGGATTTTTGCACGACATGATCGAACTTTAGGATGAATTTCACACACGATTACGTTTTAATCGGCGTGGTCTACTTGGTATGGTCAATCAAGGACCGAACACGAATGGTAGTCAATTCTTTTTTACATTGGGTCCTGCAGCTGAATTGGATAAGAAGAATACATTGTTCGGAAAAGTCGTCGGTAATACTTTATTCAATATGCTAAAACTAGGTGAAGGTGAAATTATCGAAGAAGTGCCTGTGTATAAACACAAAATTATCAAAGCAGAGGTTTGAAAACGAAACGGAAAAGTTTGATTGCTCTTTCACTGGTAGTATTTTTTAGATTATCTCAAATCCGTTCGATAATATGGTAGCACGTTCTCGATCGAAACCACAAGTCGTCGATAATGAAGAAGAGAATAAAAAATCCAAATCAGTTGTATCTGCTAAAGCCGTCAAGTAAAAATGACTTTTACGAACGAATATAAGAAAATAGTGGATTTTTTTGTAGAAACTATGGTTTGTTATCATTTGGAAATGAAGCCGAAGAAGATGAAGAAGAAGTTACGAAAGTTTCCATGGTACAGATAGACAGTTTTGAGCATTACTTTGCATCTGGAATTGAACGTTTATTTTTAGCAATTTAAACAGAAAGGATCGGGGAAAAGTGCACATGATTTGGCGAATGATTCGACATTGAGTAAAAGTACTGTTCGATTAGATCAGGATGACGATGAAAGTGATGAAGAGTTACCGATTGAGAAACAAATCGCTAAATCAAAAGCGAAGACTGATGATGATTATGATAAAGAGGAACTTAATCGAGTACGGCAAAAGCTCAGTGGAAAAAAATTAGCAGTGCAAGAAAAGAAAAAAGCAGTTGCACTTGATGTGGATGATGATGAAGAAGATGATCCATCAATGAATTCTAAATCAAAATCGTTAGTATTAAAAAATCACAACGAATACGATCGTTGTATGTAATTGTTGTCATTGTAGAGAAGAAGCCGTAAAATTAGAAATCGAACGAGTGAGAAAAGAGTTGAAACAAATGAAAAAAGCATCGACAATAGACAAAGCATCGGCAGCGACTAATCGACAGGAAAAAGAACGTAAGTTATAGTATTCATATACCAATGTGTTATGCTACTCGATTGTAATTTAAGCTACTCCACCACCTCTTCAACCGGCTACTGCCGATACTTCTGTACTACTAGATGAACTAATGGCTGGTACTAGACGAAATGCCAAAACGAATCAAAATCGCCAATCGAACTCCAGAGAATCCCAAGTTTGTCTCCTTTCGTTCTGTCAACTGAAATATGTGATTGTAATCAATAATTCTAGACACTTGATCTCTTGGCAAAATTTCGAGCGAAACTGCATGCCGCTAAGGACGAACCGACGAATGAATCAGTAACGGAAACTGTCGTAGAACAAACAGCTGACAATGTGGACGATCAATTTTTGAAACATCGTTTCGTTTCCGAAGAACTTCTTGATAATGTTCAAGATATTTACACGAATGCGGACTTATTAACTGTGTATGATCCAAGAAATCCCATGACAAAACGACGACGTGACGAAAGTAGCGCACTACTTCATCAGAAGAAACATAAAGGACGTACCTAGAATTAGCCGGAAGTTTCTTGTCATTTTTTGTTTGTGTATTATATAAACTTCAGATCTTGTTATGATGAAATAAATCATTCGATCTTAATCATTGATTTCTTCAGATAAATAATGCAACATACATGTTCGCGAACATGCCAACATGTAGATGAGACAAACGTTGGACAATGGAATTTATATACGAAAATAGACAAATATAATCTACAATGTTACAATGAGAAACATGACGGATCGGCCAAAGAGATATTTCGTGCATGGGATGAAAGACTTGATCGATCAAAAGTAGACCATCGTCTCATTCTCATTAGAGACATTCTTTTAACAAACTTTTCATTTTCCATTTCAAGGTAGTCGAAAGTGATGATGATCCGGAATTGCTCTTTAGCATACCATTTCATGGTGCTGTGAAAATCACGGGCATCTGTATCATTGGCGAGAACGATCCGTCGCATCCAAATACAGTGAAACTGTATGTGGAAAAAACTTCATCGTATTTCACCTGATTTCTCATTTTGTTTTTCGATAAAATAGATGGAGTAACTCACCTGGACTACGATTTGACAGTGCACATGGTAAAGCTCACCAAGAGATTGCGCTCACCTATGATCCATCGGGAACATTGGCATATCAAGTCAAGTAAGCTTGCGCATTGTTTGAAGCAGTAGGAAAACGAACGTTATCTTGTAGTCCAACACATTTCTCGCGTGTAACACATCTCTCTCTGTATTTCCCATCGAATTTCGGTGATGAAACAACACGTATATATTATATTGGTCTTCGTGGCGAGTATCTCGGTGTAAGTTATTTGAAATTTGCACATTCGAGCTCAGTTCTATTTTTATACCTAGGAGGTACAATCCAAAGTCGTAATTACAACTTATGAAGCACGACCTCAATTGAAAGATCATAAAGTAGACGATTTACTCACCGGCAGTCGCGAAATACAGTAGATAAATGAAATGTTTTTGTTCGAATAAACATAATCCTGGCAGATATTAAAGTTGACGATCTGATTTTATTATTCATATTATTAGTACAAATAGAAAAAGAAAAAGAGAAGAAAAAGGGCAAAAGATTATTTGTAACGACACGTGCAGCTATGCATGTCTAACGTCGTTCAAATGCAGGGAAAGAGAATGATACACATACAAAACGGACTGATTCTCCTTGTGGAAATCAAGAAGAGTGGAAAACGAGAAGGAGTAATCATACAACAACGAGAAGAACAACATCAACAATAAAGAAGATTTTGTATGAAAAATAGAAGACAGTAGAGAAACATGAGTGACAAATAATTAGAGAAAAAGAAAAAGAAATCATTTAGTTTTTATTTTCCACCACAGCAAACAGACAATGTACATTAGCAATGATAAAAACAAAACTACAAAGCAGAACAATGCACGGAAATCGATTTTTCTTTCTCGAATTGAATGACGAACGAAATTCGGTTAAATCTAAGGTATGGATATATGGGAAAGGGAAGAAAAGACGAAAACTGATTGATCATCCTTCGAAAGTTTTCTTTCTCAAATAAATTCTTTGTTGTGATGGATGATTTGTTTAAAAAAAAAGAATAAAATCGATCGACAACAAGTAACTCCAAAAGAAAACGGAAAATAAAAATACACAAAACATACAGCAAAGATAATAAATAGAAAATAAAGAAGAACAATGTTGATTCAATGAGGAGTTACAGATGGAGGCGGTGGTGTTGATTGAACACCCGTTGGAAAATCATTTGATGATGGAGGAGCAAACATTCGTGCTTGAGCAGGCATTGATCCATATGTATTAGCTGGTCCCGATGAAGGTCGAATACCTCGAGCAACATTCATATTATATTCTGATGTTGGATTCATTGGACGCTGTGCCGAATAATACGTATTGTTAGTTGGTGGCATATTTGGATAGAACGAAGGTGATTGTGGACGTAAACGAGGTTGAATTAGCGAATGAAACATTTGTTGTTGAGGTACGCCTTGTTGAGTTTGCGGTACTTGCAATTTTGCTAGATCATCAAACGAATCATCCGATTTGATTTCCATTGACTCGATCATATTGGGTTTATTTCCAATACCGTTGGATAACATTGTTGAACTCGAGTAACTCGGAGGTGCATTTGGTGGAAACGTTCGATGTGCCACTGTTGAAACTTGTGGTTGTTGAGGATATGGCATAGACGTTGGTTGATTATAATATGGATTGCCGGGATATCGATTTGGCATTTGCATCTGCTGAGTAGCCATCGGATTTGATGTGCGTACCATACTAACCGAATTAGTATCCATAGGTTGAGAATAGGAATATCCTGACGGAGCTAAAAATAGAGCAAACTATGAGCTAGAGAATGGTGTATCCAAATTGAAAAGTGTACCAAGATTTGATTGGTAGGGATATGCTGCTGCACCTGGTGGAACCGATGAAGGTGGCGGAGGTGGTGCAAGAACTTGAGATGTTTGCTGTCGTATCATATATGAATCACCTGGATAAGACATTCTCTGTTGTCCATAGCCTGCAGGCTTTCCACCATGCGATGGATACCGAAGTTGTTGTGGTTGCTGTTGTTGCGATGAAACCCATGACTGAGATGTCTGTTGTGGATGTGTCATCATCATGGGATATCCACCTGTACCACCACCTGCTGGATTACCTTTGCCACCATTATAATAAGATGAATGTTGTTGTTGAGAGGATGCTGACTGAGATAGGTTGCTGCGAAGTAATCCGTTATTAGATGATAGTTTACCACCTTTGCCACCCGATGGCATCGTTTTGCCTGATGAACTTGGCGATGATGATTCCATCTGATGATGATACTGATTCGTCGGTGCCGGTTCGGAAGCTTGAGAATTAAGTGGCGATGGACCTGCAACATTGGGATAGTCGAGGTGAATTTCGGTGCTTTTCTCAATCGAATCATACCTGGTCCAGTTTTAGCTCGATGCATTGCTTTGATACGTCTTCGATCAGCTTGCATTGTCGCTGCACGTTGCCGTTGAACTTTCTGTTTGAATCCACTACAGAATGGTATCTAGAAGGAAAACAAAATGAATACATACGACCTATAAAATTCTTTCCATACATACCGGACAATGTTGATCCACACAAGATTTCGCATGGAACCAAATAGGTGTTATGATTTTGTTACAAAACGAACATTGACCTCTCAATGTCTTCGTGCATTCTTTAGTATGTTGAATGAGTCGTTTACACGGTGAACAGTTCTTATATATACAATTCGCATTTCGGCATTGTAGAGCATGCCGTATAGTATCCACCATCTTCTGCATGGTAATCACTTTTTGTTGTTGAGTATTAAGTGGCGTGTCCGAATTGGTTGTTGCTTCATTCGAATCATCCGCACGATCCATTCGATGTTCATGTTTGATAGTCGAATGACATTTACTACACAGATCATAATCTTCACATACAGTGCAATGATATCGAATATCACATTGTTGTCGGCATGCATTGCATGAATGTGTGACTTTATCTGCGGTTGATGAGTGTAATTCTATGAGCGAAACCATGGTTGAATATTTGGCACGACGTAATGAAGAAAATTCACAATGTTTTTCACGAGCAAAATTCAGAAAGGCGTCACGAGATTCCATCAATTCACACTGAATCAAAGGATCCGTATCGGTCAATGTTGCAGGTGTCGACATTGGATTACGTAGTCGAACAACAAAAAATGACTAGAACACGCATGACGAAAGTTTACCCTTTACTGAAATCTGCAATTCTTTTCTTTGCCTTCTCACCTCTTTATGCTTTTCCATAGTTGCATGTATTTTGGAAATCAAATCTGTTCCACTCGTCATATTCTTTCGTGTAACTCGACGTTGACTAGTTGTCTTCTTGAAATTTTTCTTCTTATGTGTTGTATTACCAGCTGATTTACGTTTGTCCGATATCTATGACAAAAGAAACCGATTTCGATATAGCCATAAGGAGTGTCATTTTTACCTCTGTAGGTTCTTCTGTTTCGATTGAATCATCAAAATTTCCATCATCGCACACTTTGACAGCTTCAAATTCTTCCAGTTTTCGTCTATCTTCTTCCTCCGTGTCGATTTCTTTAATTAAATCTTCGATTGTACTCGTCCAGAAATCACCTTCAAAGTATGGAATATCAGTTGCTTTGCTCACTCCACTATCAGTCCAATCTTTCATTATATCCTAAATATTCAAGTAATAGATCATAGCTATACGAAAACCAAGGACAGGTCATTGCACGAACTTTATAATCAACGATCACTCGTTGATTTGCAGCAATATCTAACATTGTTTTATACCATTCTTGTAGACGTTTTGGCTTTGGTACACGTTGCTCAGGTGGATGACAGTAGAAGATATAGTCATCACCTTCACTTGGTGGACATGCCCAAATGTGAGCATAAAGAAATCCTAATTGTTTGACATATTCGAGATAACCAATGAGAATCTCATAGTAAAGCGCCGTTCGTTTTTGTTTAGGCCGAAAGTAATATACAGAATCAAGATAGGAGACATAAACGCGTCTAAATGCAGAAGGTAAAGAACAATGAATAGCTGTGAATTCATGAGCAATTACCTTGTATTTGGTGCTGGACATCGACTATCATACTCTTGCACATGCATGCCAAATAGAACAACGTCGACCCCATCGATTTCTTGAAATGCAAATATTGCCTTTGTTCTGTAGGGATATCCATCAGGTATTTGTGACCCGAAGTGATTCTTCAATCTTGGTTTTACTTCACAAATTCGATCGCTTGCTGCCAATACGCGGATGGTGACGCGTCCCGTGTTCAGATCGCATTCTTTCTTGAGAAAATCATTAACACGTTTTTCCAAAACATTAGCCAAATCAGTCATGGTTAACTTATGTGCCAAATAACGATTTCCTTTCCGTTTAATATTATATTGTTGTACGCATAATTTACAAACGTAACCTTCTGGCCAGATTTGTTCATGATAGAGAACACAGATACTATGAAAACGTCGTGAACATACAATACAATCGACTACAGGTTCATGTTCTTGACGATCGTTTTTGTCTTGCTGAAATTCAGCTTTGGGTAGTTCAACTAATGTTTGCGCAGGATCGTCTCCAACTAATATGTATTCTGATTTGACTGAATCGAAACATTTCTTGCAGAATGTGTATTTATCACCCGAGAGATTATTTCGCGATGAATCGGGGTTCGTATAAACAAAATAATCTCCGTCACGTGGGATTGTACAACAAATACCACCTACACCGTAGCAGAACATAGCTGGTGGTAAGAATACATACTGACGTCCACAGCAATAGCCATATTCTTTCATAATAGGATCGACGTTTTCCATGAAGATGTCAGCAAGCTGAAAGAAAGTTAGTTTTTTTCACAAAATAACCCTTAAAAATAATCAACTCACTTTAACACCAGCTTTATGGACACGCTGAGTTTTCTTATTGAATGTCCATGCGTTGTTAAAAACCAGCCAAACATCTGCACAGAACTGAAACGGTGTAGAGTATTGATTTTTATCCAATTTATTGAATATAGTGGAGAAATCCATTGGATCTTTGATAATTTCAAAATATCCCGGTGCGATCGCTTCGGTGACCGGCTGATGGAACCAAAATCCATCTTCGTGATCATACATTTGTCGGAGAATCGGCGCCATTTTTTCTCGAATATCGTCGGGTGAAAATACTGCTGGACATTTTGGTAATGCTTTACTCGATGCATCAATAGGTGGATGTTGCTTCGATGGTGGAGACGTAGGTTCAGCTTTGACACTTTCATTTGGATTTAGCTTTATAGTAGTGAGCGAGTTTCCCGTGGTCACTGTTTCTTCTTCTTTTCTGTTGTTCGTCACTGTGGTTGTTGACTAGAAGAGAAAAAAAACATCACACTAGTTTCGACGTTCTATTGGATATAGAAAATATTTACATGAATTTTCGAATCATGAGTGAATAAAGTTTCTTCAGTCTTTATGTGTGCTAGATCGTTATGATTTCCGTTAAAATCTACGTTCACAGCTGAGTTGTTATTATGAATGACTAGTCGACTGAGAGCATCAGTGGAGATCCGATGTTTGTCCAAAGGCATTGTTGTTAAAATTGATTGGTGATTAGAAATGGCTTCGGCTTTCACCTGTGGTAATGAATAGTCTATCTGTGGTGCAACGCGATTTGGTGGGCCTTGCTCGCCAGCAGACCGATCAATGGACGATAGTGTTGTATTTGATATTGTTGTATTCGTTTGCTGTGATTGCCGTTTGACTGCTTGTTTTTCATCGTATTCTTTTTGTATTTTATAGATTCGTTCAGCTAAACGTTGAAAATAATCTTCTTGACTTGTAGCGTTATTAAATGCGTCTGCTTCAGTCTTTTGAGCATAATTTGTAACAGTGGCTACAGACGCAGGAGTTAAGGGGTGATTATCTTGCTGAATGGTGGACAGTAACGCTGAGGTGATCTTTTTTACTAAGTGGCTTCGATGGTCTTGATGAATCTGTTGTTGCCATTCTTTTGCTATATCGAAATACGCTTTTTTTCTTCTATTTTCGAAAAACAAGCTTTAACTTACTTGCAGGATTTTGTGTTCGGACCACTGACGATGGTTTTCTCAGTGCTCCACAAATGGGACAATTGGATATGGTACAATTTTTCCAATGAAGAAGTATATGACGTGATCGTACACAATGCGCAACTAGAAAAACGAAAGTTCCCATGAATCGAGGCTGATTTCTTTGTACTTACAGGAGCAAGTTTTAAAATCTGAACATTTGGTCATATGTTGAAGTACAGTGCGCATGGTTGCACAATGTGGCATGGGACAAAAGTATTGAGATGCCGTTTCGTGATTGTCACCATTTGTTGCTGCTTGTCGTTCACGTTGAAGACATTTATGTGCATGAAGTAACAGCGCAAGATGATGAATGACTTGTCGACGTTGATCATTTTGTGGTACAGATGTACTATTACTGGCTGATGAATCAAAATCAGACATGATTGCTGTTGACATCGGCTGGATAAATGAACGATTTGATGAGTTGACCGACGATGCGCTAGTTGTCGAATAGATCGACGGAATCATCGAGCCCGATTCGATACTGTCGGACTAGAAAAGCGAAAAAGTGAATTTAGTTGTTCAAAGACGTTTTCTTCGTGATAAACCAACTCGATTCGATAATGGCGTATTATTTTTGTTGTTATTCATGGCTGCTGACGATAAAAGCACGTAATCAGCATGTTCGACCGTCTGAACAACAATGAGAGTCTAGAAATGAAAAAACAAAGTTGATCCAAAACTAAAAACTATCACTTTTTAATCGATATAATAAGAGAAAAAACATTTTGACCGATACCCATGCACTATCTACCTATCAATCAATCAACTCTTTCGAGTTTCCAACGATCCAATTGCTGAAAAGAGAGAGAAACAATAATACTGACAGAAAGAGGTCGCTGATTTGTCTCAAAGAGTTCGTTCTTATTTGTTCTTTTTAGTTCTAATCAATTTCTCTGCTTATGCGTTGTTGTTCTTGTCTGTCTGTCTTCATCTTCATTCACTTCGGACGTCTATTCTGTTGCTTTGTATTTAGAAAAGAAAAGAATTTCAAAATATCCTCTCCTTTTCACAAGGGAGTCTTCTGTGGGAAAAAGCCGTTATTTACTTTTTGACGTTTCTGTCATTTGGAACGAGAGAGAGAGAGAGAGAAGAAAAAGAATGAAATCGTACTTGAACAATGGGCGTATTTTAAAGAGATATTGCTCTAGGTTCATCGGATCCATTTCAAAAATATAGAATAAATGAGATTTAAATTAAATAAGTGATACCAGCACATATGTTACAAATCTGACTAATTCGTTTTTTTTAAACATTCATCATGACGCCAGCTTTTATAGTATAATCGAACTGTCATGACGCAATACACAGCAATATTTCAAAATTTTAACAGAGAAGTAACTTATATCGAATCATATCATATTCTGGAAGTTTCCAATCGTACGTCAAATATCCGTTTTGTATTTGACAAGAAAAAAAAACCGCGGTATTTCATTTTGTTTCAATTATGAGTTAGATTCAAATGTGAAGCTGTTGTTATTAGATAAGCCATTGTTCATTCTCATTATTTTCGTTGACTAAAGCCGCGATTGTTTATCTAAGAAGAAAATGTCAACGACGATTACTTGTACACATATTTTTGATTGATATTTCTTTCGTTCATAAAGTAACTCTCTGTCGATCATATAACGCAAAGAAGACACAAAAAAAGAGACGAAATGTACGCGGTTGTTCGCGATTTTTCCATTTGGTACATGTCGTGCTTCGTGTAATCTTCGTCATAGGAGAACATGATAGTAACATCGTGAACATCAACATTTTCTATATAATCACCGCTCTCTAACTTGGGTTTATTATATCAATGAAATGAAATGAAGTGCAATTATCTGTTCAGTTCGTTATCGTTGTTCGATCTATTCTTAGTTTTCCTATTATTATTCGCATCAGCGATCGATGCGTGCGATGTGATGGGCGCTCGAGCTTGTGGAAAAAAGCCGGATAAGGATGTACAAGAAAGTGATCCGGTCAAATACTGCATAGCTTCGCGGGTATATTTCGAATGTGTTCATAAGAAATATCGCGGATGTGAAAATAAAGAAAAATACGAAGTAGCAATGGAATCAATGATGAAAGGTAAGATATAACATTAGCGAAGAATCGAACAAAGTTCTGTTTTGTACATTTTTAGGCATTCGAAAGCGCGTCGATGAACTTCTTGCTTTCTGCAGTGATAAAATTGAAAATTATAAATTTAACATCGTGTGGGATTCGCCGAAAAAACCTGAAGCAAGCGATTCCGTTCGTAGTGGCGTTTCCTCGAAGAACGGCATTCTTGGTTCATCACCTATTCAATCGTCTGCATCGATTGATGTATGTCAAGTAAAAGCAATCAATGATCTATGTCAACCATTAATGATCACAGTTAAATTCAATCCTTCGTGGAATACTCTAAACAAACGTAGTTGGTGTCAACAAGCGACGATTTACTATCGCTGTTTGAAATCTCGTCTAGATAAATGTCCTCAACAGGATGTTCTCAATCAGTTTCAACAATTAGAACGTTACCTTGTTTCGCAGATCAATATCAACTGTCCGGGAGGTGTGGATGGTTGTACTCGTTATTCAACTGATGCTCGTTGTAAAATTGGTATAGATCGATCGAATTCAAGTTCAACTCGATTCCATTGGATTTACTTTCTTGTTCAATCGGTATTACAACTACTACTAATGATGATATTGTAAAAGGAAAGAACGAGTTCAAATGATCATTGATTTTTCACCATTTTTATTTGTACGAAGAAGAAAAACTATCTGACATGATTTTGAACATAAGAGTTAGACGAAAGAGAGCAAGAAGAAAAGGACATTTTTTTGTTTCATGAACTTTCCACTTGACGAGCTTTTTGAAAAGCAGATATGAGTGAACTGAGTTGTAATTTTTCCGTTGCACCATTAGCTAAGCGATTTCTATTGAATAAATACAATGTAGGTGAAAGTTTGACATCTTGTTTTCGAACTTACTCAATATCAGCCATCTTGATCAACAAATGTATACGAATTTCACTTGGAAAGTCAACTAAAATACACATAAAGACCAATGAATTCGCACAATTATGTTCTCACTTTTATGAACATATCGATGAAGTTCAGTAAGAATATCGGCCAGTGCATAACCTTTCGTTGTTTTCAGTGTCGACAATGCTAATGGATAATGTAAAAATAACAATTCTACGTAATTACTTTCTTTTGTCTGGATTACTTTGTGAAGCCACTGTGAAATTTTCATTCAATAAAACATTGATGATTGTTTTAACATCTGTTTTGGATGGATGGCCGACACATTCGTATACGGAAGCTTCATTTACTGATCCCGATGCCATATGAGTACTCTAGAGAGATGAACCGATCGTACCAAGCGTTTTCGATCAGTTTGACATAATACCTGAAGAATATTTAATGCGCGTCGCATATCTCCATTGGCTAATTGAAGAATTGCTTTTTTGCCTTCTTGATCGATTTGTACACTAGATGAAACGAATTTTTAGAAATAAGATCGAAGTGAAAAGATGTGAGCTACCTTTCTTTTTCGATTACGTATTGTAAACGAGGCATCATTTGTTCATTCGATAGTGGACCAAAGCGAAATCGTGTGCAACGTGATTGAACAGCAGGAATGATCTTCGAGAGATAGTTGCAAATGAAACAGAAACGAGCTGTCGCTGTATATTGTTCGATAACTATTCGCAGCAAACAAAACATAGAAAATCAGTCTCAAGCAGCGAATTGTTTGAGAAAATTTACTTCGACGAAGAGCATTCTGAGCATCCGTTGTCATCGCATCAGCTTCATCGAGAATGATTAATTTAACACCTTTCCTAATCGGAGGAAAATGGAAATACTTGTGTGAGAAGTTCTTTGACGAAAATTATTTTCTGTGTACTTATGAAGAGTTTGCGTACTAACAAATGTTTGAATTTCATCACGCACGATTCCAATACCTCGATCGTCAGATGCGTTCAACTAGAAACATAACCGTTTCCTAGAAAACAATCTTCTGAAAAAGACGATCAATTTACTTCTAACACACAACCACGCATTTCTGAGGGTGTGTACATTTGTTTCGCTAGAGCCAAAATTGTACTAGTTTTGCCTAGATATCAACGTAAACTGGCGTTTATCTTTGGAATGATTCTGGAGATTTACCTGTGCCCGCTGGTCCGTAAAAAAGTAGATGTGGCAGTTCACCGAGTGACATATAGCGTTTGACTATGTAAAACACAAAAGCCTTGGCTTTGTTTTGTCTTACAAAAGACATCTGTCATTTACTTGTATCGATGATATCTTTATGAGAAACAAGTTCATCAAGTGTCGCCGGACGATATTTTTCAATCCTAGAACAACAAAGCGTTTTCTTTTCCAATTGAGCAGCATCTCTACTAACCAAGGAAGGTTTGCCATGATTATTTACACAAATTTCGAAAAAAAGAAAAATTCTTTGGAATCTAGAATTCAAAGAATTGAAAAGGATACGAAATGCAAATGTTGGAGGATTTTATTGTTCGGGTAGAGAATTCATTTCTGGAACATTATAGTCTTCGTAGTTACTTAACGGCGCAATATAATGAATCAATGTTGGTTCGTACACTTCGATATATGGACGAGCATTGAGTTTATTCGTCTACAAAATACAGAATAGATTAGCCCATTCGCGTCGAAGGCAGACAAACGGTGAAATATACCTGGATGAAATCTTTTAATCGTGAAGGTACTCGCATGTTGGCAATTGAAACAGAAAACACGCTAGTAAATGGAAATGTTGTGTACACTGATTGCACCGCTTTCGGAAGTTTAAAAGCTTTATAATCATCTGCTTTCATTCGTTCGATCATTTCTTCATCTTTTGTTTCATCGACAATGACACCAACCATCGAACGTCGTTCTTCAACCGGTGTCTAAATTCACACCGAAGACGTTCGCCTGTAATGCAATCGTATATTCGCTCACTTACATCATCGATGTTATCGTAATAAATTCCAATAGTCGAATGTGCTGGCGAATAATTCATGATATCTTTGAATGTTTCCGCTGATACCGAATAGTCACCTTTTTGAAACTTATAAACAATAGTTAGATGTTCAAATGATGGCTGAGCAATTTTTATTCGAATCGATGTGAAAAGTCCGGAAACTTTTAACAACCAAAAGATTGTTAAAATCAGCGCTAAAAACGTCAAACCGATCGATAATAAAATAAATGGAATTAACATCTGAAATAACAGTAATCATAAGAAGAAGAAAACAAACAAACAGAATAATAACAAGAAGGAAAAAAACAAAATTTATTTGTATAGACTCATCATTTCTTTCACTCGTTTATTTTCGTTATGATTCCTGCTGCCATTGTCACACCACTTTGTCTTAACATGAATCGTCCTAATTCTTTGACATTGGAATATAACTCACAGCAAATAGGTCGATGGAGGACGAGTTCCACGACGCCACTTGTGTTCTTCGCCAACATACGCGGATTCCGTCGTTTGAGTTCGCCGGTCGAACGGTCTAATTCTTCGATTAATCGACTGATTTTACATTGTTCTTGCGTGGACTTAAAGTGAAATACAACTGGTGTGCCTGGCAAGAGCGGTGTTGAGATGTTGAATATAATAATTCGTGCTTCTATTGTTGTTGTACACGGAATGGGATATTCAGGGTCACAAACAACATTACCAACGAATAAATGAGTAGAGTCCACACCTTGAATATTGAGTATAACATTATCACCGGCGAATGCTGATGGGACATTTGAATTTTCGATAAGAATCGATTTTATGGTTACTTGATCATTTGATGGTCGTAAGAGAACACGTTCATTAATTTCAATGCCACCGCACTCGACTCGACCAGCTATGGAGACAGTGCTAGCACCAATACCGGTTGCACGAAACACATCTGTGATACAGAGACGAAATGGTTTTGATATGGGTCGTTCAGGGGGTTTCAAACGATCGATTAAATCCATTAATGTTGCACCTCGTATGATACCATTGGTTACTGTACTCGAGGCATTGGGATCTTTAGTGTACCATGGCAAGGGTGTATTAGTTGATGAAATTAGGTTTTCTCCTGTCCAACCACTAACCGGCACGAAAGTAACGTCGGATTCTTTGTAGCCAGATGATTTAAGAAATGCAGAGAGTTTTTTAACAATTTCATCAAAGCGTTCTTGTGACCAGTCGATGGCATCCATTTTATTCACAGCACAAATTAATTGAGAAACACCGAGAGATCGTACGAGAAGTGCATGTTCACGCGTTTGACCACCAAATTCAAAACCAGTTTCGAACTCCCCACGTCGACCATCAACAACTAGGATTGCAACGTCAGCTTGAGCAGCTCCATTAATCATATGTGGAATAAAATCTTAAACAAGATATCAAATTGTCTCGTTGTGAACGAATTGTTCAATGTGACAGGTATTACCTTTGTGACCGGGTGCATCGACAAGATTAACAATTTTCGTTGGAGTTTTGAATTGTGCTTGAGCAATGTCCATTGTGACACCACGCTCTCTTTCTTCCTCGGATTCGTCCAAAACGAAAGCAAAGGAAAAGCTCTCTTTTCCCAATCGTGCAGCTTCGACTTTATTCTTATGCATTGTTCGATCATCGACAACTTTTAATTTTACGAGTAGATGGCCCATCAGAGTAGACTTTCCAGCATCGACATGACCAACAACAACTAAATTCAATAGATCACGACCTTCAAGACGTTCATTGTAATCGCGTAATGTATTTGTGCGATCAATTGCCATTGGACGGCGTTTCAGCGTGGAAGTAACTGATGACGAGGCAGTTTCATTTCGACGTGATACAGCAACAGGCGATACACCTTGCCGTGGTGTAACACAAGGGGATTCAAGAGTTGATTTTGACTGTTTTTGAGGTGACACACTTCGATCAGTTCGCTCACTAATCTTCAATGTGGCTATACGAGCTGGAAGAGTTTCTAATGGCGTCGGACGACTTGGAGTGACTAAATGATCAGACATCATTTGAATTCAGTTCGATCGTCAATTGCAAACACTTACTCGCATTCGATGCCTTTTTCAGGTCATCTTCAGGTTCCATGTCGAATTGTGTATCATAATAATCACGTGATGTAAGACGTCCTCGGTTTTGCGGTGTTTTCTCTTCAATATTAGATGGTTCTTCTACAAGTTTATTCACAATGGATGTATCTTTGTTTTTCTTGTCTTTCTTATTCTTGGGCTTTGGTTGAACTTGAACGAATGCTGATAATGAATGTTGTTGTTGTCTTTCCGAACTATCAGTCATAAATTCTCCGCTACTGTTGGGGGAAAACGGATAATTGTAATGATCATCAACCGATCTTGCCGAGTAGCCTTCATATTCATCGTCGAACGTTTGCGCATTTTTCTCTAATCCACGGTAATCGGAATGACGCATGATAGGAAATTTCTACAAAATGTTGAAATACAATTGTGAAAACCGAAGTTGTACTTGTACATGGAAATAACTGAAGAAAGAAAGAACAGAGTACAAAAACAGCTGATTGGTGCATTATTGGTTGGCCGGGAACTAGCTGTTATTGCATTTTGTTGTCAACTAACCAATGTATGTTATATAATGGAAAGAAAAATAGAGGGCAGTAAAGTTTTATCGTCGAAGTCTTGTGGGAAAGTATAATTGAGATCTATTCATGTATCGTTTTGCTTTTCGTGAACTGAAAATCGGGATCGGGCGAAAATAATCTTTGTTTAATAATTAAATATCGATCAAAACAAATAACAAGGAGGAAAAAAGAATAACAACATAGAAATCATACTACTTCACGGTATATCACAGTTCTACGAGCACAGATATTTCAGTCATTTGTTATTCACTGTGAAACAATAATAACAAAACGTTCACTAAGCTGTTTTGTTATTTGCGATGGGCGCATTTGGGTTGTCATTGACATGTTTTCGAACTGTGAAATAAGTATTATCACCTTCAAAACGTCGAACTTCAGCTACTTTCTGTTGAATGGATGCAAACATATCGTAGGGTGCTGGCTCGCTTTTGTCGCTCTCACGAAAACTTTGAAAAAAGTAAAATGACAAGACGGCAACCATCGCTGATTGATCATAACGATGTGTTCCGGATGGTCCACCCATACGGCGACATTGAGTTTTCGAATTGGATGGTGATATACATTCCGCGTCTAGTGCACAGGCAACCCAGGTTTTCAAAACTAGACGAGAGAGAAAATTATCCGTCACAGCAACAAAACCAGCTTCAGCGATATAAACATCGTCAAACGTCGCAGACGTTTCATTAAACCATGCAAATGTTCCACTCAAGGTAAAGCAAGATAGATAATGACCAGGTAGTTCGCGGCAAGAAAATCCTCGAATAGAATTATCGATAATGATACGATCGAAGTCCGATGTTAAGTAACGGACTGATGTATCGCCGTAAATAATGGTGCCATAACGACGTACTGCATCCTAAAGGGAAACAAAGCAAAACGTACTATTTTTCTTGGTAATTTGTAGAAGAGGCAAATCCTACCTGTACTATAATAGGTTTCCAAGCAAAATTTGGTAAATTTCGAACGTGAGGAGAAACTGTGGCGAGTTTATCGAATGGAAATGGAATGGTCGTACAGCGTGGACAATTGCTTTTGATCTAAATTGAACGAGAAAGAAAAATACTTTTCTTTTTCATAAACAATTCATGGACAGCCCTAATGCAATAAAACAATCTTCCACTTGAACACTCACTCAGACAGGAATGTGATATACGGGCCATTTTCGTTGTTAGTTTTTATGTCTATTCTAGACGGTCAAGTGTTTTTTTGTATTGACTTTCGTTTCTTCTTCTACAGATTTGTACTCTCTACATTAAGTTGAACTAGATCGACACTAACGTAATGTCAATATTTAAATGTTCTACACGTTGACTCATTCCCTGAATGCTTTAACTGCGTACAGACGTACGGAAGTGCGTTTTTTCTGTTCGAACCAAATTACCACCATATACCATCCAGTACTTATAGTCTCACGTGTATACAAAAATCGCTCAAGAAGAAAATGAGTCCTATACTTAAGGGAATATCCTACCATATTCAGTTGATTTTGATCGAAGCCTAGATCATAGATAACAATAGTATGTTCCATAAAATATTTATTAACTGTACGCATAGAAGCTTGCAATGTGTCATAAAAACGTGAGTTAGCAGCAAGTACAATAACTGGTTTTTCTCCTAACGGTTTTTTCCAACTTGGATGTTCAGTGTTAAAACCATCGGATAAATAATGAGAGACTTTTTTCAAATAAGTGATCATTTCCGGTTGAATATCAATATGTCCATTGTCGGAGACAGTGATATATCTTTGGAAAAGACAGTAGATTTGTTGTAAACGCTGCGTGTTATTAGCAAATGGACGCAATGTATTAATTAAGTCAGTGAAACGAAAAACACCTAAATAATCTAATGCTGCACGATACTTGTCTTCATGGGAAATGAGTATGGAGAAAAGTTTGCGTAAACGAGCAATGGATGGTTGAGGGCGAAGATCTTCATCTGCACTCATTTTCGGATCTTTTTTTGGCTTATATTTGAGTAGATTTTCGGTTTCTGCAAAGTCACATTTATCTGGTATATTCGGACGATAATGATCTTCGACTGGAGAAAGGATTCGACTATTTTTATTTGCTGGAGCTTTACCATTCGAATGTTGTTCGGATGGCGCATGGTTAATAAGACGTAAATAAGTAAAAATAATTAGAATGAAAAATATGATCAGTAAATGCTTTAGTTTCACACATTTTCGAAAACGTAAAATGAACAAAAGCCATAAAGTTGGCTGATGCCCGACTCCACTAGTCGGGCGTGCCATGGACGATTATCGAATGAATTGCATGATGTTTTTACAAAGAATCGCGCAATTCTAGAGAAGAAAAATCGACAGCGAAAATTTTTTTCATATTATTGAATAAATAAAGCACGGATCAGAAGAACCGAATCGAACACGTCTTCTACCAGAAGAAAAGAAAGGACAAGGTGAAGTATAAAGGTAACCATGTTGATGATCGACTAAAAAGTACACTCGTGTTTGATCGAACTGCTAAAAAACGAGTCACTGGCATTGAATAAAGTATAGAAGCAAAAGAAAAAGATCGTAGCATTCCTATTGTTCTTAAATCATATCTATCGCGAGGGAAACAGAAGAGTATTACAACGACTGGAAATATTCCGGAAGAACTTCGACAAGGGTCAAAGAACAATCGATAAGACCAAAGAAGTTCGTAAAAGATGTAAAATATTGATATTTATAACAATGGCATATCGAGAAAAAAACTCATAAAATAAGACAAATCGAACAATACAATATCAGCCGTATTGTGATGTAGATAAAGAAGAAGAAAAGAGACGTTAATCAAATTTTGATTCCCTGTAGAATTACTATAATTATGTATGAATCGGAGACATTGACAAGTTCGTCATTTATGTAATTCCTGTTCTTATCTGACTAATTGTTGAGATTTCAATTTTCATTCTTGCAAGAAGAACAAAGACAGAAATCTCTTCGATGTGTCTACATAGGTATATTCAGTTGTGCATTTTGTCAAGGAAAGACCGTGTATACGATACATTAATCAAACGAAGTCATGTTATAATGCTAAAATAATATCCAACGATTGATCTACTTGACAAGTTACTCTGTTTCTCTCGTCGTCAACGGTAAAAATCTCAACAGAAAATGAAGTATGAGTAATATATTCATTCACTCGAGAGAGAAAGAGAGAGAGTAAGTTCATTAAGGCGACGATGAACAAGCATACAAGAAAAAGAAAATAAGAATTCTATTTGTCCAAGAGGCCATATTCTACCGTTGTAACGAGGATTGACGGCGCGTATACATATTCGCGAGAAAATAAGCGTCAAGCATCTGCGTCGATGTTCCGTTCAAGTCGTATAGAGAAATTTTCAAGTCAGTTAGCTCGGGGAGAATACATCGAGTAACTACCCGCACATGACGAGAAAAATTCTTGACGATCTCTAGTCATCATATACTCGTCTTTTTCTTCCCTTTTGTGTTCTCTTTTCTCAATGTTTTTATTCTGTGTTCTGCCTTGTCCTACACTCGAAGGATCGTAAACCTTTCTGTGACATCTATTCGTTTAGCTATCTCTCTCGTTTGTCATTTTCTTTTATCATCATAAACATTGTCAAACAGGAAGAAAACGTTCATTTGCTTATTCACCAAGTATTTTATTAAAAATTCCAAGTGACGATATAAGACCTTGACGTTTAGTAACGATATGGTTAAATAGAAGATGATCATTTGCATATAGAATAGATGTTAAATTTACAACTCATAAGAACTACAACTGAATATAGATATATATTCAATTGCAACATTGATTTACATATGACAAAAATAGGAGAACAAGAAGAAGAAGAAGAAGAAATGAGAGCGTTCCTCATACGGTAGTCACTTAGCTGGAAAGAAACAATGGAGAGCTGTTGGCTGTGTCCGTGAGTGAGAGCTAAATGAAAAGAATTTTACTCATGTGAAAGAACTGCAAAGGAAAGAGAAACGAGGAGAAGAAGAAAAAAAACTTTATTTCACCATACACCTGTGTATGTGTATTTCTTCCTTCACTTGCACTTTAATCGCAACTTTGAAAAAGATTGTCATAGGTAAATATAGGCGACGTGATATTCTCGACTTGCACATTCGTTGGGTGTAGGGTGAAGGAAGAAAAAGATGTCGAATAATGAAGTAAAATTTACACTCGTTTTCTCGCTGTAAATTATTGACAATAAAAACAAAATCTCCCTGATCCTACTGACAATTATATCCATCATACGCGCACACGTACATATTCAAAGAAACCTATGACCAAACGCAGTTGAACTACGAAAAAAGAAAAGAAGCCCATTACATTTTGTTGAGTAATCATACATGTCTATTGAACTTCGATTAGTACCGAGAGAGAAAGAAATAAATGACTGAAAGATTACAAACCGTAATGAATTTGCAATGAAATAAGTCGATATATAGTGATATTTATTCGTTTTTTTTCCTATTCTTATGGTCTACTACGTATATTGCATATCATTAATTATTCATGTAATCATTTGAAATGATGGTTTGATCCGTAATTCCACATATTGAAAACTTATTTGAGGAAAAATAAGAAAGAAAGAAGAATTTAATGTTGCTAAGCGCATTTATATTATTTTCCTTAAATAACTAACTCGTCTATGTCTTCGGGATCAACAAATGAAGACCTATTACTTTCTAATCGTGATATTTCAGCGAATCAATTGCAAACCTATCGTTCTAATAATGAACCCACGCTCATGACTAGTTCATCAGGAATGCCTATAGGTGACAAAATCTGCTCATTAACAGCCGGCTTACATGGTCCAATAGTCTTACACGATGCATGTTTACTCGACGAAATCGGTCAATTCAATGAAGAAAAGATTCCGGAACGTTGTTCGTATGCCAAAGGTTCGGGTGCATTTGGAACTTTTCAATGCACGACTGATCTAGGCTCCTCGATAACGCGAGCACATTTTCTTGATACACGTGATAAACAAACACGAGTAGCAGTGCGATTTTCACGTTTTACGAGTGAATTAGGCAGCGCAGATACCGTACGTGATATACGTGGTATGTCAATCAAGTTCTATACGGATTGTGGAAATTTTGATTTGATCTGTAATCATCTACCTGTCTTCTTTATTCGCGATCCGATTCTTTATCCATCCCTTGTTCATGCACAAAAACGAAATCCGGTTACAAATCTGTTTGATTACGATGCCTACTGGGATTTTCTGACATTAAGACCAGAAACGATGCATTGCCTAGTACGTCTACGAACTAGAGATCGTTCATAATCGATCTATGTCTTTAGATATTACTCTATAGCCATCGTGGCTTACCGAATGGTTATCGTTACATGAATGGTTACTCTGTTAACACTTACAAATTTTTATCATCTGAAGACAGAGTATCATATGTTCGTTTTCATGTTAAATCTAATCAAGGAATCAGTTCAATTGATTCAACAAAAGCTCTTGTGTTAGCTGGTATGGATTCAGATTACGCCACACGAGACTTGTATAATACGATCTGTGCGAACAAAGAATTACCATCGTGGACATTATGCATTCAGCAAATGAATGAAGAAGAGATGAAAATTTCATCTTTTGACCCATTTGATACAACGAAAGTGTGGCCAAAATTGGATTATCCATTGATTCCGCTAGGAACAATTACATTAAATCGTTTACCAGCCAATCATTTTTCCGAAATTGAACAACTAGCATATTCGCCGGCAAATCTCGTTCCAGGCATTGAAGTATCTCCTGATAAAATGCTTCAAGCACGCATATTTGCGTATTCGGATGCACAGCGTTATCGTCTGGGCAAAAATTACGCTCAACTACCCGTAAATCGTCCATTGAATCCAATTACGAATAATTATCGTAATGGACATATGTGTTTAAATAATCAAAACGGTGCACCGAATTACTTTCCAAATAGTTTCCACGGTGCAACAACATCTTCTCATTTCAAAGAATCGACTTATCCTGTGGAAGGTAATGTCGCACGTTATGAATGTTCCAATGGCATCGATGACTTTCATCAAGCGCAAAGATTTTATCGAGAGGTGTTGAGCGCAGATGAACGTCTGATGTTAGCAAGAAATTTAGCCAAAAGTTTAGCATTAACACAACAGTTTATATGTAAAAGAGCACTGGAGAATTTCTCGCACATCGATCAAGATTTAACAAAAGACATAGAACATTTTCTCAGTTTACAAAGACCAACAACAATGGAAGATCGCAGCATTCAAACTGACTTCGAAGGAAAGATTTGATGCAGTTTTGTCATACTCGATGTAGTTACTCTTTTATCTAACTACGCAGAACGTACAGAAATATGTCAGATTTGAGTAAATAGAATAAAAAACAAGTGTATGGAAACACAAAGCAACGAAAACAAACAAACTGCAGTAGAATTTTCTCATGTCATCAAACAGCATAACTAGTTAAGCTTGATTAATTGATTCTGTTTTTTGGACTTTTCTTCGAGAAATAACGTAGACTAACAAGAATTGAATGATAAAACAAAAAAAAACAAATAAAGACGGTTGAAGTAACTAATCGGTCAACGTGGTTTTTAGATACTTTCGGTGATGGTAGGTCGTTTTCGGCGAATGACTAAAGCAAAGATTCGTAATAGAGTCGAAAATCAAAAACTTCCTTACCTTTTGTAATGTAAAGATAAAAGAAATCACAATAGAGGACTGTCTGAACAACTCCGGAAACAATCGATATCCAATCGAGAAAATCTTCCATGTAATAGCGATAAACCCAGTTGAGAATGTAGAAAAACCGATAGATGCCCAAGGCGAATAAATAATGACTTGTAATGATTTCTGCCTCACCCGTTTTACTAACCATGAACAATTGAGGAAGAATGGCAACCGACTCGAGATAAATTGAAAACGTCCAAAGAATTTCTAAGACAGAAAATTCGTGGTTCCAGATGAAAGCCAGTGCAGCTGATGGTAAAATTAGTAATTCAATTCGAAATGAATCATGACTACGATGATAGGTTGATTTGAATTTCACATAGATTAAATAGAGTGTAAAGTAAGTCGAAGTAAGATAAACTATTTTCATTATCGAATTGTATGCGCTAACATAATGAACAAATAAGTCCAAATAACGAAATGAGAAAACAATGGCATAGAGAACAACACTTTTACCAGATACACCTAAACAAGAATATGATTGCGAATCAGGAGGAGAAGAGTATCGAAAGTGATTTACCGGCACATGAACGAGTTGTCCAAATTTTAAGTAAAAGGATAAAAATAGCGGCTAGATGAGAAAAATCTCCCAATAGTCGAAAGATATTCATTGAATGAATACAATTAACACTTGACGAATGCTTATCTAGAAGAAAGAAAGGTAGCACATATGAGGCATCAGATGGCATCAATAGAGCAGTCTCGACCAAAACTGTCGAAAGCGGGACGTGGCTAGCAGATCAGCTCTGTAAACCAATCCGAGACACTTGGGTATACTTGATTTGACAGTTTGGATAGCAACTGGAATTTTCTCATCGAGAAATCGTATTTGAACGATATTTTAGGAACGTTCCAGAAAAATTGCACAGTGACTTTAAAGCAGATGCCGCTGCATGTCGAATGATCAATCTCAATATCTTCATTGTCAATAAATCGCTGGACGAAAGCATCATCAACAAATGTATAATCTCTAGTGTGGTATGATATTGGGCATCGCAATCTCAGAATTGTGCCGATGATGTAGGCATCGTAGGTGTTCTCTATTGAGATACATGACAGCGATATCAATGTGCGATTAAAATTCTACAATAATCAAAAATACATAACTGAAAGACTAATTGTATCAATAATCAATCACACGCCCATATTGTAGGAACGATTAGTCAGTCTCATAGTGTCGTACCTGTCAAGGATAAACCTGCTTGTGGTGTTTTTGTTTTCGACATCATGCTCGATATTTAATCGATGAAAAAAATATATCATCATTTTAAGCGCTCCCACTAAGCTTTCCTTTCTTCTGATATACCACATTAATTACTTGTGACAATTTTCATACGATTGGTCATGGACTACTACCAATGACGCGCTGTTATTGGAAACAAACAAAAAAAAGTATGACAAAATCCGGTAAAAGTGCAAGTGAATTATACGAAAATAATTGACAGTCATGACTCTGAAAACAAAAAATGCCAGAGATCTCCACCATAATTATTTATTTTTGAATTATGCTTATGACTGTATATAAAGAACTCAAAAATGATGTGAAACTATATTCTCGTCGGCGATGTCTGTATCAACAATGTTAGGTGGCTTAATTTCAACCAAATCGTTATACTCACAAGATCCAGTCGATCGATACATTTTCGATCATTCGCTTCGTTACACGTCGGAACAAACTGAACTTTTGCACGATCTTAAAAATCTACCAGGTTTGTAGAAAACAGTATTTCCAGAATGTACACAGCGCTCATTGATATATTACAGAAAAAATTCAACCATGGTTGGGCTCAACGGATGAAGCACAGTTCTTTCAAGTTCTCATTCGATTAATGAATGGCAAACGTGCAAGTAAGTTAAAACAGTGTTCTGTTCCATTCGATAAATCCTTCTAACTTCTTTAGTTGAAATCGGAACATTCACCGGCTATACGTCACTTACTATTGCCTTGGCCTTGCCATCCGATGGTGAACTAATCACTTGCGATATATCAGATGAGTACATTCGGCGAGATATCTGGAAGAGAGCTGGCGTTTATGACAAAATCAACTTCCAACTTCGACCAGGACTCGATCTACTGGAAGAACTACTTGAAACAGAAGGTGAAAATTCCTTTGACTTCATTTTCATCGATGCTGATAAAGCTAATTATCCACAATATTATGAATTAGCCCTTCGATTGATTCGTCCGAATGGCTTAATCGCTATTGATAATACACTATGGAATGGACGTGTTCTAAATCAGAATGATACGACGCCGGAAACGAGTGCGATCCGTCAAACGAATGATATCGTTAAAGATGATCCACGTGTCGACATCAGTTTCCTAAGACTAGGCGACGGAACAACATTTTGTCGGAAAAAATAAAACAAATTTTAAACTGTTTTACTTTTCATTTATAGATATTCTGTTTTATTTTTGTTTTTCGAAGTAGACATCGATTATGTCATGTCGCTTCTTACTTTTTTTCTTATTCATTATTCCTCCAAGTTTTTCGTCAATACATATATCTCCTAATCAAAACCAATTACAATATAGTTTCATAAATACAGATTCAAATCCAAGACACGAACGAGTGAGACGACGCACTGTACCGGACACATTTCAAATACATATTCATTATGATATCAGTGTGCAAAAGTAGCAGAGAATGCTTTTCTTGCCTCTTAAAGTTCTTTTTCTATTTCATCTAGATTACATAAAGACGAACAACGATTGATTAAGAACGCGGTTGAACAAGCAACGGACTATTGGAGTAAAACAATCCGACCAAAATATAAACTGAACGATCGGATTCGCTTGACGAGGTATTTTTGCTGAGAAAAAAAAAAGAAGCAATAGAAATGTATTCAAGAGGGAAAACCAGACTTATGTACTTCTTCGTACTTCTCCGTAATTCCTTGTACTTCTCCGTACTTCTCCGTAGTTCCTTGTACTTCTCTGCACTTCTCCGTACTTTCTTGTACTTCTCTGTGCTTCTAAGTAAGAAGTCCTGCCTTTCCCCCATTGAATGTATTTCTGTACTTTTCTGTTTAGACAATGCCCGTCAAGGAAAATGTTCATTGTGGAGAATGATTATACAATACATTATTGCTCAGAGAAATGTTTAGATGTGACGAAATGTGGTGATATTATAGTACCGGATGAACATTTACAACAATGCCATGTGTGTAGTAAAGAGAAAAAATGTAACCGAATTGGAACGAAAGGGGAAGGTGTTGACGCCGAATTTATTCTGTATGTCTCCGCGCTCGAAACAACTCGATGTCAACCAGTAGACACGTTAGCGACAGCATCTTTTTGCCAATTGGAAGCAGATAGGGACAGGTAAATCAATTATTTACTGATAGTAGGTCTATGTTTCACTGTTTCTCTTAACATTTCTAGACCGATAGCCGGTAATATCAATGTATGTCCACGACGTTTGAAAGAAGAACGGAACTGGATAGACTTCGATTGGCTAGTTAGTACAATCAAACACGAAATTCTACATACTTTGGTAAGCAGCGATGTTTTAACGTGTGATATGTTTAATTAATATGGAATTGTTCGTGATGTTCGTTAAGGTATTTTCTTCGGGCCTATTCGCATTCTTTCGAAATAGTAATGGAGAACCATTAACAGAACGTGATCCTGCTACGAGATGGCCGCGAGTTTATGACGAACAGTAATTGAATTTCTCATTACTTGCTTTCGACATTTTGACATTCATTTTCGATGTATAGACTGCAAGTGTACACACCAAGTGAAAACGTATTAAAAAACTTAACCAGATCCGGCTGGAAAATTCGTGATGGAACGATCGATAAAGAAATATGGCTGATAGTCACACCGAAAGTTCAGGTAAATTGAAATATTAGGAAAGGTTTATTCAGCATAATTCTATAACTAGGCGGTCGTGCGTGATCATTTTGCTTGTCCAACGCTAGAAGGTGCTGAACTGGAAGATCAAGGTAGTACAGGTACAGCATTGACTCATTGGGAAAAACGACTCTTCGAAGTAAGTTTATTTCGTTTCACATTACCATCATCATCGTCGATTTGTCTCTCTTCAGCATGAAATAATGACTGGAACATACACACAAGAATCAGTGATATCTAATTTAACCTTAGCTTTACTGGAGGATAGCGGGTGAGAGAGTTCGTTTCTTCGGAGGAATGATATGCTATACTGTTTTTGTTGATAAAAGATGGTACGATGTTTCTTACGAATACGGCAAACCTTTACTGTGGGGTCGTCACCTTGGCTGTGATTTTGTCAAAACAAGTTGTAAACAATGGATTGATACAAAACTTGAACAGTAAGATCAACTATGTTTTGTATTCTACAATTCTGTATCCATTATAGGAAGCAGAGTCCCTATCCATTCTGTACGCTCGCCTCGAAGCCTAATCAATCCAAGCGCATCTGTGCTTATACATATGATAAAATAGTCATGTGTAACTTAATCGAATATCAAACAGCGCTACCACGGCAATATCAGGTAAGATTAAGATCGATGTGGAAACTAATTTCCTTTTATTTCAGTTGTTTGATTCACTTCCGAATATTACTGATCCGAATGAACTCGCGCGATATGGTGGACATGTTATGTTAGCTGATTATTGCCCATACAATCAAGAATTGACATATCGAAATACAAACCGTGATTCTCGTTGCTATCGATCGGAAAACCAGCCACCAAGTAAATTTAAATAGGAACACGCTTTTTGTCACCGGTTTTTTGTATTTCATTAGGCAAGGAAAACTACGCATTGGAAAAATATTCTCCAGAATCGAAATGCTTCGATCATGGTTCAACATGGGAACAATATGTTGATCAATGTCAACGACGACGTCGCATTTGGCCACAAACGGCTGGATGTTATCAGGTATATGCAAGCACTCTTACATTCTTATTCATTTGCTTTCTTCTATTAGTTTGAATGTGTATCATCCCGAGGAATTTATGTCCATATTGGCCAGGAAAGATATCTATGTGAATATTCAGGTCAAAACATCACTCTGATCATGAGCGAGAACAATTCAATATATGTCGGCTCAATCATTTGTCCCGATTGTCAGATTATGTGCGGCTCAATGGTTAGTGCTGATGTCCTTCAGTTTTCAAATAACTGATTCGAACGATTGCTTTTTAGAACAACTTTCAATGTCCATCATTGAAGACTCAACAACAATCACTATCAAACACTCGTTTAACTTTGCAGAATCTCTGTGGAAGATTACAGCGTGACAGTCAGCAATATAAGTCAGATACGAATGCTCAATTATACACATCACGATGGTCGTTATATTTTATCTCTTTTGCTTTTCTCTTCCTGCGTCAAAATTTATTGTAATGAAAAAGAAAACGAATGAATAAAACTAATTTTGTTAGTCTTCTACGTTTGGTTTCGTTATGTTTTAGTGAGCCTTGACAGTGTTTTGTTGTTTAAACGATCGACTTTCGTGGAAATTTACTTAGTTCAGCAGCTAAACCATTCGACACTTTCGTACAGAATATCTGCCATGAATGCTTCTCTTCAGTCGTTAGCTCTTGTTGAAGTTCGTAGTTGATGACATGAACCAGACTGTTACTATAATGCTAGTTGATCAAAGAGTCATTCGAAAATATTCTTTTCGTTCAAGGAATTACTTTCACTTGCGTTCTCCCAACGCCTTGATTATTCAATTCGACAGCTTTCTCATGTATTTTCTCATCGAATTTCGTATCACTATGTTCAATTATGTCCTCATACCAGCGGATGAATCGTTCTCCTGGCTCTTTAATTTCTTCAGTATCAAGTAATTCGGCTTCGCTTTTGTAAGCTTCAGGTATACGATAGAAAGGTTTGAATTCCGGGTATCTATGCAATAGACTGATGAGAAGAAAGAACAGCTGTTCGTGTAGATAGCTTTCCAATTTCATGTGACTTACTAAGCAAATGTCTTTTCACCCAAACGATCAATTTTCTTGACGTCCGGCCAGGTTCGTTTGACTTCACTTGCAACGATACCAAACTCGATTACAGCAGGACTTGGTTCTGCTATGATACTTTCTTGCGGTTCAACCGATGAAGCTCCACAACCCATGGATAGTTACAAGTGACTTGTACTTTTTCTCTGTTGGTGTCTTACAGGCAGTATAAAGAGTTGTATAAGAAGCGAAAAGGATTTTATAGTTACTGATTGTATCCCTAGAGATGGTGAGATGTTAAGAGCAGTCGTATAGTTTATAGTTCGAGGAATAATTGACTTCCGATACGAAACATTCCTCTTATTACAGTAGATCGTCAGAAATATAACTTAGAAGGGCAGTGTATATTCAAGACGAAGGTACACTGAAGAGATTCATTACGGAGATGACGAATAATCTAATTTAACCATTTTTGTATGTTGAATGTTGCACAATGGTTTTGATAGCTGTACCATGCGCAAGAAACGATACGTCTGTAGTAAAATGATTAAATTTATGACATGAAAAAATTTGAAGTTGAAACTGATGAAATGTCTACGAACATGGAAAAATAAGAACAACAAATTTTGAATTATTTTCCGTATTTTCAGATGTCAGCTAGCGAATCTTGCACACGTTTGACAGAAGCTCATTCAAAATCATTATTGAATAATCATGATACATTTTTATTCGATTGTGACGGTGTCCTTTGGAATTTTCCAGAAATCTTTCCCGGTGCTGTTGAATTGCTGAATTATCTGACCGAACACGTATGAAAACTAATTTTAGGACGAGAATTTCAACTCATATTGTCTATCATAGGGCAAACAACTGTTTTTCGTTACAAATAATTCAACTAAAACGCAAGATGACTATGCAAAGCGTTTCAATGACATTGGATATAAAGCCAAGCCTGTATGATAAGTTCACGATAAGGATCAAAGAAGAAGGAATAAATACTCTTTTTTGTGTTCTCAAATAGGAGCAAATTATTTGCACGGCATGGCTTACGGCGCAGCATTTGAAGTCTATTGACTTTAAGGGAAGATGCTATGTGTTAGGAATGCATTCTATGGCACATGAATTGGAACGAGAAGGTTTTGAAATCTGTGGTGGTATCGGAGTAAGTCAAATGAAAAGTCGATGCAATGGAAATCAGTGAGTTTTGCATTTAGCCTGACCCATTAGCTTCGGATGCGACTGCAATCAAAACAGACAAACTGAACTTAGATCCGAATGTATGTCTCGTAGAAAAATAAAGAATCGATACTTTATTTATCATACTAATTTCATTTATAACTAGGTCAATTGCGTCATATCTGCTCTTGATCTTCACGTTAGCTACATTAAAATTCTCAAAGCAGCCACTTATCTCAACCGCCCAAATGTTCTCTTTTTGGCAACGAACGACGATGCTAGTCTTCCTCAAAGTGATGAAGTCATCATGCCGGGTAACTGTCTTATACATTCCAACTCTCATCATCTTTCGTTCTCGACAACACACAGGTGCAGGAACAATCTTAGCTTCTGTTGCAACCGCAGCGTGCCGTTCGCCGACTATACTTGGTAAACCGCATGCACCTATGTTTGATGCCATTCGTTCGGTCTTTCCAAATGTTGATCCCAAACGAACAGTTATGATTGGTGATCGGTAAACTTTCTCGTTAATGAAGTCGGTCGACTCTTTTCTATTTATAGGGTTGAAACCGATATCGCTTTTGGTAATCGACAAGGTACAACAACATTACTTGTCTTTAGCGGAGCAACAAGCGAGAAATATTTGGATAGCCTTAAACAAGGTGATGAACGAGATCTTTTACCTAGTTTTTGCGTGAAAGATGTTCAGCAATTTTTAAACTTTCTCAAATCAAACTAACACAAGTGATTTTGATTGATCCGTTGATTGATATCTAGCGGTTCTAGCTAAATAAATACCGAAGAAAACCGCATTTCATTTCTATTTTCTCCACACTCGAAGACAAACAAAATTTGTCGCAGACTTCGTTATCAATGATGAACGAATGTATTTCTTCTCTTTGAATATGCTTATTTGATTTGAAGTATAGTATCAATGAAAATATTTTCTTTCAATTTTATTCTTCCTTATCTAATTGTCGTAATAAGTCATCGACAATAGTTTGCTACAACACTTCGGTCGATGGTTTCTCTCCTGCACACATTACTCACATCGGTGTTTTTATTCGAAGCTTGTAAAGATGAATAATACGCATAAAGAATGATACCCGTAGAACGCACTCTGTTCGTGACCTACTATATTAGAGACTACATCAATAAATCCACAGTTCACTTTCGAGCGACACGATTCAATTCGATCTTCCATAGTTATTGGATTAATAGTAAGTCAAAGAACTTTTTTCGTGTATTTTTCGTTCAATGACAAAATGAAACATCAATCAAACTCTCTAAACTAACATGCACCAGTTGACAATTTCATATACTGAAATGCATCGATAACGTAAATATAAGCAAGCGAGAGAAGGAGAGGAAGAAGAGAAGGAAATTGGCGACAGTCCATCGATTTGAGAGCTTTCTCATCTTTAATAAAGAGAGAAGGGAAGATTTGATAACGATCAGTAACAACGAGGAATACTTATGTTCATTATATACTTTCTTTTTATTTACTAGCATTTCTCATAGGATTGTTTATTTAATCACCAAATCTGATGGGTAATACAATTGATACAGCTATCTGTTTGGATTGTACATCGTTGATGGCACTTCATATCTCTTCAATTAAAGAGAAGATACGTTACGTTTTTGATACCGTGCCAATAAGTAAACGAGATAGTGCACGATTTAGTGTGATTCAATTCCGAACACCCAATGATCAACCAGTAACCACAACAATGGTACCACCCTATAATATACATGCATTGGAACAAATACTTGCACTTCCACTATGTCAAGAAGAGTATATTGATGATAATCGAGATATTGGTAAGAGTTGTATTATCCTATCTTCGTATATGAACTTACAAGAACTATTAGGTGCAGCTCTACGTGAAGTTTTGAATCTTCCATGGCGTGATACTGTTCGTGAAATGGATCAATTTTATAATCTGACATGTATCGATATTCTGTTGTTCCTAGGATGAAAACGATGTTTTCTTGGAGAAACTTGCTGTTTTGATCACCGATGGTGTACCTTGTGGTTTGTTTGATGCATTTAATGGCAATGATCCTTGGGAAATCTCTAATGATATGCGTAATCAAGGCATTACTTTGATTGTTGTTGGCGTTGGAGGAAGTATTATGCAGTGCGACGACTTTTACTGCGCTTTAGCTCATAATACAGGTATGCACATGAAGATATTTAGTGTGAATTTATTGTTTATTTCAGGAGGATTTTATATTCCCTTCATCAATGCTGATCGAATCTTATCTTCTGTGATTGGAACAATTATTCATGACCAAACAACATTTAACCAAGTACGAACCCATGATCTATACGAAGAAATTGAGAAAAACTCATCGTTCAAATATTCTTATATGAAATCACGAGTTAAATGTATGATTCATGAATGTCAAACAATGAATGATATTCGTCGCTTCTTTTACGATCATCGTTTATCAATTCAATACGATGCTCATAGCTAGTCTTTCATTTCCATTTTAGTCAATTCAAGATATTTCTTAGATCTTTAAAAGATAACTTATGTAGTCAATATATATGGCTTTCGCAGGCTAGTTTTTATTCCTTTTATCCTCGTTTAGCTTGAATATTTTATGTTTATAATAAATAAAAACCAAACAAAGAATTTTCAATAGAATAAATTGTGCACGCGTCCAACGAGTGCTGATTTTACTTGTGAAAGTGTCGCTAACGTCTTATATACAGCACTCGAGAAAAGTCCAACCCTCGATAATTTCAGCCTATATATATATATATATATATTGGTTTGCAGTTAGAATGAAAGTATCGATGGATGGAGAAGAATTTTTTATTCCGAACAAGAGCTACGCATGATAGTGCACACACGTGATTCACGGCTTTTGTAATATCCAAAGTTCAAGAGTAAAATGGTGCTGTTCTATCGTATTTTGACGAGAAAATTCGTTGATAGTTTCTTTATTTACACTAGTAAGCACGTCGTGAAATATAGAAAAGAGAAAATCTAGGTATAAATTCTATCTACAAAATACAGTAGCCGTTAGTACGTGTTTGTTTCTTTCAACAATCAGTTCGTAGCACTCTTCATTTTATCTATTCGTCACGGAATATCTATTTTACGTACAAAACAATGGACGTTACGATCTGTATTGTTGACGCATCAGGTATAACAGTTGGTCCATCAAGATTCAGCAATATAATTAGCGCCGTTCTCAATCTCAAGTCGACGACAAACGATATTCGTACTGGTTTTGTTGTACCTCGCCCATTGAATCAAATGCGGACAGCAAACTTCGACAATATCCAAAACATGGAGCAATTTACAAATTGGTACAACAGTATTCCAGGGATTGGTACAAATACAGTAAGCTATGGAGCTGAGGGTAAGATACCGGTATTGTATCTTTAATGTCGTTACGTGGGACCAGATTGTCACAAATTTGTCAGTGAAGTATTGATGTATGTGCATATGCATTCACTTGCTCACGATCGCTATAGTGTTTTGGATTTTCTTATCAGCATCGCTATTTAAACCGAAAACCGATCTGCTTTGAGTTGATTATATATTAATGCATTTTGTTATGATATTTAACAAAGAGGACATATTTCTGTATCTAGGTTTTGGCTTGGATGAAACTCTTCGCATGCAATGGAGACAAGGCGTTAGTAAACATTTTCAATTTTCATTTCGTATATTTTATATTCATTTTTTGTTTCCGATTAGGACGCGGTTAAAAAGCTTGTTATCCTCTTTACTGACCGAGTTCCTGATTGTCTTAGTCCTACTTTTAACGGTTATGATCTTTGGGACATTCCACGCCAGTTACGCAATCAGGAGATAACGTTAATTTCAGTTGGTCTTGACACCAACGCTATGAAATGTGAAGATTTCTTCTGGGCATTATCTATAAAAACTGGTAAAGTTGAGTTTCTTGTAGTAAAAAAAGAACGAAATCATTCTATTTTAGGTGGCATATTTCTTTCACTTGACAATGCTGGCAGAATTCTTCCGGAAATCATCCAACAAGCAATGGATGGAGAAGTTTTATGCGCTGCGTACCATGACAAGGATGTCATAAACATCATGTCCGACATTGATCAACGGGTAGCTTGGCATGAAAACCGAGCAATACACGAATTACCAAACCCGTCGCCTAATACCTTATGTGATCGTGAGGATATTAGTAAAAGGGTTGCTAAAATGATCAAATATACAAATATGGATGGCGTTCGAACGTTTTATAGTTCAATGCCCGGCTTTCTCGATGAGTATTGAACAATATGGATGAACCAGCTTTCTTTCGGCCCAATGTGGACACATGCGCTTTCAATTAGTTTTAGTATTTTAATAGTATGTCTTAGTTCCTATGCACCTCTTTCTTTTATCATATTTTCTGTCTTTTTTACCATTCGAAAAGAATTGTATACTTTCCCATATTTTTATCCCTAAGTTTTAATCTTCTCTGTTTGCATATAATATAATCCCTAAATCCCCCGTCGTTCTCAATAAACCATCAAAAATATTGCTTATTTAACTATGTTTCACGTACAATATAGCAAGTCGTGCTCTTGCATGAAATTCAAGAAAATGTACTTGATTACAATTTTTCGATAATTCAACTCGTATCATTGCTTGGTTTGCCGCTAAAGTAATTAAAGTAATGGTAGAATGTTGTTTATTTGTCTTCGACATCAACAAATAAAATTGCGTCGCTTCATGCGTTGTTTTTTTCCAAAATACTGCTTATCTTGATTTGTTATAAACGCACATGATGTATGTGTTACATTCCAAACGTTTATTATAAAGGACTGGTCGGAAGTTTTGTCATCGTTAGATATAGTTGACCGACTGCCCAGACAATTAAATACATCATGGTAGACATATTGGTTTTCGTACGACCGATTAAAAGTGATTTATCATTATAGGGAGGATTTCAAACAAAATTCGCAACACCGATGGGAGAAATCAGTGCCTACGAAGTCAGTTGCATCCACGTGTTTACGTATGAATCATACTATTTTTCGTTGAATTAGATAACATCGAGCGCAGCGAATAATGGTTCGTTGGTTTCAAATTCAAATGAAACAACGGAGCAAGCGTACTGTGAACCGATTGAGGTCCTCACCAGACAAAAGTGTGATGAGAGCGTCTACGTCTTGAATGGCAAAGATGGAGATCAACCGGCATGGCATATCATTCTAATCTCGTATGAAAAATATATAAATTTAGATTCGAGAAACATAGGCCCATACATACGAGTTGAAGATCTTGGACGGAATATTCAGTATCGTAACAAAGCAGGTGAAATTTGTCAGGCTAGCGGGTACGGGCTACATCCTCCGGAGAAACTAATGAAATGGATCAATGAAAACTATGGTAAGTGTCACCTTCTCGAAAAATCCGATGGAAATGATGAATCGTGTGTTTTCTCCTAGATCCTTATGCTATTAACGAGGATAATACACTTGTGTACACCGCGGATGATATTCGTTTATGTACAATCAATAAAACTGCAGCTGCTGAATTTTTACATAAGGCTCTACACTATCATCGTCATGAAGAGTTTCATTACATTCGATTGCATGATCATCAACGATCAACAGTAGCTGTGCATGCGGGTTTGAAGCCATTCGACCGGGTTATTGAATACAATGGAGTCAATGTTGAAGATGATTCTGTGCAAAGTCTAAGACAAAAAATCAATAGTACCAATAAACCATGGATTCAACTGCTTCTTTGCAGTCCAGCCACATACGTTCACTATAAAACGAATCATAAACATCTCCATAGTAATCTTGATACAGTTCAACTTTATAAACCAGTGCGAAACACAGCGGGTAAATAGCTGAAATAAAGAAGAAATATCGTTCTAGTCTATTTGTATTTCAAATTTAATTAGAACACTATGGTCCTACTTGTGGCACGAAAGATTTCTATGCAGTATGTTGCGAAGATGACCATAGCATTGTTGTCGAGCCATTGAGTTCAACTCATGAGGCATCATCGTCTCTTCAGGTATACGACGAAGTCGGTACTATAAATTGCAAAGGAGAGGATACAAGTGGACAAGTCATTTTCATTGGTAATAGAAATCGTTTTGAAAATTATCTCAACTTAGCGAGGCTGCTCTATCTATAGGTACCCAAAGCGAATGCGAACTATTCCGATCAGATGCTGCCTTGGGATCAGCTACCGTCGTATACGTTGAAGACATTGGTAATTTTGAAGAAACCGACACTACGTTATTCGTTACTGCTCATGAACATATGGCTCAACGACCGTTTGTTATGCAGAATAACCAAGTATTGAAGATATACTTAGATATCGAGATGATTCTGAATGACTATTTTATCGTTGGATTTTCTTAGAGAGAAACGAACAACTTGCGCGTACAATGCACGCAACAAAAGCTGATTCAACAGTTCGCCTCCTTACTGATCGATAGTGACCTTGATTTAGACAACAGCACTGAAGTTCATCAGATACGATGTTCTGGCTGTGATTCACCACGTATTGTAGGTGATCGTTACAAATGCTTAGAATGTGCTGATTATGATCTTTGTGGAAGATGTTTCGATCAACGACGACAGACTCGTGATCATCTCACTGGTCACATCATGGTGCATTTCTCTAGTCCTGAAGAAGTATTTGGACAGCCAGTAGCTGGTTTGAATAACGCAATAAATTTGACTGCATTGACAGAAAAATACCAGTTAGAAGAACAGTCTGATATCGAATGCAACGTTTGTAAGATGAATCCGCTCCGTGGACTACGTTTCAAATGTGATACATGTTACGATTATAATCTTTGTGTAAATTGCGTGAAAAAGCGTGCACATGACCGATCACATCCATTATTAGCAATGGGTAAAAGTCGTTTTCTAGAAATTCCCGTGGACGATATTGAACTCGGTGATGAGGTTGGTCGTGGTGGTTTTGGTAAGCGATGTTTGAAAAACGGTCAAATAAAAACAAAGCTTTCATTTATTCTTCTTGTTTCTAGGAACTGTGTACATAGCAAAATGGTTATCGAGAAATCGTCAAGTCGCTTGTAAAGTGATTCGTGTCCCACCAGACAATATGCATCTGGAAAAAAGTTTTCGAAAAGAATTGGCTGCTTACGCCGAACTATCTGGTCCGTACGTTCTAAAACTATACGGATATAATATCCAAGCGCTATCAGATGGTACTCAAAAGTGCATGCTTATCATGGAATATATGTCACGTGGTAATTTAGCTAGTGTTCTCAAACAAACAGAAAAGATCTCTTTGCGCCGTAAACTTGAAATGGCTTGTCAAATTGCTGGTGGTATGCGAAAATTACACGAACATCACATGATTCATCGTGATATTCGACCAGAGAATATTCTTATCGGACAAGATTACATAGCAAAACTTGGCGACATGGGTCTTGCACGTGTTTGGTTACCAGATGAAGCGTTAACGTTGATTGGTTGCGTACCTTACATGCCACTCGATTTCTACACTGCCAAATACGATCAATCTTTAGATGTTTACACATTTGGTTTAACTCTACATCATCTCTTTACGGAAACGAGACATCAATTTGACATGTTGACGCGCCGCGTTAAACTAAACAATGTTAGTCCAGTCTTTTCCGATCTGATCGCTCGATGTATTCATCCTACAGCAAGTAACCGACCATCGGCAAATGAAATCGAGATAACCTTACGCATGCATAAACATACTATCGAAAGATACATTCATGAAAGTGGTATCAACTACGGCAGAATGTCACTAGAAGAAAAGAACAATACGTTTATTAGTACCTACGATACATTCTCTCCTGTTCTTGACAAAGTCCTTCGTGATGAATTTTCAATGACTACATCGTGAGCTTCCTCCTAGAGACTATCGAGTCGATCTCTCTTATTATTTATTTTGTATATTAATCATGATATGAACGTCGTCTTACGCTTGTTTATAATAAATATATGTACGAATGAATGATTTCTCAGCTATTTACAAGAGAAAAGAAGCATAGAAAACAATTTGAGATCGGTTAATGATTCTACAACATAATCTACACAAGTAAACTTGTTAAACATTCTAATTTTTCATTTGATCGAGTGCGACACTTTTGTTCGGTGTTGAATTCAGCTTCTGTGCGCTCTCGTCCGAATCAATCGAGTCATCTTCAATTAAAACTGGATTGAATGCTACTGCGCCTTTCGGAATAAATGATGCAGCTATCATAATTACAACGATGATACTCAATTGTACTGCAGCTGTGTAAATAAGCGCTGATTGAACACTTCCTTTCGTATTGTAAACATGATCGATATGTTTTCCGAGTAATGGATTTCCAATCGAGTAGATAATAATATAAGTCGAGTAGAGAAACGCCATGACAGCTCCCAACGGTGAGATATTTTTATGTTTCGATTCTAAACGTGTCAATGACGATTGTATATAAGCATCGAGGGATATGTCTCCAACAGCCGAAGCGAATCCAATTGGAACCAGAGTAGCCGCGATAATCCAAGCGTGTACGATATGATCAGCTGGAGGATGATAGAATGGTAAGTACCAAATAACAATTAACATTATAGCATCAAATCGTACCCATAAAATCGGACTTTTCATAGTATCGTTAAAACAATAAACAAATAGAGCACCTAGTAATTCACCTAGATTCGAGCCGCCAACGAGTATTTGCGACCAAGCTGAATGATGTAAATACCGTCGAGCAACTTGTGGAGCAATACTATTCTCAATATATCGATGTGAGTAGATTGCTAGAGGATAGACTGCAAACAACCAGAGAAATCTTCGATGTGTGAAAACAATTTTTGCACCAAAGTAAAGCGATTGGACAAAACATAAGAGCGTTATACCCATAGCTTTGAAATAGTTAACTTTGGTTTTCTTTAGATACGGTGCAACTTCGTCGTCGCCAACATTGGCTCTTTTCGGCATACTTTGTATGAATAGCCAAACTAAGCCTGCAGCGGTAAATAAGATTGGCGTTATGATAAAGGCATGATTGTTGCCTAATTTGGGAATGAGCACGAGTGCGGTCGTTAGAGCACCGCTGACCCCGGCGATTTCATAGAAGACGTGAACTAAAGAATTCATTTTACGTAATTTAACAACATTATCGCCAGCAATATGAGCAGGAATCACACGACGCATCGATTCAACCATGCCAAACGTAATACCAGCAACACAATAGATTGGAATGATGGTGTCAGTACGATAATCTCCGTAGTAGCTAAAGTCATTCTTATGTTTCGGTTTAAAATCGCTCGGTTTGATTGTTCCACCAGTGACAACATCGATGATCACGAAAACAGCTGTTGTCGCAGCAAAAATAAATATAGTTGCTGCCAGAACGCACTGTGTGCGCCAGCGTTTAATCAATGGGCCAATCAACATTGAACCAATACATTGGGATGCTTGGTTAAGACCAATTAGTAGACCAACTCTTTCGAATGTACGTGTTAATGCGTCAGCTTCGTGCGCATCTTGATCATAACGATTTGTAGCTAGAGCTACGATTGCACCATTGAATGCTTCAACTCCGAATTTATACAGCATAATACCGAAGATATAAATCAGGATGTTTTTCTTCTCCTCAGCAGTGAAAAGAGCTGATCGACCGAACAAATGTATTCTTTTGATAGACATTTGTTGTCGACTAAAACAAAATGAGAATTTTACTAATGTACACGTGGTTACAGATGAAGAATCAATCCAGCCTCATTCATTTACCTGAACCCTTTGAAAACATGATTTTGAAAGTACGCTGGAGAAATCTTTTGCATGGAACGATGAACTCTGAGCAATGCTTAAGTCGACTAACAATAACTTTGCCCTTTAACTTATGAACATGTTCATCCGCTACGTCTCGGTTATCACCATCATGACTCATACTCCATTTTCGTTCTCCGGTCACGTAGATAAGCTTCATCTGTCTGTCTGAAAAACTTCACTTATGAACAAATACAATTCATTTTATCATTCGTATATGCTAGCTTCTCTACGAATGCTCGAGGATGTTTCTAATCAATACAAGAAGAAAACGAATATCTGTACCTTAATTATCTAGTATTTCGAAATAATAACAACGAAGTGTCGTCGAATTTACTCGTCCATTGGTTATGCAAGCGTATGATTCACCTTTCTTCGCATGCTTCGTCTATTCTATGGTTACAATCCTTTTTCTTTCGCGATATTTTTCAAGTCGAAATCGTATGTTTATAGTAAGCACACTCGATATTATTATGAATATCATCGTTATGTACGTAAAGACGAAATCATTGGGGAAAATGTTTGTTTATTTTGTAGATATTTCGTCTGAAATTTGTGTTAATTAGTTAGATAATTACATATAATTGAAACATTTGTACAGATAGAGTTGCGCTTCATTAATTCTAATGGACAGGAACATTTTTCGAAGGATGAATCGATCGGTATTGTTTTTGACTAAGGAAATTGGTGATTTTACTTATTGACACATTTGTCATAGCGAGTGCAATGGAAAATTATATTCAAGTTCATATGAACTGCTACGAAACAACGAAATTAAACGATCAATGCAGTATGTTTTCATACAAAGATAATAGATAAGGATCAATAGAAGAGGGCTCATGGTGTTATAACATTTACAATGTCTTCTTCTTATCATATTTCTTTCTTTTTCGAATCGTGAGGTAAAATGCGTCTTTCATCATGAAACAAGATGTTTTCTTTCTAGATTCCTTTCAATTATGGCAGCCGTCGGTTCAGATATTCGACCGGAAATTGCCCGATTACCAGTTCAAGCTGTAACATCAGAGAATTCTTATGAACCACCTGATAATTTTCTGGAAATTGAAGTTGTTAATCCCATTACACACGGACTAGGTGGAAATCGCTACACCGATTATGAAGTTCGAACGCGAGTAAGAGATCTTTCGCTCGATTTGTTTTTCCGTAGAATTAGTTGAACTATTCTAGACAAAACTGCCTGTATTTCGTTTGAAAGACTCGTCGGTTCGTCGTCGTTATTCGGATTTCGAATGGTTACGTAAAGAACTCGAGCGAGATAGTAAAGTATAGGAATCTGATTTGTCTACTCAAGTGTCTCTCTAAAGATTGATCTTGATAGATCGTTGTACCAAACTTACCGGGCAAAGCATGGCAACGACAAATACCTGCATTTCTTCGAAACAACGATGGCCTATTCGATGATGATTTTATCGAAGATCGACGAAAAGGTTTAGAAGAATTTATCATCAAGTAGGTCGAACAACACGTATGAATTGTCATTGTATTCATTTCAATGAACTTTCTAGAGTGGCTGGTCATCCTTTAGCGCAAAACGAACGTTCACTTCACGTATTTTTACAAGAGGAAAAGATTGATCATGATAGATACGCTCCTGGCAAAGTACGCAATGGATAAAATCCAATTGCAAGCATTGCGAGCATCTTCTTTTTCTTTTTTCTTCTATACAGTATTATATTTATCAATTGAGAATAAAATAGGAAATAAAATACAACCATCGAGTTTCTTTTTCACTTTGTTAGGAAACTTTCAGGTCAGTTTGAGTACAGAGTTTCGGTCCTGGCAGATTGTACTTATTATGATCCAGTATGCAAATATGATCTATGTTTACATAGAGAAGAAGAACAATGAAGACAGATTCAAACAGATAACAGTTATCTTTTTTACGCAGTTGAAAAGACAAAAGTCTAAAGTTTCGTGGTAAACTTTCAATTGTTGAATCGTTTTTCAACGAATGATTTGATAGAGGAAATCTGATTTACTATTGCTTACAACGACGGCAAAACACTCGAGAAAGACAAGTTTTCGAGTAGGAAGGCAGGCTAAGATTAGCTAGCGATTTAACCGAAGATTAAGTACTGTCTTGACCTTCAAAAATGCCATTGATCTTGATTTATTGCATTGATACGAAATCCAAGAAGCGAGTTGTAAGTCAGTGTTCATGAATGTCATTGTTTTCCTTTTTTCAAGATTAGAGTTGATACTTTCTGTCTGTTATTAGATACGCCATTCTTTGACAAGGCCATTGCAATCAATAGCGATCTTTCCGTTTCTTTGCAAATCGTCACATTTATTTAATGTCTGTTGCAACGAATCTGATCGACAATACAGAGAAACAGATATAATAGACAATTTGTTTGTTCTTGAAGAAACAAAGGAATAGGGGAAACACAAACGTATCGAGGGAATAAGCGTACATAGTACGAGCTAAAAAAGATATTATGTCAGTGATTATTTTCTCTCTCCGTGTTTTATTCTATTTTTTTCCGGCAATGACGTCAATGTAATGGATTGATGCGTTACTTTTGATAATAGCACCGCAATGATACAAAACTAGGCAACTGTTGTTGTTGTTGCTGTCGTCTCTGTTATATCTGTCGACTTTCTCTCTCTCATCTTGTCAATTATCCTAATTTACAAAATGCCATCAGGTTTTCGCACGCCAGTACTAAATAGACACTTTCGTATGTATAGTTTTATCGATATAAATGTTTGTATATTGTTTTTAGACAGGACAGAATCGACTCGATTAATCGAATAGACGAGTACGGCAATGGTTAAGTATCGATTTTTTCACGTGAAAGTTTCTTAGAGATTTGAATTGTGTACGATCGTTGGAATTCAAAATGATTGCACAACGTTTTTGTAATTTATCGAACGTTTCGCGAATGTAAACATTTTGACAATCGACTTTCGCTCGTGTTTCTAATAAGGTTATTTCTTGTTTGAGTTTACTTCCATCTGTTAACAATTGCTCGTAATCATTCGAAGAAGCTTTCTTTGCTTGTTGTAATAATTCATTCGCTGAATTTTTCAGCCTCTCGATCGTGCACAGATAGATTTCGATTCGAATAGAGTATTTGGAAATGTCCCATATGTGATTTTGTAAATCAAGTAGCATCTGTTCGTTTCGATCGTCGAGTATATCGTGTCGTTGTTTAACAGTGAGAAGAATGAGATTCATATGGCGAATTTTCTCTTTAAATTCTTTTAATTGATCAGGTCCACCTTGAAAATTATTCAAATCATTTGTTATCACTCGAAATGTCTCTTTCACTTTGATTAATTCATTTTGAATATCACGGTTGAGTGTATCGAATCGATTTCGATTGTACGGAGAGAGTAAACGACGTGTTCCTTCACTAACAGTCGAATCTTCCGAGAGAGTTATGGATTGAAAGTCATCATGCGATGAACTTAAACTCGTCATTGTCAAAATATTTACAAATGAATAAATCGAAGCCGATGAGAGATAGCAATGCAGGCTACGAAGAGCCAGACACTACTAGTCAACATTTACGATCGAAACAATCGAATATTATATGTATAAAAACGCAAATCGAACATCAACAGACAGCGACAGAAAATTGACAAAATAAACAGCGCGTTTTGAAACAACTATCGGATAATCATAGTTACAAAGATGGAAGAAATCATTCAATCAAAACAGCTGTCGTTTGCCTTGGAGTTTAATCATCCCAGAGAAAGAGAAGACAAGCGTTCTTTTTTTTCGCATATTATCGATTTATCAGTCAACAGAATAAGTAAATACATGTTGATAGATTGTCCAACCATAAAGAATATTTCTTAATGACACGAGTTAGACATAGACGTCTGTTTTGTAGACAAGTGTACAACAAAAAAGAGAAACGACGAATCTTGATTATAGTAAAGATGTTTTTCCACAGTTACTAATCGATTAGAGCAGGCATGCGAAAAGAAACCGATTGATGTATCACGAAGTACATTTCAGATGTGTATGTAAGTACATCACGATCAGCTCTGTCTCGATCATTTATTTTTAGATTTATCCGATTCTTTCGAATGATTTTGGTGATCGATTAACTTCAATGAATTTGGTAGTTATTACATGACGTAATTATCATAATGATTTTACATGTACACATTGTTGAATTCCACTAATTCTATCCTTAATCTGACGACGAATGAGAGTGAGAACAATGTTTTCACTTATTCATCTATATCGCCGACGCTTGATAAATTGTCGAGTATATTTCTAATATTAATTCTTTCTGTTCTCTGTTTTTTGGGCGTCATTTTTATGATCTTTGGTCCAATGATGAGATCGGAAGCATGGAAACGTGTTGATAATTATATTTTTGGTCAAGAAATGGGAGATAACGATCGTGACGATGGCGGAGCAGATGGTGGTGACTAGCAAATCTCTTTTATTTGTTAATATTTGTCTTTTTAATTTTTTGTTTTATAAATCATATTTTACTCAACGTTTCAATACCTTATGTTATGATTATATCAGCCGATAAACTGACAGGAAACGTCATTCTTGCTGTTTCTGTTGACGATTTATTTATAAAACATATTTCTGTAGCCACATAAAACTCGTTAACGCCGATAAAGAGAACCTAAATGATAACTAGATGATAGAAATCGTTACGAACAGTTTTCTTTCGATTACCAGGTAGCAATGTATGAAAGGTGTTCATTACGTAGTTGAATATTCGTTTGACCACCGATAGGACCGCCCGGAACAGACGTACCTAGAATGATGCTCTGTGATTGAATTGACAAAGTTCGAATCGTTACTTTTCATTTCGTCAATGAAAATTGGAGCGGTTCGCATGGCAGCAGACATTTCTGCTACATCACGTGTACGCCAGATGTTTTTCGATGGTTCATTTTTATTCCACATAGCATTCAACTAAACAGCCGTTCGGATGTGACAATGATACTTATTCAAACAAAATGACTTTACATAATCTGTCGATCGAACTAATCCGATAATTTCGTGCTCCTCTTGGATCTGAAAATGATTATATACTCATGTATCTAACGCAGATTTTACATTACCTGGCCAGCAGCTCGTGTTGATGGATCTCGAAGATCAAATGGAACAAAACCGCGATTGACAAGAATATCATAACTAGAAAATTCTGCCGTGTGAGGTGAAAGCCAAAATAAATGATTCACTTTCGGTTGGCTACTCGAAATGGTGTAACCACATGTGCACCGTGGGTTTGCGCAACAGGTGCTTGACGTGAACCAGTTCGACTTTCAGAGGCAGAAATATCAAGACGCGAACGAGGTTCAATAAGGATCTCTCTTGAATGATCAAATTTACCACGAACACGAACTGGATAATACTCTAATTCAGGCAGACGATCTAAACTGAAATCAGGAGAAATTTGTCTAAAAATATGACTATATTGCACGATAACAAACTTTTCTAATAAAGATATTGGTTCAGCTTGTAGACGAGTTTTTAACGTTTCGATTAAGTTGATCTTCCACTTGCGACGACTTACTTGCCAACAGCCCAATGCGAATGTACTCACAGGGATAATCTGGACACAATCAAAATCAGACCGATGATAGAATAGATTTGAAAACATACGAGTAAAAAGAGAGCACCAGTATCAATTTTATCTTTTTTATTTCGTTTTGTTAGGGTAAATGGTCGATTACTTGACTGATACACTGGTCTACCAGTGTGAACCTGTCGGAGAATTGATGACGGTTTCGATACGTACGTTCGAATCAAAAGAATTGTTCGCGAAATCATCTGAAATTTAAAAAAAAACTAAATATACCTTCTAATTCATTACTTGCAGAAAAAAATCAAAACAGTTCAATTTTATTGCAATCCAATTAAGATTTTGCACGAAAGTATGCTTCAAGAGGTGGAATGATTTGCTTTTTACGGCTGATTCGAGATCCCAAATCAGCTAGATGAGGTTCCTTGAGATCGATTTTGAATGCTTGCCGGACAACTTTCTCTTCGGTTTCACTTGGGACTAGAGTAATGTTCTTTTCTTGGATAATATCAACAATGGAAAACAGCACGCCAGTCAGTTTGCTTCGTTTTTTTTCCTCTTGCATTTCTTTGACCAATTCATCTTTTCTTTCGAGCATTTTATTCATACTGCATGTTTCACCTGTTCCGATGCCCCATTTTTCCCCATTGAATTTGTAGAGTTTGTAATCGAGAAGAAGGATTTGTTTCGTTGAAAAACCTGTTAAATCACTTTTAGCCTCGAACATTTGATTAGCATATGTTTTAACATCATGGATTTTGGCAACAGGTGCAATGTATTCCAGTGCTTTTTGATCTTCTTTTGTTGTTGTCGGCGAACTATACATCCAACAGAATGTGTTCCTTTACATCTTTGCAATAGGCCTTTCTTTACCGTAGATGAAGTGTATCGCTGAGAATAGCACTAGTGAGAAGGAAAGCCATTTTCTGATTGATGTCAATATTGTGTTCACGATATAACTTCGTTAGAATCGTAGCAGTGCAACCAACTGGTTCAAAGCGTAAATATATCGGTTCAGATGTTGTTAAATCGCCCAATTTATGATGATCTATCACATGGGTAATACGCATTTTATGTATATTTTTCATCGCTTGTTCGCCTACGATCGAATACAACAAACAAACTGTAAATGACATCCTCCAATGAACTCTTACTTTCATTATGATCGACCAAGGCAACGTTCGATCCAGCGGGAACGTCGTCCGGTAACATATCGGGCTCGTTGATACCTGCTTGCTTCAGGATGAATTTTGTTTCGTTATTTAGATCACCAAGACGGTAAGCTTTTGCATTAATATTCGTTCGACGAAGAAAATCTGCATAGACAATCGCTGCAGTTATTGCATCTGTATCAGGATTGCGATGGCCCACAACTAATGTTTCTTTATCCGAATGGTTCACACTTTTCGTCGATGCAAATGCTTGAACACCTGAAAATCATAATACGAAGTCCCGATTTGTTTTTCTTTCAATAGTTCGTAGCATTGTCAGCAAGCATTAGTAGTGTGAAAGTGCCTACTTTTTGTGATTCGCCTTGAAATCGAAGGAAGAGCTCGAGAAACTGATGCATACATGTTACTGATCTATAAAAACATAGATATACTTGATTTCTTTTCATATTTTTTTTTTGTTTTATTTCTAACAGTTAGTATGGTCTTTCATATGTTTCACTATTTCAAATCACGAAAACACGCTCTGTTCGTCATTTTGACACTATTCGTGATTCTCATAACACAAGAAAAACAGCAACAATAATAACAGCAGAAAAAAAAGATTATAAAAAATAAACAAAAGGAGAAAATAGATGGCTTGTTTTGTATAAAGATATCCTAGATGATTTGAAAATCTGATCGTAGAAAGAAAGACACGGTCATGATCTATATAAGAATTTCGAATCCATATCTGAACATGTGCATATACTTCGTTTCTAGCGTTGAACGAGTTGAGTGAGAAGTGCATTGGTGGTATTAACAGCAGCGATAACCTGTTCAAGTAAGCGATTTTGTCGACGTTGTTCAGTAATCATAGTGATTAGATTTTCGTTGGTATGATCGTTGAAAGGTGCTGTCTTCGTCAATGTACTTGGAGGTTTTGTGGAAGTAATTGTTGATGATGGCACGTCTATATTGTTATTTATCGGCGTGAATGATTTTGTTTCGTTTAGAGACGGTTGCACTGATTGTGACTCTGAACGTTTGACTACAAAAATTTGTCATGAGTGATGAATGCGAAACAAATCTTTGTCTATTACTTTCGTTCGTTACTTGTGAGAAAGTTTCAGTTTTCGTTACCGATGGCACTGGGTCTACTCTTGAAAACGTTTGCTCAACTACTTGTTTTGGTACCTGAAATAAAATACATTCTACGTGTATGCAAATAGGTCAATGAACAAACTTCGTTGGTGAATGCTGATTTTTGTGCAGGTTGCTCTTTTTTCTTTCGTAAATCGAGCATATATTCAGTTAGAGATTTGCCGTTGTGATTTAGCTCCACCATATAGACATCTTGATCCTTAGAAAGAATTTTCATATTCAGTCGATCCGTCTCAAAATCTCTTAAAAGTAAATAACGTTCATCATCGGTTAATTTGATATTCGCCAGACGAATTTGCACACTTTGCCATGGAATATTTCGTAAAATATCTGGACATTCACTTAACCGAGCAAATGAAACGAGTTCTTCGTTACCAAAATCAACGAAATACACATCAACGCCCGTTTCTAAACAAAGCCGATACATCAAATCGATTAAAACCTGTGTTCTCACCATTAACATTTTTAATCCATGCTCGGTACCAAAGATCATCACCTTCATATTGAGCACAGATGAGTGTGTTTGGTTGCGGATGTGCTGTCAATGGTTGTTTACTTGCGTCCCAGTCTTTGAGTACATTCATGATCGTCGGAAGACAATCTCGTATTAATAGAACATGAAAGCACTCAGATTCGGTATCTACAGTTGTTAATTGTACAGAATGAATTTCAGTTGTTGACACTTCAGCTTTTTGCGAATCGATACTGTTTACTACTTGACTGGATTTTTGTGGGATCTTTTCAGAAATGATATAAATTATAAGAACAAAAGTCAAATGTTTACTACCGATGCTGGTAAAATCGCCAGAATTTCTGAATTTAAATTTCGCTCACCAAAATTGAGTTGAATGTACGGAATACCATTTTCACTGTGTAATACAGTCATTTCAAGTTTAACGTCCAGGACTAGAGATCAAAGTAGCTATGTAACACAACCTCTTGCTAAACTTCGTTTACCAAGGATATCAAGTATAGCATTGGTTTGCTCATCAGATAGTTTCACATCGATAGGTATTCCGTCCAAAATACATTTGACGCATAATACAGGATCTTTATAGTATCTAAGTAAAACTATAGATCGAATGTGATCGATCGTGATCGCTTACTCATTTGGTAATGGACGAATTTCTAAAATTGAATCACACCATCCTGTATTCCCCCTAATTTACCAATTGTGATTAAATACAACGTATTGATAAAGAATTTGTGAGCTTTACCAATCGATGTATTGCACACGAACACGACTTTCTTCCACTTCAAGAACGCGAGCTCGATACCAATCCCCGTTAAAAAGTGCTGCACACCATTGCCCTTCAGATAGTCTACTCAAAGTGAAAACAAACAATCGATCGTTATGTTTTTCTCTTTTTTTTACTTTGATTTGTAAGCATCAGCTTGAACTTTAGTCAACTGTTCATGTTTATTCATTTGTGTTATTAATAATGTCGCATTTACATAATCTTCTACTGTGGCAGCAAATATAATATTCGGCACCTCGAGATTCGATAAGTAAACAACAGAAGTTTTGTTTGTCATAAATGAATCGTGCTCTCGAACAGTCATTGTTGATTCTATATGCTCAAATTTTTCAATGTAAAAGAAGAACAAAATCACATACCACTCTGCGATGGACTTTTAAGAGCTTGTTGTGCATTGGCTATGCCATTCCACAATGGTTTATTATTATTATTCATTGTTTCTGACTCATTTGTATTCGGTGAGGTATTGAATTGTTTGGATGGCGTCGCATTCGTTGATGATCGTGCACTTGCAGACCGAAAACCACTAAATCGACTTGGAATACTCGGTGACAATGTCCCATTCCGTTCATCAGTCGATTCGCCATTCGTATGACTAAAAACATCGACAAAGTCCACATTGAACTGAGGATCGCATGAGCATAGTTACAATCCGTTTTGTGGTCGTTCGGGATTGCTACCATTCATTCGTGTCTAAATGAGTAACAAGGTTTGTTTTTAATTAAAAATTGAAGATACACGAAGATAATTACTGATGAATGATTGACACGTAGAGTAAAACGATCGATCACGAAATTATTCATCGCTTCAACAGCTCTTGCACAACTTTCTGCTTCAGCATAATTCACGAAACTTAAACAATCAAATGCAGACATGCATTTACGCCTAGAAGAAATGCTTACCCACAGCCACCATCGAAATTCGGATTACTGGGTAAGACTTTACTGGAGACTATTCGACCGAATTTCGAAAAAAGCTCTTCCAATTGGCTCTAGAAGAATACGAAATATCAAATCGTTGTTTGTTTTTCATTTTTAGGTATTCACTTCATTGTAATTCGTCGGTAAATTTTTCACAATGATGCTATTCACACGTCTGGAATGAAGACAAGTCGCAAAAAAATGTCACAATTCGCTTTAAACTACGAAGTGCGAATACCTACCGTCCAAGATCGTTCATGGTTAAACCTGAAGGCAAAATTGGGGAAAAAGATATTGAATGCAAGACGACGATAGGAGTGCGAGAATAGAAAAAGAAAATATGTATGTAGTAGTAGTAGAACCGATCAGTAAACGGATTGGTTAAATTACATCAAACGATATGAATCATCCGAGACTTCAGATAGAAAAGAAACAACAATGTAATAAACATACACGTTTTCACTCTTCGTTTAACAAGAATATCGGACTTTCGTACTGGTGCGTCATTTTTTTTTCAAGGAGAATCAACTAACGACAGCTGCAGTCTGTCGCATTTCACAATAACAAGCGCAACCACAAAGTAGTTGACAGATACCCATTTTCCTGAATACTTTCATAAGACATATATTCACGACAAAGTGAGATACTGATTTATATATTTTTTTTAGATTATCCTTTGAATATGTCTTTCTTCCACCGACTATTCAAATTTCGAATATTCGTATGTTGCTATTATCGTTTCTTGCCTATCCCCGATTAATTTTCTTTTGTATAGAAATTTCGTACAACTCTCGCCGAAGAACTAGAAGATCTTCATACAGTATGGATTAAATATTTCTTCTATATGAATAAATCTCAATCGATATGTTTGTTTTTCACAGGAATCCGTTCTTTTACAACAAGCTTTAACTCAAAATCGCCTTCAGCAACGAGTATGGACTAAATGGTTTGCTATCTATGCTATTTTAATCTACTTGGCTTTAAACATTACATACTTCACACTGTTCCTTTCTCATGATTATTTAATTCGCACCTATGCAGTGATGATTTCTTTAGCTTTGGGAGCTTTGTAAGTCATTCGTCTTTTCAGTACAATGAATGTATGGTTTCATTGTTTTTGCAAAATGTAGATTGTATGGAATATATTGGCTTATTTGTTGGTATTTTCGAAAAGTTATTCACATGAAAGGTTCGTACGAAATCGATGATCTAAGAAAGTTTGCTAATTCGTTGTTTTATGTAGAAGAGCGATTGGCGTTGTTCAAAGATCGAAAGCAGGAATTGGTAATAGATAGAGTTTGACAGGAATCCAATGACTCTGTTCGTCCGTCTTTACTAGATCGAAGAAGTAAAAACAAAAGAGACATACGCAAAAGCAAAATCTCTCTTGGAAAAATACGGTGAAACAGTGACACCACCTGCTCCTCAACCAGCAACACTCACAACGACTGGAAATGCCAACCCTGGTATGTTGAGATGTACTACCAAGAGTTCTTTGCAATCACTCTTCGATAGATCTTCGTCAACGCGTATCGATCAGACCAGCAGCGCCTGGCACCGACAGACCAGCTGTCACTGGTAAAATATTCACACCTTCTTTTATTCAATATGGTTCGCTGTTTTTGTCTCGTTTAGTTGTATCACCAAACATCGGCCGATTAGAGCCCACCAATGCACAAACGCCAGCAGCAGCCGGACCGGTTCGCTTAAATGGTATACCATTTCCTATTTCCATACAATAGAACTTCTCTGAACAACGCCTGTTTAGGAAATGCTACACCTGGGAAATTACCACGAGCTATCTTGCCACCACAACGAACATTTTGGGGAGCGATACTTGATACTATTGTCGGTGATGGGCCATCGAGACGGTAAGTTGAACCAGATTTTTATATCTCTTTGATTAAATGTTGAATGTAACATGGAACAAGATTTTGCATATTGCAGTTTAATTTGCGACGAGCGTTTACATGAACGATGGAAATTTCGATTTCGGTAGAGAGATATTCTAGTTTAGGACACGGTTTATAAGTTTCACTAGTTGCTTCAATCGTTCTTCGCACGAATACATCTTACTCGGCAATTCTTTGCATTTAGATATGCATTAATTTGTAAATCTTGCAACAGTCATAATGGTTTGTTATCATATGCAATCGAAGACGTATCAATTACCGAATTTGTTTGTGTACTTTTCTAGGCATGGCATTAGAAGAGGAATTCGAATATTTATGTAAGATATTCAAGCCAAATAGAACTCATTAATCGATTAATTTTATCTTTGCAGCATTTCGTTGCGCCTATTGTAATTATTTTAACAGTGCTCATAAGCAAAAGCCTGTTTTTCATGGTGATATTGTCGCACATGATCCACCAGCGACATCAGTTACTCCAACATCAGATGAGCCAACTACTACACGTACCGATTTATCTTCATCAGAATCATCGGATTCCCTTGAAGGTAGAAGCTTTCATTTTCAGTTCATCGATCTACCATTAAGCTTGTTTGTTATACTTAGATAACGGTACCACCAACACAGATGCCCATTTAACGAGACGATCCATTCGTTTGCCAGCAACAGAAGCTTCTTCTGAATCTCCAGAAACAACACATGATCATCATCCCGATTTGTCATCGTCATCAGAAGAGAGTTCATCAAAAAAAGACTAAATACGAACAATCTTTAATGTTATCTGTAATGTAACCAAGCATTTTCTACTTCTTCGTGCAATAGCTATATATTGCATCAGCTTCTTATTCGACGAATCAAAAATGAATCGAAGAGTGACACACTAAATTCTAATCTTTTCTTAACTACAGCTGGTAATTCCTCTACTCTCGCATTGCCTTCATTTTTTGTTATCTATATCATAGAATAAAGTAAAAACTTGAATTGCATTTCATTGCGTCATACATTGCGGACCTGATGCAATCAAACTCATCTTACAGCATCAATAAATATCAGTATATATTTGAATATAGAGAATGTGATTGCTTTTAACTTGCCATTGTGCGAATATAAAAAGTAATGGAATCACTTTCACAGTTTTCTACCATGATTTTCTTTCTCTATTATCTTTAAGTGTCTTCTGTGACCGCTCAGAGTAACGAACTGAGAGCACAAAATCAAAATGATGAACAGGCAACTCAACGCCCGCTCATACAACAAACAGCAGATGAAGAGAATAAACACGAATTGAATCCGAATGTAAGTCAAATATCGTTCTTCTATCGAAATCAAAGAGAGAATTTACGTTATTAGGAATATTACAAAATGCGATTGAATCATGTTCAACGATTGAAGCAATCGAATGAAGTGGTTTATCCACATAAATTTCATGTTTCAATATCATTAGAAGATTTCGTTGAGAAATATTCCTATTTAACCAATGAACAAACCGGAGAAGACGATATGGTTTCTGTGGCTGGTAACCTTTATTATTAGATGTATCATATTTGCTTGTCAATTCGAAACTAGGTCGAATTTATTCAAAACGATCTCCTGGAAAGAAACTTTACTTCTACGATTTACATAGTGATTCAGTTAAAATTCAAATTATGGCTAATATCAAGTATGACAATAATTTCGATTAATGAACAGCGTTGAGTTCCACGCCTTTATTCTCCATATAGATTCTATCGGAATGAAACTGAGTTTGCTGTTGTAAATGAAAGAATTCATCGTGGTGATATTGTTGGAGTTAGGGGTATTCCAAGTAAGTGTGTATGAAAGAATGATCCAACTCGATTTTTGAATGTAATATTAGCACGAACACGAACTGGAGAGTTAAGTCTAATGCCGTTTGAGCTGATAATTCTGACACCAGCATTGCATCAATTACCATCATTACATTTTGGTCTCAAGGATAAAGTACATTCTTAGCTGACCTCGGTTCGACCATGTCTTCTTTCTCTTCAATTAGGAAACACGTTTTCGTCAACGATATCTTGATCTGTTAATCAATGAATCTGTGCGGCAGAGATTCATCATCAGAGCGAAAATAATCAATTACCTACGACAATTTCTCAATGCCATGGGTTTTCTAGAGGTACTTCGATTTCGACCGTTGTCCTCTTATTTCCTCATCCACACATTGTGTACAGGTTGAAACTCCGATGATGAACATGGTCGCTGGTGGTGCTACTGCAAAACCTTTTGTTACATTTCATAATGATCTTCAAATGCAATTGTACATGCGAATTGCGCCTGAGCTCTATCTCAAAGTAAGGTGAAAGATTTGCTCTATGCAGTTTTTGATCCGGAATTTCTAGAGACTAGTGGTCGGCGGTTTGAACCGTGTCTACGAAATTGGCCGTGTTTTTCGCAATGAAAGTATTGACCTGACTCATAATCCGGAATTTACAATGTGTGAATTCTATATGGCATATGCTGATTACAATGATTTAATGGAGATTACAGAAAAAATGATTTCGGGTCTAGTTAAAGATCTATTTGGAACATACAAAATTCACTACCATGTGAACGGACCTGATCGAGAGCCCGTGGAAATCGATTTTACACCTCCATTCAAACGGCTGAATATGATGGAAGATCTAGAAAAGGCAACTGGAGAAAAGTTTCCACCTGCAACCGAATTATTAACATCAGGTAGATTAGATTTGATGAGAATATCATTTCACATCTGCAACACTGGTTTTCGTTCCTTCTAGAGTCTAATCAATTTTTTGATAATCTTTGTAACAACTACAATATCGAATGCAGTCATCCAAGAACGACTGCACGACTAATCGACAAGGTAAAGAAATATAATAATACTGGTGATGATCAAGTAGCATTGATAATTTTAGTTAGCAGGCCATTTCCTTGAAACCCAATGTCTAAATCCAACTTTTCTATGCAATCATCCGCAGTTGATGAGCCCACTGGCTAAATAGTAATGCAAACTCTTTGATTAATGTCGTACTTATTTGCTTCCATTTCTTAGCCATCGTTCAATGCCAGGTCTTACAGAACGGTTTGAATTATTCATTTGCCACAAGGAAGCATGCAACGCTTACACCGAATTGAATGACCCAATAGTTCAACGCGAAATGTTCGAATTACAAGCAAAAGTAATATCTATTTAATTGAATTATGTTTTTTGACCTTCTTTGAAATATGTAGGACAGATATGCAGGTGATGCTGAAGCACAATCGATCGATGAAGATTATTGCACAGCACTAGAATATGGGCTTCCACCTACAGCTGGATGGGGCCTAGGTATTGAAAGATTAACAATGTTACTTACCGATAGTAATAATATGAAGGTAAATGTCGATGCAATTGTTGACATTGATGGGAAACGATTTGCTTTGTTTTAGGAAGTTTTGCTATTTCCAGCAGTTAAACCGTACAATCAACAATCGGAAGCACGGACTGAATAATCATTGTGTGCGTGCGCATATGTTGTCTTTTTTTGAGAAATATAATAAATGTCATTAAAAAAAGTTGACGAAGTCGAATGAGATTATCCATAGAATCTCTTTTTAGATGTCTCTTTAATGTCAAACCTACCGAATCTATTCATATTTGATTTCGATGATACATTATCCGTTCGTGGATCATGTTATCCTATCGAAGAACTCGCCATCAATCAAGATCAACTGAATCTTAAAGAGATCAATTATAATTATCTAAAAACTCATCGTTGTTGGAATCGACGAATGAATGAAGTTCATAAAAAACTTGCTGAACAAGGCATTGATACGCAACAAATCATTGAAGTTTGTCGTACAATTGAATTAAGTCCCGGCACTCATGAACTTTTTCGAGATATCATTGATCACAATGGTAAAATAGTTATCATGAGTAATGCCTGTGACTTAGTGGTTCAAGAATGCCTTCGAGCACAAAATCTGCTGCAATATGTCGACAAAATCGAGAGCAATCCGGTTCGACAAACCGATCCAGTTATAGTAATTGATGAATATGAAAATCCTCTACAAACCACGTGTCAATTCTGTGATCCGAATCTATGCAAAGGTTCGATTATTGATCAGTATCGTAAGAGAAATCTATATGACAGGATGGTGTTTGTTGGGGATGGCGATAATGATGTTTGTGCTGCACTTCGCATGAATAAGACAGATTATGTTTTTGCGAAATATGACGAAACATCGGAAAAACAAGTTTATGATACTATGTATGATCTTTTAAAAAATCGATATTTTCAGCAATTGAAAACGGAGTTGTTCGTTTGGAAAACAATGAAAGACGTTCATGTAGCTTTGAAAAATGAAAACCTTGTATAATTTTAGATGGCATCGATACTGACCAAACGTATCACTTCACAGATTTCTTCAATGAATAAACGGCAATTTTTCACCTGGTTAAACGCCATTTGGAATCGATATGATCAGAAACGTGTGCAAGAAATTGGTCCTGATCGTGCGTGTGCTGAATGGTTGTTACGGTGTGGTGGTGCTGTACGTTTCAAAAACCGACAAGCGATCACGACAGATTACAATGCCATACCATCCGGCGGACCTGGACAACAAAAAGTCGAGGAAATTCGTGCGGTGAAAGCTTGCATTACATCTGATGGCTTTGCCTATTTAAGTAATCAGATGTTTTAATTCCGATACGATATTCTCTGATTAATTTCCTTTGTAGAGGGATTGACCGATCTGAGAAAAGTTCACCTAGAAAAATGTGATCAAATTGGCGACGGTAAGTTAAGTCACTTTTGGAGCGTGTTGAATGAATGAATAGGTTGATGTAGGAACGATCGCTCGTTTAAAACAATCGAAAGATACATTAGAATCAGTCGCTTTGATCGATCTTCCTCAACTGACTGAAAATGGTGTTGGGAATTTGACAGAATTGAAGTGCGTCGTTTAATCAACTAGCTCCGTCTTTTGTATTCAATATTCGTTTTCTTTGTTTTGTAGAAATTTGAAGCAGATCGATCTCGCACGTTTACCCGGTGTGAAAAGTCGTGATGGAATCGTTCGATTATTAACGAACGAACTACCAGGATGTCATGTAAATTATGATGATAGTTATCCACATGCTCCTGAACTGCAAGAAAAATGAATCAAATTCTTTGTTCGATTTTATATAGATGCATCGAAATAAAATATTTATGTCTTTATTTTTGCCAGTGACTGTTCCATTTTTCCTATTCGATCCTAAATAAACCAAAGTAGAAGCATTTTGACAATATTCAGAGAAAATCAACGATCTTTTTCCTTTCATACTTCGATAATTTTAACATGTATGTTTGCTTCAGTCATCCGTTGTCTTAGTGCATAGATTCTTCTGACATACTCTTCGATTTCTCGATCACCTGGACATTGTTTATACAAAGTGGCTAATTCTGAAAAAAAGAGACATTTCAAGTTTTTTTTAAAGACTCTAGACAATATATTACCATCATTCATTGCTGTAAGACAGTTTCCAAGTGCCAATTGACGGTGCCTGCGTCATTGAAGGATAAAAAGGTTTCCAGAAAGAAAAACAAGAGCAATCGAACATACCGAACTTGTTGAACAACTCCATCAAATTCTTGAATAACAGGCACAATAAAACTGACAAAATCGTCCGGAATGGTTGATGTCATTTTTTCAATTGACAGGCGAACACTCGTGCTTCTTCGTTCGTTCGTTCTGTTATCTTTCCTGGCATTGTTTTCCTATTGGTTAGCAGATGCGTCGGAGGCTCAAACTGATGATGAATGGTACGATTAGGACCAATCGTCGTGCGAGAAAACAACGACGTATTTGCTAGGAAAATCCATAGGACTAATCTAACTGATTAACTTATCCTTGAACAACTGTGTTTTCTCGATTATTTTTATCTGTTTGCAGATATTACTTATATGGAGTCAACAGAAAAGACATCTGCTGATAATAATAATCCTCCATCTGCTGATAGTAGTGAGGAAAAACAATCGTCGACAAATACTGAGAAAGATTCAGGTTTCGAATGTAATGTAAGTGAAGAACGAACGAGTTCAAATGAACACAACCTAACGCTTTGCTTTTGCCAATTCAGATTTGTTTAGACACAGCTCGAGATGCTGTGTTATCTCTCTGCGGTCATTTATTCTGCTGGCCATGTATTCATCAATGGCTTGAAACACGTGCACATAATCCCACTTGTCCTGTATGTAAGAGTAGCATCTCACGTGATAAATTAGTGCCCATTTACGGACGAAATTCTCCACAAACAGATCCAAGGTTTGAGAATGTTTTAGGGTGAGGGTGTTCTATTGCAACAAGTTTTGTAGAAACTCAACACCGCCGAGGCCAGCAGGCACAAGACAAGAACCACGTCGGAATCGAGTAATAGGAAGCGAGTTCTTTCTTGAATATCTATAAAAATGATTTTCTTATTAGACTTTCGGACTTGGTGATGGTGTGAATTTCCAAATGTCGTTTGGTGTTGGTGCCTTCCCATTTGGACTTTTCCAAACAGCATTTACTACTAACAACAACGAATATCATTTCGTTCCACGTAGATCTTCCTCACCGAATAGCTTCTCAATGTGATAAATCTTGTTCTGTTTAGCACCACTTGGTACTCCGGAGCGTTATCAACATGATTTATTATCACGTGTGTTTCTCGGCATTGCATTGGCAGTTATTTTGTTCATCATTTTCAATTGATACAATCGCTCAACACACACACTTTCTGAAATCGATCATTATCTGAATGCTTACACGTGTTAAATAGAAACACAAGGAAACGACATTCTTTGTTCACCGTATTAATCGGAATTATTTGGAAAAATGTGTTCTTGTATTTTTTATCTTAATGGATTATGTAAATATAGAAAAAATAACGGTATGAATTTCTATTTCAGATAAAAATTATATTTTAGATAACACAGTCATGCGTGCAATTAGAAAGGTAAATACGAACAGAAAATACGCTGAGAGACGATAGAACATGACAATGAATAACGATCGAAATTCTACTCTTTGATAAATAATGTTGTTTTCGTCTATTTATAGTTTAGTTGATAATTAAGATCTCCATAGAGGAGACTTCATGTTAGTAGGAAATCATTAACATGTATAGGCAGCTAGTCAACTGTGTACGGATTCATTCACACTAATTTGCAAGACGGAAGAAAATCGAACGCAGAGGTCTGAAGATGACTTTCTCTCTTCGAAAGGCAAATCAACAACTGCGTATGAATTGTCTATCTGGGCTTTTATTTAGTCATTCTCTCTATGGATATATTTCTATTAAAACTGTCGTTATGCGTTTCCGAGAGAAATTTCTTTGTCAATAACAATTATCTTCTCTATGGGAAAATTCGATTTGCTCGTAATCAAAAATATATATTTCCAATGCGCAGAATTCTCTCGTAATACACGTCAGTTTAATTCCTAATCTTCATTGTCTCCTCAAGATCGAGTCTTTCTTATTTCCCCTAAGCACCTTCTTCATTTTTGAGTCAACACTCAATCGTTCGACTCTGACGAAAACTCTCCCGATGAAATCTTTATCTTAGATAAGAGTGAGATTATACGATAGGTTTACACGGAAAGACCTATTTTTGGAAAAACCTCATTCTTTCAAATTAACAAATTTCCGTTCATATTTCAGCTAACGGACGTACGCTATGTAAAAATTACCGTGAGTAAGAAGTCAGACATTCCTATTTCCGCCCTTCTCGCGCTCTATAAAATCCAGATCTGGTCCCCTTAGAAAAAAGAACAGAAGATCTCCATTGATTATGATTAATATGAGAAGGTTTTCTCCTTTTATCAAGGAAATAATTGTCGATAGGAATAGAGAAGTTATTCGAACAATCGGATATATATTATTTATTTATCCAGATTATGAGAGAGAGAATATTCCAGTCCTCCATGCAAGAAATTGAATTAGTATTACTAATTAAAAGAATTCTTTTTATTCACTCTGTCAACTAAGTAACGAAAACATGTATGAAATAACTTTTTTTTTTATTGAGTATCATCATCGTCATCATTATTGTAAGCAACACGCACTTACTGACGATGTGAGATTAGCTATTAGCCATGTTTGTCATTTGATTTTCCTTCCTCGCTGTTATACATATCTAGAGAGAACTGGTGCATAGAAAATATAGTTCATACGTGTGGAAAAAAACCTCAAACGCAAATGAAGTTCTTTCTGACGTTTTCTCTCTCTCTCTTGATGAGAAATAAAAGCTGAATGCGATCGTGCGTAGAAGTAGATTTTGACATGTGGAAAAGCAGAAAACAAGCCATCGAAGTTACAAGTCTTATTGCTAGTTAGCTTTTTTGGCCAAGTTTTTCCTTCTCCCTCTCCCTCTCTCTCTCTTCAGTTCTTCTCGTCGTCGATTCAGTCTTTCATGTTATGAAGAATGCGAATAAGAAGGAAGAGAAAAAGAAAGAGAAACAAAGAGAATGACGGGAACGGAAATAGAGAGAAGAAAAAAAATAAATGTCTACGACTACTTCTCTGGTGATTTCAGATGATCCACATATAGAGAATATACAATGACAGTCGTCGACAACAACATCAACATTACAATAGATGTCTTTTTCATATTATCAAATACTATAATACCTCGTTTATATACATTGGATTGCAAATAAAACAATATGTTGATCAAAGAATATCGGATTCCAGTGCCAATGACAGTCGATGAATATCGGATTGCTCAATTATATATGATTGTGGTAAGTTTTACTTAAACGGAATGAAAGAGGTAGAGAGAGAGACAGAGAGAGGAACCGTTTTTTCAGGTTCAACGGAAAGCAAAAATCAGTTTCTATTACTTTTTTTTAGAGAGAATGCAATAAGATAAGGTAAAAGAGAACGAAAAAGAGGAAAAATTTAATTTTTTTAATACTACTAATCAGAGCTCATAACCGTTGCATGAGAAGTAATCTTGCTAACACGATAATCTCCTCTTAAACATTAATCAATTATCATTATTTTGTGTTTTTTTCAAGAAAAAAAGTCGAGAAGAAACCAATGCACCTGGAAGTGGCGTCGAAATTCTTAAAAATGAACCATATACAAATGGACCGGGTGGAAATGGACAATATACATTTAAAATCTATCATATCGAACGACATTTACCCGCCTGGTTTAAAGCTATTCTACCGACAAGTGCGATGAAAATTGAAGAAGAGGCATGGAATGCGTATCCGTATACTAAAACACGTTATCGCTGTCCATTTATCGAACGTTTTATACTCGAAGTTGAAACGTGTTACCAAGCGGATTTCGGCACACAAGAAAATATCTTTCAGTTGAAGCCACAAGAACTCGATCAGCGTGTTGTTGGTTTGTATTAATACATCATTTCGATTTGCTTGTTTGAGTACAACATCGAGTTTTGTTTAGAAATCCTTGATATTGTTCAAAGCCAGCCAGTGTCGGATATACCAGCGGAGAATCCCGCTTTGTTTCATTCGGAGAAAACAGGTTTGTGCAGCGTGACAAAAGGAGATGTTGAAAGTAGAATTTGATTATTTAGGACGTGGTCCATTGTCGTCCGATTGGTTCGAACAAATGAAACGAACGGGAAAGAAAGATGTCATTATGTGTGCTTATAAATTGTGTCGAGTAGAGTTTCGTTATTGGGGTATGCAGAGTAAATGTGAACGTTTCATTCACGAGATCGCTTTACGCAAAACGATTCTACGCGCACATCGACAAGCTTGGTGCTGGCAAGATGAATATCAAGGTTTGACACTAGCTGATATCCGTCATCTCGAAGATGAAACACAACGTGAACTCAACAAACGCATGGCAAACTTTCAGAATCTCAATGTTCGTCCATCCATAGCAAATTCGACATCGGAAAATGATGAATCACAACTAACACCGACAGTTTCGTTGAACGAGATTAATCCTCCGTTATCTGTTAAACGTAGTCAACAGACCTCAATTGATAATCTGAATGCTAATCGTTCAAGAATTAATGCATTTCCTGTTCCACCCTTGCCACGCGATGAAACGCCCGATGATGAATATTTTGATGCTGAATGTAAATTGAATGTCTAATAATTGCTTCTCTCCAATTCAACGATGATTGTTTTTCCTTTTAGCTCACATCGAATGTTTATTAACCTCACGTTCGTTAAGAAATCTACAACATTCATTGGAAGATGAAACGTTATTATCAAGTCTTGATGATGATGAACGAACATATGTGAGTTTGTCAGGCGATGAGAGCGGTAGTAAATGTTCAATTGAATTCCTAATGCTCATCTTCTATGGTGGTAGGTGCTAATTATTTATAAAAGTCTTTCCACTGTTCGCTTTGTTTTCTCCAGGAAATATTTTCTCCACTGAAGATTCGTTCGAAAGCGCCAAGAAAACCGATTTTCTTAGTTTTCGAACAACATTCGACACAGTCATGCACAATCATTATCCACGTATAGAGGGCAAAATCGCCATACGTTTTGTTGAATGTCGTTCAATATCAATTGAAGCAATTAATTTACTTAGTAGTTTATCACCGTATGGAACAGCAGATGTATCGCATGATATTACACATAGTGAAACATTACCAATTAATGCTATACCGTTATTTGCTATATCGAATCCGAATTATCAAACAGTTCTAACGAACGCCATCGCATCAGCGAACAAAGTTTATCAGGAATTTATCTCATCGAAAGAGGGAAAGAATTTTTCCGGACAAGTAAATAGATGTCGAGAAAGAGACTTTTTCTCTTATGGCTACGGGCTTTTTTGTTTGTGAAAGGTTGTGGTTATCGGAGATGCAAACGGAGCGATCCTAGCTTATGATGCTTTGTGCTTAAATCATAATTTAGACGATACGACGTCATTGTATGGTGAAGGTAATTTCATAGTTTTCTTTCGCTTTCAGCAGAAAAGTCTTCTAACTGTCGGAAGAATAATGATGACGATTGAAAAGAAACCTTTCGGAGTTCTTAAAAGTAGAGATGATGAAGGAAGGATTGTGAAAGCAATCTATTGATTTGAGATTAGTATCAATGATAACAAATCTGACATAAACACAAATGTTCGCCTTATTTTTGTATGTTTTACTCAAATATATCTTGTTTGTTAGTTTACTGATCCAGTGGAATCATACTATCTTATAAATAAATGATAAGAATTGTCATCCTAGACTTCGCATGTTGACATCTTTTCACTGAAGAACGTTTTCTTTGATTCTCGTTCTATATATTTCTCTCTTATTTTTCTTTGAACAGAAGGTTCGACGCCTCGCACACCTGCTCTGTCCAAACGTACAATGACAAGTGTTCAACATGACAGTAGCGACTCAACATCACTACATTCATCGACTCGACAGATACCAAAGCGTGCCATGACATTTGACAGTCCTGAAACAGGCGATAGCATGTATATTAATGCGTTTTTCTTCTCTCTCATCTACCATGTGGAATGAATCTGATTTCAGATCACGCACAGGTGACAATTCGCGATCAAGACAAGAGCAGTACGGCTTGGTGTTAGCATTTAATGTCAATGAGTTCTTTTCCTTCGGCTCTCCTCTATCATTAATTCTTGCATATCGTAAATTATTAACTGATAACGGTAAATACTCGTTTAAATGAAATGAAACGTACACGAGCGATGTTCTCTCGTTTTCTTATTTAGTTGTTCATCCATGCTGTGGACAATTGTATAACTTATTTCATGCGTGCGATCCGAGCGCATCTCGACTTGAACCATTAATTCAATCTGAATTCAGCCAGATACCACCCTGTTGCATTCCTCGCTATTCCCAATTTCCACTAGGTGATGGAGAATCAACATTACTCGGTAAAAAATCTTCTCTGACCTTTCTAATCTTGAACTTCTCTGTTCTTTTGAACAGTTGAATACGTGCATCAATATATGAAATTATTTATGAATAATGATACCAAAAATTCAACGTTAATTAATACATCGCGACCGATCAATGGAAGTAATTCAATCAATACAGACATGGTTTTTTCCAATAGTAATCAGTATTCATTCTCTTTCGGCTTCGAATATGATTGAGATTCTTTTCTAGTTCGACAAATCTGGTGGGGCTCAAGACGCGTTGATTATATTGTCTATTGTCCTGAATTCCTCATGAGCCAACCTGCACACGTCCTACCGATTGTTTTCCATTCTAGTTATTGGGAATCACGGGATGTCATGGCATTTATTTTGCGAAAAGTAAACTTTCAATTCGCCATGATGTTCTCGATTTTCATTGTTAATTTGAGTAGATTATTCGGAATCAAGAAGACTATCGCTTCTATCCCACTCAAACAAATACAAATCATGCGTCGTTTGCTCCTGAACAGCCAACTGAACGTTGGTTACATCGCACAACAGCTGTGAAAATTCGAGTAAATAATTAACACTTACCGTGCAAATTTAATCTAATTTTTCTTGCAGAATTTGGCTCCCAACCATCGAGCAAATGATATAATCATCGTTGATGCTAAACCGCAAACAATTCAAGCCAAATTTCATTACGGACCGATCGATATGGTTTGTTTAGCAAACGAAAAAGTTAACATCTATGTGATGAGATCTGCTCCATATGGTGAATGGACATTACTTGAGACCGTGGAAACAGACACACATGGTCGTATAAAATATACAATACCTGTTGACAAGAAACTGCCATTAGGCTTACATCCTGTCAAACTTGTCGTTCGGTAAATAGAAAGAAGGAAAATCTCGTTTTTTTTCTAATAACTTATTATACAGTTTATTTGCCTCGGTAGTCAATTTGTCATAGAGGAAGCAAGACAGATAGATGTGCCTTTTTTTTGTTTACATCAGTACATATGGAGCAGGGAAGATGAATTATAAAGTTCTTGTTTTGTTTTTGAGCTAAAGGTCAAGATAACCTTTCGGAGTTAATGAATTTCCAGTGGTCACTAGCTGTGCGCCAATAACAATCTTACTGTTTACTAAATAATCGCGTCATAGTGCACGAAAACAAAGCTTAATGACAAAAGGAAGACGACATATTGCTTAGGAAATTTCATGAGAATTTGATAATATGTAAATTGTATCTTTTAGTGGTGATCACACAACCGTTGATCTTTATCTAACAGTGTTACCACCGAAGAGTGAAGCAGTTATATTTAGTATTGATGGTTCATTCACATCGAGTTTTTCTGTTAGTCATCATGATCCAAAAGTACGTCCTGGTGCTGTTGATGTAGTTAGGTAAATCGAAGACTTTTTCTCGTGAAAAATAAGTCGATGCATCAATTAATATTAAATAGATATTGGCAAGAGCTTGGTTATATTATTATTTATGTTACTGCACGTCCTGATATTCAACAACGGCGCGTTGTTCACTGGCTTGCTCAGCACAATTTTCCACATGGTAGATATAATCAGAAAATTTTACTTTTGAGTACACGATTTTACTTAGGAATGACATTGTTCAATGATGGAATATCTCGAGAGCCTATTAAACATAAGTCGGAAATGATACGACACGTTGTTGAAAACGCTGACATGATCATTGCGGCTGCGTATGGCTCGTCGAAAGATGTGCCAAGCTATCAGTCGATTCATGTGCCACACGACCGAATATTTGTTGTGGGAAAAGTGAAAAATCGTTTACAAGGTCAAGCACGATTCATTATTGATGGTTATGCCGTACACTTAGGTAAACGAATTGATCAGTTAGTTCAAATTGACTGACTATTTTTCTTTCAGCTGAACTTTCTAAGCCAGGCGTTGTACATCCGTCGAAGTCCAATTCGCGTCATTTAATTCGTCGGGCTTGTTTTAATTTGCCCAAATTATCTACAATTGCAATCGGTCAGTCATCATCATCATCTCTCAATCCGACTCATCAACCAGGTTCACCGACATCTCAATCAATTGCATCCACCGATACATCTCTACCAACACCGTCAAGCAATCGGAAGGGAATCCTTCATGATCATTTAGGCTTCAATAGTTCGCAATCCAAAGATGCTCCCTCGCGAGGCATATCCCCTCGTATTAATCGTAATCCCGCAACGAGCAATGCCTACAATCCATCGTCAATCGAAAAACTGTAATAGTTCATTAAAAACTGGACACTTGACTATTTTGTAGATGATTTCTTTTCTCATTCTTTCTTTATCTTTTATTTATCTAGTCTACTGATTTCTACTTGAAAGTGTCGATTATTTTCAAATTTGTTTCCTTTCGTCTATTTTTGTCTTTTGTGATAAGTACGAGCTGTATTAATCTAAACTTTCTTTTCAAGTGTACGTGTTTGTTTGCATGCAATGATATATCTATATATACATATATATGTGTATTCTTCTCTTGCTGATTGTATGTATATATATATATAAATAGAACGCGAGAAACATTCTATCGATTTTTGTTAACATTTGTTGAAATGGAAAAAAAGATTGTTCATGCTCCGCCAACAACTACACTCGAAGGTAGGAGAGACTTCTCATTTGATTACGCCTGTACGTTTTGTTGAGAAGTCTAATAATACATTCGATTGATTTGGAGGAGAAAGTCAGTGGAAATATTTTATTGGTTAATTTGACATTCAATCGAATGAAATCGCACGTTCCCTAGAGACATAACAGTCGTTAAAGCATAACATGTTTTTCAATAAAAATAAACCTTTTTAGAGTTGTTTCGTGAAGCACATTCGGCTAAACATCGTGCGTATTGTCCTTACTCGAAATTTCGGTAAAGTTGAATGAGAAATATTTTCTCATAAATTATGGTGAATAATTTGTATTCGGCGTTTGTTTACATAGAGTAGGAGCAGCTCTGTTAACAACATCAGGTAAAATCTACTCGGGATGTAATGTGGAGAATGCGTCATATCCGCTGTCAACATGTGCAGAACGAACTGCAATAGTTAAAGCGGTTTCAGAAGGTGAAACTAATTTTCAAGCCATCGCAATCACTTCGTAAGTTCTTCTGGAGAATATCTGAAGAATGATTTGGCTTTTTCTAGTGATGTTGATGCCGGTTATTGTGGTCCATGTGGCGCTTGTCGGCAGACAATCGCGGAATTCGGTCTGGATATTGATGTTTATCTACTCAACCCACAAAATGAATGCAAGATGTTTAAATTTCGTGAATTATTACCGTTTGCTTTTACACCACGTGATCTTCAAAAAACGCGTGCAACACATAATATTATTGACTGATATGTCTTCGTTTTTATTCAAAATAAACTTCTTAAGGAATTGATTTGAAAGATATTGAATAGTGTCTGTTCTCTTTTACTTTTTCAGAAATGTCTGATTCTGAATCTGAAGTGAAGTTGGACGAAAAAGACGCAGAAGATGTCGAAGAACAATCTCTTCATGAGTTATCTGCAACATCATCAGATCAAGATCATAGTAAGATATTCTTTACGGCAGATGAATTCAAAATTCTAATGTCATAGTATCGACTGTGCTGGATCCAACCCCAGAAAACTCCAGACCAGAGATAACAGTCATATGTGGTATATGTGAGCGTTACATCAATGTGCATGAATTAACTACACATGCAATGTATCACAATGCATTACAAGTGTTTAGATTGAAAGTAAAGAAACAATTGTTTTTCGTAATTCTCATCTGAAAACATCTAATTTCGATAAAGGAACTTCCGGAGACGATAGAGATTCTGCTGAAACAACGTGACATTCTCCTTCAACGTATACAAAATCTAGTATTGTCGGAAGAATCATATTTAAAGCACATGAAGACAATCAATGATACATTTCAAATTCTGAGAAGAAAGATCGATCCGGATGATTATTTCGATGATCCTTATATCTATGAAAATAATGAGACATCAAGTATTCAAGGTAAACTCGTTTTGAAGAAGTTATTTCCTTCCTAAAGTGAACCACTCTTAGGCATTAGTTTCATCCCACGTAATCAAATCTTTTTAAGTGTTGGAATGTGCACCAGCCAGAATCGACAATACAAAGTTGAAATGGAAGATACAATGAAATTTATCGATGGTTTCGGTATGTAGACAAAACCAGTAGACGCAGGCGTGTAATCCGCCTGACTGAACTGTCTCCACTAATCCATTGACATTTCATCCTATTATAGTCACGGAATGTGTTTGCGTGTATCTCACTTTGCTATCTTCATCTCTTGCTTTGTGTTCACATCTATCTCTACAAATTGAATGTTATCTACTCGAAAGGTAAATGATAGTGTGCAATGGATGTTTCTTGGAAGTGTTTGATGTTAAAAAGATACTATTTGTTGTTTTGGTTTAGGAGGTAACGATGCTAATACTTATATTGGTGTATTTGATGGATATAATGGCAAAGCAGCGAGTACATTGTGTCGAGATCATCTTCATGAAGCCATTCTTTTCGAAATGTCGAAAACTACGAAAGATCTAAATAGTGCCGAAGTCGATGATGCTCTGATCAATCGTTTATACACTCGAATGATCGATCCATCGAATTCCACTTGTGAAATACAAGATGTTGGTGATGCGCATCGTTTATCTTACTTAAAAATGGATCATTTTCTTTCACGTGGTATGTATGAAACATCCAAAGTACGTTGGAGTGGAACGTCAACATTGACAGCAGTTATTACACTGAACGATAAACTTGACGAATCTCTTCTCGAATTAGAAGAAGGAGAAGCAGAATTACCAACTAAAATTGGTTGTATTCATTTGTCGAATTGTGGTAAGTATTTGTAACTGCAGAGAAAAACAATTTTTGTTTTGATTGTTTAGGAAACGTCGAAGCGTTGGGAATACGAACTGATAAAACATTCTTGATGACACAAAAACATAGTTTACATAATAAACGCGAACGTGAACGAGTTTTAGAAACAGGTGAACTTTGCTCTGGATCTTCATTACAAAGTGATTTTGATTGGGGTTGTATTTGATTAGGTATTCCAATCAGTAACAATGGTCTAATCGATGGTATTTTCGAAACGACTCGCGGTCTCGGTAATCATGGTGATAAAGATTTGAAGAAATGCGTTATCAATACACCATATTGTCAAACTTATGAAATTGACTCAAATTTCGAATGTATTATAATTGCTACGGAAGGTCTTTGGGAAGCACTTAGTTATGATATAGTTGTTGAAATTGTAACACAAGTAAACATAATTTCTCTCTCTGGCTTTTTGTTCATCGATATACATTTTCTATGTTAGTGTTTACCATCTCATGAGATACTCGTACCGAATCGTGCCCGCACTGCCGTTCAATCTACTTTCGAAATTTATGATCCGTCAAGAACAACTCCTTACTTACCTAATGAGGACGAAATCATTGCCTGCATGGATGAAATCTTAGATTTATTCGAAGAACAGAATCAAGACGACGACATTGATAAGCTGTACTTTTCCTCAATACGCAATCGTCGGGTACAATGCATCGAACATGATATTCAACAAGATGTATGGAATTCTCTGCCGGAAAAATATCGTTTTCGTTTAGAATTAGCAAAGATCATTTCCGAACGATTAGTTTCTGCAGCATTACTGGCTCAATCAAAGTCAAATATCAGTGTTATCTGTCTTTTACTACCCGGTGCCATTGTTGCTTAGAAATTTCCGAGTGTATTTTGTTTGAAAAATAAGAACAAAAAACTGAAACGTGCTTTTTATTAAGGCATAAAAGTCTAAGTCAGAAAAAAAGGTAGTTAGCTTCGTTTTATGTTAGCCAATTCAGTGTAGGCATGTTGTGTTGTAAGGCAAAGAATGTTTCATATTTGACATTGTATTCCGGCGTACGCTTTTCCGGCTTTTTATAACGTATGGTCGTTTTTTCCGCTAAATAATTGATCAATTCACATTGCTCTTCGAAAATGTATAATTTTCTTCGAAATTTTCGACGGAGATATTCCGAACTCTTCGTGTTGTGTGCTTTGAGATGATAAGCCAGGTAAATGAGAGCAGATGATTTGATTGACAAGAATGGAAATTTCGGTTTGAAATTACCCGTGGCTGTTAGGCTTTTAATAACTGTTTGTGCTACTGTTTGTTCAAGATAACCAAGACTTGGTAAATTCAGTACATCGATCGACGTTTTCGGCGGAGGAAGTTTCTTCGGCAACGGAAGATTCCAGTATTTTTCTGGTTGTCTTGATAGAGAAATCATGAGGGTGAAAGTGAATGATAGCAAAAAAGAAGGGAAATATACCTCATAAACTTTTCTCGAGCTTCTTCATTCAAAAGAAAATATAGCTTTTCACGATATTCCACTGCGAATTCGGGTTGACCAAGAGAAAGACATTCATATCTACATTTCCAGAAAAGAACGTTGTAGTTGATGTTGACGAAACGTGCACTAATTACCTTTTGCCGCCATTGAGATATGTCACTGGACAATAGTTGCCGAATTCCACTGGCTTAGATAATAAAGCTTTCACTTCAGCTTCAGTACGACGATGCGGTCGACGACTTAGTGGTGGTGGTAATTTGTGTGGTTCAAGTGGAGCGAAACGTTCAGGATCATCCAAAAATAGTTGAAGTTCTTTGGGTCCAGCCATACGATAGTATTTTCCTATTCAAATAAACGATAAGCCGTCAGCTAGAAGGGAACGAATTCAATCACGGCTTACCTCGATATTCTGCAGCATAATCGGTTTTTGTATCACCAGAACGATCGACTAATTCATCATATAATACCAATGATACAGGACAATAATGTTCGTATTCTCCCAATCGTTCTAATAGTTCTTTTGGTAGAATACAAAGATCAGCAATACTAGCTGCCTTATTCAGTGATTTTCGTTCAATATAATTTTGAATTTTCTTTGTAACATTAGTAGTTTCTTGTGCGATTTTGTCCCAAATGAGCCATTTGTTATTTTTACCATTGACAATCATCCAGTTTTTATGCTCTTCCGTGTACCATTGACGCACAGGTGCAATTTCATGTTGATAAATTGCATATAGATTAGCAATTGCTTCTGGACTATCCGGCAATGGAAATGGGCGACTGAAAAGTCGAAAACAAGATGAATTGCTCGGTTTTAGGATGAAAAAGTAATAAATCAATTACTTTGGATCACTACGATCTTTCATTGCTCGCATTGTACATTCCGTAACATCAGATTCCAACTCGAAGATTTTATATGGAATAATACCTTTTTCTGTGATTAATTCAACATGTTTTTTCGTTAGAGGAAAACCGTCCAATATATAACTAAAAACTCGACTCGCATCTCTCCATTGAAAAATTTCAAAAGCGTGTTCCTACCCTCTTGTTTGACATTTCGCATTCATTAACATCATTTCCAAACAACGAATAGCAGTTTCTGGCGAGATCTCACTACCCTTCAGTAGTAATCCATGTAATTCTTTGCCGAGAATCGTATGTCGTTGTTTATCGAGTATGTATCGTACAGCATCGCCCTATACAAACACAAGAATGTATTGTAAAGTTGTCGACTCGAACTTACCAAAGATATGCGAACACAGCCGATCTCTTCGACGATACGTTTAGCAACTATTAAAAATACAAATTGAATGATTTACTTTGAATAGAAATAGGGTGAGTACAAACCGGTGGTTTTGCCAGCTTTTGGTGGGCCAACAAGAGCAATCTTTGCTGGAACGAGTGATTTCGGTGGTGGTTGATGTGTGTAAAGAATTGGATTTTTGATAAATTCATTTCGTGCTTCGTCATTAGCAAGAAAGTACACATATTTTCGATAGACAGCAGTACGCGCTGGTTTATCTGGACCAAATGCTGGTGGAAAGCAGTCACCATTATATAACTGAAACGTTTTACATTGAAGTAAGAGAGACAAGCAAAGAAAAACATACAGATACGGGGCAGAATTTTCCAAATTTTGAATAATGTAGATAACCAACGTCGATGAGCTTTTCGGCTAACTGAGCCCGAATGGGATAGACACGTTCGAATAAGTTTTGACGTACAGTTACAAATCGTTCGAGCTTTTTAGTGATACGATTCCTTACATAACGTGGTTTGTCCGAAGCACGGATAGCAGCATAGGGAACGAACTCTTCTTGGAATGTTTTCTAAAGAGAAGAGAGTATTGATTTGGCAAAGATTGTAGACAACGTAAACACACTTTAACTCCTTCGATTCGATCTTTGGCATCGTTGAACTGTTGTTCAATAGCTTCAGTAAGACGACCACGAGCGGTATTAGCATCTTCTTCGTCTTCGCCTGCATCGAGATCTTCTTCATCAGGCTAGAATAGATGACGAGTAAAGTCTGAAATAGCATCGGAGGAATAGATTTCTTACTGGAAATTCGTCAGCTAATGTTTGCTCGATTTCATCATCCTCGACGATTTCGCCCTATAAAGAACACACATTAGCAAATTACTACTAAACCATCAATCATATTCTTACTGCTTCGATACGTTTATCTCGTTCTTGAATCAATTCCAAGCGTCGTGCATCGATCTTTTTCTTCTAAAACGAGAAAAACTAACCTTTCAGACCATAGAGATTACCACCAATCTAGTTTCATTACCGTATCTCGATCTCGCTTGGCTTTCTTATTCGCACGTTTATCCTTTTTCCCTTGCATTTTTTTCGTCCATTGTTCCATACGTTTAGGCAAGATTCTTTTTACAATATCTTTACTTTCGGTTTCCAGCTCAAGAACAATATCTGGTATCAGTTGATTTTCAACCATATAGAAAACTTCGTCTTCAGCGGCTGGAAAACCTTCGAGAACGATGCCACGTGAACGATACGGCTCTTCAGTCCACCACGGTTTGACAATTTTGTCTAAGATTTCCGGCGTTAACGGTTCACCATCTTGTAAATAAGCTTTGATGTTTTCTTCTTCAGGTGTTAATTCTTCGGTCTAGGAAACAACGACGAACTTTAGAAGAGGAGGAACACTTCAAATCGATTTCTATTTACTTCTTCAGTGGGCTTGTCTGGTTTTTGTTCATCTTCTTCTTCTCTAAAATGAAATCGAATTCATCTAATGAGTTTATGTGGCCTTTCTGGACCAGCTCTTACGCATCGTCTTCATCACGTGATTCACTGTATTCTGGACCGATTTTCATTTTTGTTTTGCCAATGATCAATTCTTGTAAACGATCGCGAAATTTAATATGAAACGCATCGTATTTGATTGCCAATTCTCGTGCCTGTAGAGTTTTACCAGCACCTTCCGGTCCAATGATACTGATGCGAATTGCAGGTAGCTAAGAAAAGAAAGCTTTCGCAATGGCCCTTTCATTACGATAAAACTAAAAATTACCGCTGGTGACTTCGTAATTGGTAAATATTTCAATGGTGTTTGTAGGAATGCGCTGCGATTATCGTCGTTAGCAAAACGATATGTTTTCGAATTGTACGAAAGAATAAAATCGGGTTTGCCAGGTACGAGTACATTTTTCTCGAATAATGCAACAGGATCATAGATACTTGTATCACCCAAATGCTTCTTTCGATCGCGTTTAAACAGATCGACTTCTTCCTCTTCGCCCTCTTCTTCCTCTTCATTTTCACCTTCCTCACCTTCTTCTTCATCGTCAGCACCTTCTTCACCGTCGTCTGTTTCCAAAACGGCATATTTAAATTGTTCTAGAAAAATAGACGCGTCAGATCACATATTTACAAACAGTTTTAATTCGGCTGGACATACTTTCAAGTGCGTCATATGATTCTTGCAATAGCTCGTCTCGTTTCTTCAATTTTTCGCCATCTTCTTTCATTAATTCGATATAGATCGGTTCAAGATTGAAAACATTGTTTATGGTTGCCATCAATTCATTAATACGTGTGACCTCGACACGAGCTTGTTGAACGAATGTATCACGTTCAACACCAGCGGGTGGTACAACTTCTTCATCGACTGGTACGTCAGATATTGAGGGTGGACCATGATGAAGATCCGTATCTACAGGAAATACTTTACTGGATAGTTTGACGGTTTACAGTAAGGATACATACTGCTTTCTTTGTCTTTATCGCCTTCTTTACCCATGGATTCATCCTCTGAAGATAAAAACGGCATAAATATGAAAAATAGTCGGATGATATTGCAATCAAGTCAGCTACCTTCTAAAATTGTTTCGGGAATTTTATCGATGAAATCTTCCTTTTTCGGTTCGTAATTTCGATCTTCAAGAATGGCCTGTTCCATCTCTATATGAACAAGAAACAAAATTCAACTTGTAAAAGTAACAAACACGAACCTTTCTCATCAGTTCCATCTTCATCTTCTTCTTCATCATCATCCAATACTTCACCAGCTTCAATTCGTCGCTGTCGTTCTGCTAAACGTTCCTGTCGTTCTTGTTCGGCAAGTAATTTCATCTCTTCTAATTTTCGTCTAGAATAGAACAATAATGCATAATTACTGAGACTGAACTTGAATTCCTACGCACTTTCGTTCTTCTTCTTGGATTCGTCGTTCGTTTGCTTCACGCTCCTCCCGTTCATGAATTTCCTTATCGATTTCTGCGCGATTGGCTTTATACCAGCGTTTTTGCAATGCCTCCAGTTGAGGATTAGTGTCTTGAAGAACAACTACATCATCTGGTTGAATATGTTTTTCGTGGAGAAGAGTAAACGTTTCTTTGTCAAATGGCGAATTGACGAAAATCCAATTGCCGTATCTGAAAAAAAAATTTCCAAAACTATTCGATGCTTTTGCTCAAAATATACTTACAATGGTCCACTAGGATTCTTTTCTCGTTGTTCTTGTTCAACCTTTTGAATCGCTTGAGACATTAATTCAGCCACGACATCGGCTGGAACATTAATGGACGCATTACGAGCTTCTTCGACTGCTTGTTCAACAGCTTGTTTCACTTCGGGATGATCAGCAGTGATGGGTGCAACTTGAATCTGCTCCTCTTCTAGTACTTCTTCCGGCGCTGGTGATGCTGCTGAAGGTGTGCCTGGCACAGGTGATGATGACGCAACAGCTGGTGTTGGTGAAACTCCACCAGGTGTAGGTGACGGTTGTTTTGGTGGTTGTAATTCATTCTCTTCTTCGGCATCAGCATTTGGAGCTTTTTCTGTTTGGTCAAGATCATTTGGATCAGTAATTGTTTCACCATCTTCGATATTGGATGGTTCTGCATCATCGTTGGCCTCTTCTTCTTCGTCTGGCTCTTCGGGTGGTGTCGGCTGTCGTGCTGCTCTTTCTATACAAGAACTATATGGATTAAACAGCATACAAATGTGTATTATTTCAAACCTGCGGCTTCAATTTCAGCCTGCTGTTGTAACTTCTCGATTGTCGCTTGTTGAACTTCGCCGCGAATCTTATCGATATACTGCTGACGGAGTTCATCGACTTTTGGTTGGCAATATGCAACCATATCAATAACCTGTTTATTTCAAATATCAGTTGAAGTACATACATGTCTATCTTGGAAATTGGCGACTTACAGTAGCATCGTATTTTCTAGCGAGATCTTGTGCTAATTTATCAATGCCAGACACGCGAGGACCATAGAGAAAAAGTTTACACGGTTGTCGTGCTTGATTGATATAACGTCGTGGATTCTTTTGAAATTCTTTCAATGTTTCTTTGTTCGAAAGAACGAAAATCTTATCCATGAAACTAGATAGATGTTTAAGTTAAAATTATATATAAAAAGTCAACAAAACCTACTGAACGGAAAATTCCTGACGGCCTGGAACACGATTTCCTTGTTTAAGAGCGACCGGATCTACACGTAACCAACGGCTTCGTTGCCATTTGTATCTGTTCGAGAGAACATTTGCTCCAGCTAGTGAAAGCATCAATTCTTCTGTATCCATTTCATCCGCAGGTGACGCTTCTTCAGCACGGCCTGGTTTTTCACCGTCTTCATCTTCTTCTCCTTCTTCTCCTATATCGAACACAAACGAAATACAAACATCATCGTTGCAGATCTAGATAGCTTAACCAATAGAAACACATACCCATCTCGTCACCATCATGATGAACTTCTTCTTCCTCGTCTTCAGGCGGGAAGAATCGTTGAACAACAGCTGCTCGTCTAATTGGATAGGCACTCAAACGTTCGAGTAGTTGTTGAAAAAGAATAGTTGGTGACATATTTCCATCGAGTTCAATTAAATATGAATGCGATAAACTTGCCATATACTCTTCGAGCATGCGTAAGAGTTGATCTTTGAATACTTTGATACTATCAGCAACATCAGGCATCATGTCTTCAGGTCGAGTTACCAATCTTTCGACAATATCCGCTTCGATCTGAGTGAAAAATTCATCCTGAATAAAAGAAAGAAAAGTTCGTTGATCGAAAACTGATCTTGTGTAACTATGATACATACCACTACTTGTTCTTCTTCTTCGATTTGTTCTTCATCATCGTCGTCGTCATCGTCATCACTCTCTTCATCATCATCTTCCGATGGTTGTTTATCAGGCTAAAACGGAACAAATCACTAGCGATAAAACAGCACAACTTTGAGTTTTGCTGAATTTCGTTACCTTTTCGATTGGTGTTGGCGCATACTGTTCTTTTATGTACAAAGCACCAGTCAATGGATCGATTTTTTCACCTTCTCTTCTATTGATCAGATCGCCATCAGGTATACGAATATTAATCACATAATCGGGTGTTAATGGCCAGTTTTTCATTACTGCCATTTGATCACGTAATTTCATGGCATTCTCGTTCATAAGTGGAAAGCCATCCAAGATATAGCCTGTGCAAGTATAGCAAGTCAGTAAAAAAGATTGAACACGTTTTCCTACATACCATGATGTGCAACTTCCGGTGAGCGCATCTTGATGTCTAACATTCGTGCGATCATTTGATCGGGCACAGTTTCGCCACGTATGAGCAAATCACGTGCATGCAAACCAAGCTCAGTTTTTTGTTTGATGTTCGATGTGATTAAATCGGCAACTAAACAGTCGCACATCATTCGCTCAGAAAAGAAAATTAGACTAATTTACTATTGATCAATTCAGCATGCCAATCATCAGCTAATTTTCTTGCTAGAAGTGTTTTGCCAACACCTGGTTTGCCGAGAATAAGAAAACATGTTGGTTTCGATTCCAAGAACTTCTTATCTGCCTACAAATAGACCAATGAGTACGATGTGACTAGCCTCGTTGATACCTTACTTCTTCTGTGTCGTACGCATCATCTTGATAATTGATTATTTCTACACTTTTCTCTGATTTGTCGTCTTTCGATACCGTAGTGTTCTAAAAATAGAACCAATGCTTATTCTGCTTGTCCTGCTAGAATATGTGTTTGTTTACTTTGGTCTGATGCTTTGCTGGATCACCATATTGAAATGAGGATTCCTGCCGCGAAGATAGATTTTGCAAACTAGCGCGCGGGTCGCTAATAGCCGATTCTTGATGATCGGTCATTGCAATCAATAAGGCACTTTAATAGAAGACAAATGACTTTATTACAGAATCAAACACTACTCACCATTCTACATGTTTGTTGCTTAGAAACAGCCTTTATCAAGTCGATAGATGTCGCTTCTTTGTTTGCAAAAATAAAATTGAAAGAAACTATTTTTCTCGTTCTATTTAAATGAAATAAATGATTAATTTCACAAAAATGTTTGAGAAAAAAACAGTCGAAAAAATTCATCAATCAAAACTCACTACAGCGTTCTTTGTCAGTTGATTATGGCTATGAAATCAACAAACAATAATAATAACAAAAACAATAATATTCCAAAACGAATGATTTTCATTTCTCGTCTTCGTCGCTTTTTTTGTCTCTTCAGATAGTTTGTTTTGTTGAACTTCTCCGTGTATGATTATTCGATTTATTCGTAGTTCGTTTCTCGAACTATCCATCATCTTTTTCTAAATGACAACCACAGCTGAAACTTATCATTCTACTTATAAGAATTCATTAATTGATAATGGAAGTTTAACAACAAAAGATGACGACCCCTCGTCGATTGTTGCTAATGTTACAATTGATGAATTAGTTGGATCGTGTTGCAATGAAGTATTACCTTCGTCATCATCATCGTCTAGTCAATTAAATAGCAGTAGTGTATCTCCATCACATCTGGTACGATTTGTTCACTCACAATCGTCACTCGTCAGTCAGATAGATGAAACAATAAATACTACCGTTCAAGAATCTCCATCCAATTCAATCTTATCTAGTCAAGATACACCAATCAAGCAGCAACCACCATTGATTAATGTCACACGTTTACCATCACCATTCTCCACCATTAAACCAAAAACCATCATTGAATCGAGTAATTCAATGCACAACACAACAAACCTAACAAATATCACAGCAAATAATATCAGTGTGAATAATTATAATGTCAATATTCATACAACTAATGTTCAACAGCCAACTCAAGCAATAATCAACAATACGTCAAATGATCATTTGTCAAAAAAATGTAGTCCTTTGGATGAGAAACAAACTACAGAAATCGTTACACAAATATTAAAGAATATCAAGGAAGTTGATAGCAATACCGATCAACAAACGACAACTACAACGAATTACAATATTCATATTGATTCGTTTAATTTTTCTTCATCAAATGAACAACAAACAATTATCAATAAGAAAACTCGAATAAAGAAAGAAGCGAAAGCATTGACAAGAATTATTGTCAAAGATGAATCAACACGACCAACGTCACCGAATTTCTTGCGAAATAAGAAAGCAACAAAGAGTTCGCCAAACAGTCACAGTAGTGATAGTCAAACATCAGGAGAATTCATTCCTGTGCCATATGGATGGCAGAGGAGAATATTAGCAGCGGATCTGGTGGTTTATGTCAGGTAATGACGACAAAAGAAGTCGATTTATTCATTGTTGAAGCATTCGTTTAGTCCAACAAATGCAATACTCGATTCTTTGGATGCCGTGCGTCGTTATCTTGAATCGCCAAGCTCATGCAAATGCGGCCTTCAATGCCCACTGATTGTTGAGAAGGTTCGTTTATCATTTTACTAGCGAGAAACGATTAAACTAGGAATTTGTCTTATTTCAGGTGTTCAATTTTGATTCGTCAATTTCGGCGAAATCTTGGGAAGTAACTCAAGTTCTCGAAGGTACTAACTGTCGACAGAAATCCAACATATTAGAAATGGCCACATTGACGAACTGTATTGATTCATTTTGTGAAACAGATCAAAAACCAGGTAGAATTTCTGTTGTTCATCATTTCTATTCGTACTTATATTTGTACTGTTTTAGTCAAACGTCGAAAGCGAGTACATAATGAAGGAGCTAATGGAAACGTTTTTGTATGTGCTTCGAATGTAACTGGAAATAGTAATAATGAATCAGTTGTGTTTGTTAATAATACCAGTCAAACATCAGGTAAGGATTGATGGATTTTTCTCTTTCGATGTTCAAACGTGTCTTTGTTCTGTTTTGTCAGAAGGTAGTCAATCGATGACATGGACACCTGTGCAACAAGCGAATGTTACTCCGTCATCGAAACGGCCACGTGGTCGTCCACGTAAAACGACTGTTACGTCGCCAATTATTGCTCAACTTGCTGTTAAACCACCATCCAATGAAGTTCAACAAGCACAACCTGTTCCGTCATCGATGCTTTCGCCACCAGCGTCTGTTTCGTCGAGCTCGCAGACAAATCATCTGCATCAAAATTCGGTTTCACCATCGACGCATGCTCATAACAATATCCGTTACGTGAATGATAACATCGTCACACCACCGATTTTTACTTCAACAACGGATACGAATGTCATTGCACGCGTCCCATCACTGTTCGATCAAGTTAAAACAACAACGAACGAATCAACATTTGCTGTTCTCTCAGGTGTACAAAACGTTCTACTTTCACCAAATCGAGATTCAAACAATAATAAGCGCGCGCGTGTTGAATCAGCTTCAGCAGTTATAGCAACAAACAATACAACCAACAAACAGGTAAAGAATAGACATTTGTCGAAACAAAAACAAAGAACAGCCCTCTTTGTCGCAGGTTACATTAAATGTAAACGCATTAAAACCAGACTTCGTCCGTTCACCAGCTATTGCTCAAAAGCCATGTGTATCATCAACAACAACAACACCGACAACAAATCCAACCGCAATGCCAAATCAAATCGATGTTATTTCATTGATGGGTACAACGAATCAAACACAAATAATGCTTCCGAAAGCATCAACAACCAATGATGAATATCAATTAAACAAAACAACTAATGATCAAAACAATGATTCGTCACAGCCATTGATGATTGACTTTAACGATCCCTCGACAACAAATTTTCTTTTATCAGCTCTAGCATCGGGTGCATCGTCGGATTCCAATGCTATTGTTAACCATCTTTTTCAAAAAGCACAAACACAACAACAACGAACAACCACCACATCGCCACCGCCAATCGCAACTGCAACATCAATTAATGCTGCATCGGTCATTAAAAAGAAACTACCGATCATTTCGTCTGGATCGAAAACTTGTACAGAAACAACAAATCTGCTACCAACAGCACCCGTGCGACAGTCTGTTGTGCTTCATGTTCCATCAAACAATGACTACAACCAACAGACACCAGCGCAACAGATTATTTTAAACAATAATAACAACATGGAAGAGCGAAAGCAACCGCAACAAATATTTTTTATTAATAATAAGCCATATATAATTCAACAAAAACTTACCAATGATCAGTCTTCTCAACAACGATTGATTTTGACACCATCTATTACACCGTCCGATGGTTTGTATTTTTGCTATTTTCACATATAGATGAATCATCCGCTATTGCATGCTTCATTTACAGATTCTACTTCATCGAATCGACATCCTGTTACTGTCAACAACAACAACACTAATTCAGCGAAGACGAACAATCCACGTGGTCAATCAACACTTGACGATGGTGGCAACTGCCTTTTATTAAATGGGCCGGTGGAACCGAAAACGCTTCGTACGTTATTGAAAGGCTTAAATTCATCATCATTTTCAGGTGTTGATAATCTTATTGACACTATCAATCGTTTTGAACATACGACATCATCTGTTGAACAGACTGATAATCTGTTAATCAAATCCGTTCGAACAACCAAGGCTAGTCCTGCGAAGAAACTTTCAGCAAATCCAGATAAACCCGCACCACGACGTCGTACAACCAAAAAAGCTAAGCAAGAAGTAGAAGATCAACAGCAGCAGCAACAACAACAAATGCAAAGATCAATGCCATTGTTATCTCAACCAATTGTTGTTGAACAACAACAACAACAACAATGGCAAACCGATTTTAACTCATTTGACTTCTCTACACCATGGGGTAGTGATACTAATTTGAATTCTCTTTTACTCAACGATGATTTCGATACGGCTGCCTCATTTGACGATGTTAGTTTCGGCGATTTCGAACCGTATATGACTGGCAACAATAATCTCAGTAATAATGATTTAACATTACCTTCATTATTTGTCAAACCACTACCATGCGATAGTTTGCCAAGTGTTGATCATCTTTTACCTTAGAATGTTCTTTTTTCGTCTTCTTCTTGCATATTGTGATATTATTGTCGAATATTGTAAACACACTCACACACGTCTACATTTATTTGTCATCTCAGGCTGCTTTTGCTGCTTTATTTTCGATGCATGTGAGATGTTCTTCTCTGTAGTTATGTAGCTCAACAATACCCCAAGCAACAACCAATCTTGATCTGAACATATTCAAACAATCTGTGTGCAATTCATTTCAATCCCACCTGAAATTTTCCGTTTCTTATTGGTCTCTAGTCTCGTTCTTTCTCTCTCTCTCTTTTTCTCATCTTCTGTCTGTTTATTTATATATTTTTCGTTGTTGTTGTTTGTACAGTGTCTTTTCATGCTGTCTATTTGTTCTTGCAATATCATGCACAGCATAAATACTTATATCTATCTATCTATGCTCGTGCCTTGCCTCCACTGGAATGATATTTTGTGTATCGAATTTGTACAATGTTCATTTATTAAATGTGTTTTGTGTGCCGTGTTGTTAAAATCTTTGTTTCTTTCAATTACGACGATCTCCTTTCCTTTCTTTCTGTCTCTGTCTCTTCGATCACCCAGATAAATATTGACTCGTTTTCATGTGTGGATTTCAATTTAATAGAATAATCGACTTTTCACATTTTTTTTGCAAGATCTTCTCTGATTGTTTTTGTTTGTTTTTCTTTACTTTAGTCGTTTTGGAATTAAAATACGACACAAAATTTCGTCTCTGTTTGTTTTCTTTTTTTGAATATAAGTAATAAGTAACAAAAAAAGAAACGTTGTTGTTTACTATATGTTTCATTCCGAGTGTTTACTTGGAAGATGTGTGTATTTGTTGAAGGAAAAACAAAAGTGTTCTATTGTGCATTTTTATTCTTTTCTGTTTGGAATTCTAGATGGGTAACGGAATAACTGTCAGTAAAAAACAATTACCCGGTGTACCCCAACCGCCAGGCGCACGAAAAATCGTCGTCATTCCTTATCAGAAATGGATTTACTATGACGCACGTCGTTTCGGTCATTTCAATCAATTCAGTACGGATACTGGTTGTGAAATAAATTCAAATAATAATAATAATTCAACGTCCTCCGTTCTCCCGTCACTCTCTTCAAGTTCGTTTTCTACTCCGACATCACTTGTTTCGCCTTCATCGTCTTTGACCAATGATTTTATCGTTCAAAGCAAAGCACAAATAATATCCGCTTCTGTTCCGTCATCTTTATCGTTTTCAAGCAATAAATCCAACATTCGTCATAATAATCAGTCCGCTTCGGCCTTAGTTGGCTCGGCGATGACTCTGTCAAGTTCCTCGTCAACTGTAACATGTTCATCCGGTACGCTATCGAATGATCTTGATGCACGTCGTTTACACCCCAAACCAGTATATTATGTCAATGGACGGTTTTTCAAGAATCTGACACGTCTCGGTGATGCACAATTTATCTTGAGCGAGCACGGCGAAGACGATGTTGTTTTGACTGTTCCATCTAATATTGAACGCTATCGGACAAACGATAATGCTATACGTGATCGTATACATCGCTTAAATCGTGTTATTGCTTGCTGTGACGAATTCATTGTCTTTCAATTATGGAAAGGAAACAATGAAGTATGTCCTTTGTATTCATCTGCACATTCTTTAAGCATATTTCTTCAATATCGTAGGTTGAAATATTCATTTTTGATCGACCTGTGCCTACCGAATCGATAGAAATGAAACCGCCAACAAAATGTAAATGTTTTCATCGACAATCCCAGCGACCTAATTCATCGCCGCTTCCTCATCCGATTTCGACTTCAACAACACCGATCTCAACTAATCAAGCAAATACTCGTGTGACAGTACCAAATAAACATAGTTCCCTCATGCAAACAGTTGCATTAAATGCCTATCATCCCAGTGAACCACAACGTTCTCCACTCAAGTCCTGTTCGTTATTAAATGAAACTGAAAACCGTTCGGATGTACAGAACGACGCATATGAATTTGTTGATACGACTAAAAAAGCATCGTATCTGACTGGCTCAGCAAGATGTACACTGGTAACTGCGACCGCTGTCGTTGCTGCTAATCATACTAACGCTAACACTAACCTAACATCGACTGCGTCGAGGACTCGATTTGGAAAATCGACGAGTCGGTTAGTAACATTTTTCTTGAGTAAACAACGTGAATTTCATTTTTGTCTTCTTCCATTTAGTTCAAATACGGCTAGTACACGTTCATATTCGATATCGAACACGAATGAATTAGTAAACAATAAACATCCACCAAATTATCTTGTACATGCTTCTAAACATCGTTCAACACCCTACCTATCATCCATGTCTTCATCAACGTGTTGTTGTATGGACGATGGAGATTCTGTTTTACTTCCATCATCGTCACCACCCACATTTTCCCTAACAACATCCTTGTCCCCCTCGTCATCCACTTGGAACAGTCGAATCGTTCGTAAGCTCAATTCAATTGCACATCGTTTCAATGCACGATCCTATTCATGTCTAATATCACCTGATCGAACGAAATTGTTAATCACGCCCGACTATGAAGATAAACATTCATATAGCCATCAAACCCATGAAGTGACTGTCATTTTCGATATCAAAACGTATGCAATACTTCGCATAACGCCAGCTCGTATGTATAGAATTAAAACACAACTGAGCGGAAGTTTTCGAATCATTTACTCTAGGTTATGATCAACGATTTGCATTTGATCCACGTTACGGTCATTCGCGTCTAGCAGAATTCGATACAGTTCGTGGCCAAATAACTGATATAAAAAAGGATCGTGTCCTTGTTTGCTCAAATCATACGTTAAAAACTAAAGTGTACCGAGTCGAATACACACGCGATGGACATCTGATTATTGTTCTATGCACTCGTAAGATCCTATGATCAGTCAATCTTTCCAGAAATCACCTTATCTGTCTGTTTCTTTATTTTAGTTCCGATATTTCAGCGTGTTAAACGGAATTACTTTCTCTATATTCTCAATTCTTCAACTTTATTACACACACGAAGCATCATTGATTATCGTGGTCCATTTTTCTCTCCATTTGTGTTTACTAATGAATTTTCACTTTTGTTTAATATCTATCCATCATTATCAAATTGTGGTTCGACGTTAGCCGTCTTGAAAAATATCGAACCATTGTCAAATGTTCGCCTCATCGAAGTCTANGGAGGAGAAAGTCAGTGGAAATATTTTATTGGTTAATTTGACATTCAATCGAATGAAATCGCACGTTCCCTAGAGACATAACAGTCGTTAAAGCATAACATGTTTTTCAATAAAAATAAACTTTTTTAGAGTTGTTTCGTGAAGCACATTCGGCTAAACATCGTGCGTATTGTCCATACTCAAAATTTCGGTAAAGTTGAATGAAAAATATTTTCTCATAACTTATCGTGAATAATGTTTTCGACGTTTGTTTACATAGAGTAGGAGCAGCTCTGTTAACCACGTCAGGTAAGATCTACTCGGGATGTAATGTGGAGAATGCGTCATATCCGCTGTCAACATGTGCAGAACGAACTGCAATAGTTAAAGCAGTTTCAGAAGGTGAAGCTAATTTTCAAGCCATCGCCATCACCTCGTAAGTCCTACTGGAGAATATCTGAAGATTGATTTTGCTTTTTCTAGTGATGTTGATGCTGGTTATTGTGGTCCATGTGGCGCCTGTCGGCAGACAATCGCAGAATTCGGTCTGGATATTGATGTTTACCTACTCAATCCACAAAATGAATGCAAAATGTTTAAATTTCGTGAATTATTACCGTTTGCTTTTACACCACGTGATCTTCAAAAAACTCGCGCAACACATGATATTATTGACTGATTTGCCTTCATTTTTATTCAAAATAAACTTCTTAAGGAATTGATTTGAAAGATATCGAATAGTGTCTATTCTTATACTTTTTCAGACATGTCTGATTCTGAATCTGAAGTGAAGTTGGACGAAAAAGACGCAGAAGATGTCGAAGAACAATCTCTTCATGAGTTATCTGCAACATCATCAGATCAAGATCATAGTAAGATATTCTTTACGGCAGATGACTTTAAAATTCTAATGTCATAGTATCGACTGTGCTCGTTCCAACTCCAGAACACTCCAGATCAGAGATAACTGTCATATGTGGTATATGTGAGCGTTACATCAATGTGAATGAATTAACTACACATGCGATGTATCATAATGCATTACAAGTGTTTAGATTGAAAGTAAAAAACCGATTGTTTTTCGTAATTCTCATCTGAAAACATCTAATTTCGATAAAGGAACTTCCGGAGACGATAGAAACTCTGCTGAAACAACGTGACGTTCTCCTTCAACGTATACAAAATCTAACACTGTCGGACGAGTCTTATTTAAAGTACACGAAGACAATCAATGATACATTTCAAATTCTCAGAAGAAAGATCAATCCGAATGATTATTTCGATGATCCTTATATCTATGAAAATAATGAGACATCAAGTGTTCAAGGTAAACTCTTTTTGAACAAGTCATTTCTTTTCTAAACTGAATCACTCTTTAGGTATTAGTTTCATCCCACGTAATCAAATCTTTTTGAGTGTTGGTATGTGCACCAGCCAGAATCGACAATACAAAGTTGAAATGGAAGATACAATGAAATTTATCGATGGTTTCGGTATGTAGACAAAACCAGCAGATACAGGCGTGTATTCTGCCTGACTGAACTGTCTCCACTAATCCATTAGCACTTCATCTTATTATAGTCACGGAATGTGTTTGCGTGTATCTCATTTTGCTATCTTCATTTCTTGCTTTGTGTTCACATCTATCTCTACAAATTGAATGTTATCTACCCGAAAGGTAAGTGATAGAGTGTGCAATGGATGTTTTTTGAAAGTGTTTGATGTTAAAAAGATAATATTTGTTGTTTTGTTTTAGGAGGTAACGATGCTAATACTTATATTGGCGTATTTGATGGATATAATGGCAAAGCAGCGAGTACATTGTGTCGAGATCATCTTCATGAAGCCATTCTTTTCGAAATATCGAAACTTACGAAAGATCTAAATAGTTCCGAAGTCGATGATGCTCTGATCAATCGCTTATACACTCGAATGATCGATCCATCGAATTTAACTTGTGAAATACAAGATGTTGGTGATGCGTATCGTTTATCTTACTTAAAAATGGATCATCTTCTTTCACGTGGTATGTATGAAACATCCAAAGTACGTTGGAGTGGAACGTCAACATTAACAGCAGTTATTACACTGAATGATAAACTTGACGAATTTCTTCCGGAATTAGAAGAAGGAAAAGCAGAATTACCAACTAATCTTGGTTATATTCATTTGTCGAATTGTGGTAAGTATTTGTAAGTGCAGAGAGAAAGAATTCGTGTTTTGGTTATTTAGGAAACGTTGAAGCGTTGGGAATACGAACTGATAAAGCATTCTTGATGACACAAAAACATAGTTTACATAATAAGCGTGAACGTGAACGAGTTTTAGAGACAGGTGAACTTTGTTCTGAATCTTCATTACAAAGTGATTTTGATCGGAGTTGTACTTGAATAGGTATTCCAATCAGTAACAATGATCTAATCGATGGTGTTTTCGAAACAACTCGCGGTCTCGGTAACCATGGTGATAAAGATTTGAAGAAATGCGTTATCAATACACCATATTATCAAACTTATGAAATTGACTCAAATTTCGAATGTATCATAATTGCTACGGAAGGTCTTTGGGAAGCACTTAGTTACGATGTAGTTGTTGAAATTGTAACACAAGTAAATATAATTTCTCTCTCTGGTTTTTTGTTCACCCGTATAGATTTTCTATATTAGTGTTTACCATCTCATGAAATACCCGTACTGAATCGTGCCCGCACTGCTGTTCAATCAACTTTCGAAATTTACGATCCGTCAAGAACAACTCCTTACCTACCTAATGAGGACGAAGTAGTTGCCTGCATGGATGAAATCTTAGATTTATTCGAAGAACAGAACCAAGACGACGACATTGATAAGCTGTACTTCTCCTCAATACGCAATCGTCGAGTACAATGCATAGAACATGACATTCAACAAGATGTATGGAATTCTCTGCCAGAAAAATATCGTTTTCGTTTAGAATTAGCAAAGATCATTTCCGAACGATTAGTTTCTGCAGCATTACTCGCTCAATCAAAATCAAATATTAGTGTTATCTGTCTTTTGCTACCTGGTGCCATTGTTGCTTAGAAATTTTTGAGTGTATTTTGTTTGAAAAATAAGAACAAAAAACGGAAACGTGTTTTTTTATTAAGGCATAAAAGTCTAAGTCAGAAAAAAAGATTGTTAGCTTCGTTTTATGTTAGCCAATTCAGTGTAGGCACGTTGTGTTGTAAGGCAAAGAATGTTTCATATTTGATATTGTATTCCGGCGTACGTTTTTCCGGCTTTTTATAACGTATGGTCGTTTTTTCCGCTAAATAACTGATCAATTCACATTGTTCTTCAAAAATGTATAATTTTCTTCGAAATTTTCGACGGAGATAATCCGAACTCTTCGTATTGTATGCTTTGAGATGATAAGCCATGTAAATGAGAGCAGATGATTTGATTGACAAGAATGGAAATTTCGGTTTGAAACATCCCGTGGCTGTTAGACTTTTGATGATTGATTGTGCCACTGTTTGTTCAAGATAACCAAGACTTGGCAAATTCAGTACATCGATCGACGTTTTCGGTGGAGGAAGCTTCTTCGGCAATGGGAGATTCCAGTATTTTTCTGGTTGTCTTGATAGAGAAATCATGAGGGTGAAAGTGAATGATGGAAAAAAAAGAAGGAAAATATACCTCATAAACTTTTCTCGAGCTTCTTCATTCAAAAGAAAATATAGCTTTTCACGATATTCCACTGCGAATTCTGGTTGACCAAGAGAAAGACATTCATATCTACATTTCCAGAAAAGAACGTTATAGTTTATGCTGACGAAACGTGTACTAATTACCTTTTGCCACCATTGAGATATGTCACTGGACAATAGTTGCCGAATTCCACTGGCTTAGATAATAAAGCTTTCACTTCAGCTTCAGTGCGCCGATGCGGTCGACGACTTAGTGGCGGTGGTAATTTGTGTGGTTCAAGCGGAGCGAAACGTTCAGGATCATCCAAAAATAGTTGAAGTTCTTTCGGCCCAGCCATACGATAGTATTTTCCTATTCAAATAAGCGACAAGCCGATTTAGTTAGAAGGGAACGAACTCAAATACGATTTACCTCGATACTCTGCAGCATAATCGGTCTTTGTATCACCAGAACGATCGACTAATTCATCATATAATACCAATGATACAGGACAATAATGTTCGTATTCTCCCAATCGTTCTAATAGTTCTTTTGGTAGAATACAAAGATCAGCAATACTAGCTGCCTTATTCAGTGACTTTCGTTCTATATAATTTTGAATTTTCTTTGTAACATTAGCAGTTTCTTGTGCGACTTTGTCCCAAATAATCCATTTGTTATTTTTGCCATTGACAATCATCCAGTTTTTATGCTCTTCCGTGTACCATTGACGTACGGGTGAAATTTCATGTTGATAAATTGCATATAGATTAGCAATTGCTTCTGGACTATCCGGCAATGGAAATTGACGACTGAAAAGTCAAAAACGAGATGAATTGTTCGATGTTTAGATGAAAAAGTAATAAGTCAATTACTTTGGATCACTACGATCTTTCATTGCTCGCATTGTACATTCCGTAACATCAGATTCTAACTCGAAGATTTTATATGGAATAATACCTTTTTCTGTGATTAATTCAACGTGTTTTTTCGTTAGAGGAAAACCATCCAATATATAACTAAATATCCGATTCGCATCTAACCATTGAAAAATTCCAAAGTGTGTTCTTACCCTCTTGTTTGGCATTTAGCATTCATTAACATCATTTCCAAACAACGAATAGCTGTTTCTGGCGAGATTTCACCACCCTTCAGTAGTAATCCATGTAATTCTTTTCCGAGAATGGTATGTCGTTGTTTGTCGAGTATGTATCGTACAGCATCACCCTATACAAACACATGAGTGTATTGTGAAGTTATCGACTCGAACTTACCAAAGATATGCGAACACAGCCGATCTCTTCGACAATACGTTTGGCAACTATTACAAATACAAACTGAATGATTTACTCTGAATAGAAATAGGATGAGTACAAACCAGTGGTTTTGCCAGCTTTTGGTGGGCCAACAAGAGCAATCTTTGCTGGAACAAGCGATTTCGGTGGTGGTTGATGTGTATAAAGAATCGGATTTTTGATAAATTCATTTCGTGCTTCATCATTAGCAAGAAAGTACACGTATTTTCGATAGACAGCAGTACGGGCTGGCTTGTCTGGACCAAATGCTGGTGGAAAGCAATCACCATTATATAACTAAAACGTTTTACATTGAAGTAAGAGAGACAATCAAAGAAAAACATACAGATACAGGACAGAATTTTCCAAATTTAGAATAATGTAGATAACCAACGTCGATGAGCTTTTCAGCTAACTGAGCCCGTATGGGATAGACACGTTCGAATAAGTTTCGACGTACAGCTACGAATCGTTCGAGCTTTTTAGTGATACGATTTCTTACATAACGTGGTTTGTCCGAAGCACGGATCGCAGCATAGGGAACGAACTCTTCTTGGAATGTTTTCTACAGAGAAGAGAATATTGATTTGGCAAAGATTGTAGACAATGCAAACACACTTTAACTCCTTCGATTCGATCTTTGGCATCATTGAACTGTTGTTCAATAGCTTCAGTAAGACGACCACGAGCGGCATTAGCATCTTCTTCGTCTTCACCTGCATCGAGATCTTCTT